AGCTCATCTGCAGGGCTGTGCGCTGGCAGCGTGTTTGCCGGGTACGGGAAGCTTTCGCACGCGCTCACCGCGCCCGAGGCGTCCAAGTAGGTTATGGTCCCTGGCGTATCGACTGAGGGCGGGAGAGGCCCGCTCGGCGAGATGACAATTGTGCCGTCCGCGGTCTGGATCCCCTCCTGCAGGAAGAGCGACACCTTGACCAACTTGCCGCCGAAGAAGCCGCACAGAGACTGCCGGGGGGCGGTGACACGGAATCAGGGGTTCTGGCGACGCAGGGGTGGCGGGAGCCGTCGAGCCCGCCTGCTTCAGCGAGGCGAAATCGGCACTGCTCATCGCGAGATACTTGTCGTAGACGGCCCGGATAGCGCAGTCGACAAGCTCAGTAACCGCCTCGGATCGGAGAACTTTCTTGCGAATCTCGTGCAGATGGTTCAGAGTTACCAGCACCAGCTCCTGCCGAGCGTCGCGCCCGGGTGTCGGTGGGCTGTGTGAGGACGCCGCACGCGTGGCGTGCGAGGGCTCAAGTGCCTGCGGATAGCGGCACGCCAGCATTTGGTACTTGAACCCCATCGTCATGAGGTCGAAGAGCTGCGTCGGGGCATCGGTGTGTAGATTGAGCTTCAGGTGGAGTGCAGGCGCTGGGAGAGGGGCGGGCGAACCTTGTCCATCGAAGCTTTGTTGAGACGCATGATGGATGAGTGCGCGAGCCGGTCGAAGATCTGGCGGGTCGCCTCGACCGAGTACATCTCTTGGCTTCGGAAGAGCTCACCGATGAACCGAGGGCTGTACATGGTGCGCACTACGTCGTGCAGCACTACAGAAATAGAGGGTTCGGGGTCCGGGCTGCGTGGGGCCAACGCGGCTCTTTGCGCGGCATGGCATGCCTCGAGTGGCCTTGTCGCTCGGGATGCTCTGTGCGTTTAGCCGCTGCTCCAAGATGTAGATCATCTCACCACCCATATTGATGATGAGCATCGGCATGCATGCATCTGACGCCATACTAGCGTTTGCGCGGCAGGGGCGCGCTCGCTGGGATCTTCTATCGTAACGCCGGCAAGCCTGCAGTTTCTTCTCTTGGAGCTTTGCCGAAAATCTCGGGTTGTTGCTCCCAGTGCCTCGCGATCTCCTTTCTTTCTAATCGATTCTCTTGGTAAGGGACAGGTGTACATAGGCGGCGCGAACGAAAGCCCCACCCAGCGCCGGCCGGCCTAGCTCCCCTCGCCACGGCGCGCTCGACTGCAGAAGAAAGAAAAAGATCGTGAACAACCCAAGGGAGGGATGGGAGGACGGCACGCCGCCACCACACAGGGATAGGGTGTGGTGACTTGGAACCAGGGGAGAGCCCTGCTCGATTTTTTTGGCCGTTCACGGCGATCACGGAACCACCGTGCAGGTCGACGCTATAGCGTTGGAATGCGGAGCTCTTCGCACTCTCTAGGGGTTGGAGCGATGTCTCGCTCCACTAGTACCTCGTTCGTACTCTCTGTTTGTCTTGCGTGACACTTGTGCCTCCACACTGTCCAGTGTGACTCATCGTGTCACGCACGCCGATGCGGCTCGTTTGTTGTTCGTCGGCGGCTTCCAGCTCTCTTTCTGTTCTGTTTTTGCACTTGGCCTATACTCTCGGCCTCCTCCGCGCGCCGCCGGGCGCAAGTGGGAGCCCTCGTGCTCCCGCCTCCCCGGAATCAAACGCTTGTAGGGCCTGAGAGTGGCCTGCCATGTCACAGGAAGGACTGTGGCTGCAGGAGAGTACCACCACCCATCACTTTAGTTGGTATAATACCCCACCTTCACGCGTCCCATGATTTCTTTTTTAGTTTCCCATAAGTAGGGTAGGTAGGTAGGTAGGACGTAGGTAGGGAGGAAGGGGCACCGCAGGGGCCGGTCAGGTTTTTGCAGAATTTCATGATGAGGGCCGCCCAAGCAAAAAAAGAATACACCTGAGGGCTCTCCCTGGTTCCAAGTCACCACACCCTATCCCTCCCTCCTGCCAAAAACCCAAAAACCTCCGGAGCACGGCCCTTCCGAATCTGACTGTTTTCTTTTTCAGTGTATGTAGCTCATTCGTACTTTAAAAGAAAAGAAAGAAAGAAAACAGACAACCCAAGGGAGGGATGGGAGGACGGCACGCCGCCACCACACAGGGATTTTAAGGAGAGGTGTGTGGTGCGCTATCCGTCGCCCACCCTAGGGAGTCTGCCTCTTCCTATCTCTCTTCGCAGTCTCTCGCCGATTCTCGCTACGATCATTCGTACTTTCTCGTAGATTTTGTTGCACTTTGTTTTTTTCAAACTCGCGTCCACGTCGCCGCCGAGCCGATTTGCCGAGCCGAGCCGAACGAGCCGCTCGCACGGTCACGGTCGTCCCTGTGCTCGCTGCTCTGTGGCACTCCGTCTGTCGCACTAGGCAGCGCGAACCGATGCCAGGCGAAAGCGACTACGATGGCTCGCCAGAGCCGGCCGATCGGCCCGACCGTCGCGCCGGCGATCCAGGCCACCGCCCACTCTCGCCCTGCGCCTCACTCACTCTGCGCCACCCTTGCTCTGCGCCGCGCCCACTCCGCCACCGTACGGAGCCCACCCTTCCGCCACCGCCCACCCGGCTCCTTGCCGCCTGCACAGATGCCGCGCCCGACGCGGCGAGGGCGAGCGCGCCCTGGCTCTCGTACCCAGAAGCGCTGGTCGCGTCTGAGGGGCACCTACCGACTTCGATAGACAGCCGGCCTCACCGCTTGGCCGGTGTCACTAGGCGCGCGCTGCCAGCCTCGGGTTGACGGGCAAGCGGCTTGACGCCCAGGCCTACTTGATCTGGCTGCTGTCGGTGCAGCACGGCGATCACCACGCCGCCGCAAAGGTCGAGGAGTGGGCCGCGCTTCAGCGCCTCAAGTCCGTCGACGGCTGCGCCGCGGCCGCCGTCGGCGTGGACCTGCTCGTCGCCGCCGACGTGAACGAGCAGTACGCCAAGTTCCAGAAGGAGTGCTACTCGCCTCCGCTGCCGCCGCCGCCGATGCCGCCGCCGCCGCTGCTGCCGCCGCCTCCGCTGCAGCGGCCGCTGCAGCAGCAGTCGCCCACCGCGAGCGACCCCTTCAGCAAGCGGACCGTGCTCCTCCTCGACGTCGAGACGACCGGGCTCGACACGACCAAGGACCGAGTCGTCCAGTTCGGCGCAGCGTACCTGCGGCGCGGCGCGCGGGTAGGACCTCCGCTCGAGTTGCTCGTCAACCCGGGCGTGGCCATACCGGCGGCGGCGAGCGCGGTGCACGGCCTCGGCGACGCGGACGTGGAGGACGCGCCGTCCTTCGCCGACGTCGCCCCCCGCATCGTTGCGCTCCTGCGCGGCGAGGCGGAGGCGGGCGGCGGGTCCGCCACGCCGCCCCTCCTCTGCGGCTACAACGCGCTCGCGTTCGACGTGCCGCTCCTCAACGCGGAGCTCGAGCGGCACGGCCTGGCGGCGCGCATCGACCCAGCGACCGTCCTCGACCCGCTGGTGTGGCTCAAGTTCTTCCGCCGCCACTGGCCCTCGCACGCCCTCGGCGCGGCGGCGGAGCGGTACTCGCACTCCCTCACAAAGGCGCACTCTGCGGGGGCGGATGCCGTCGCCGCCGGGGCGGTGCTGAGCGGGCTGCTGGCGGACGGGGTGATCCCGGACGACGCCGACGCCGCGCTGGCCGAGCAGGCGCGGCTGCGGGCGCTCCTCGAGGCGGAGACGGCGCGGTACGGCTCCTACCTCTACACGGACCGGGAGGACGGCGCCACGCTGCGGGTGGGCTTCGGGAAGCACGTGGGCGAGAGCCTCTCGGATATGCAGCCGTCCTACCTGCGGCAGCTGCTCGGCTTCCCCTCGCTGCCAGCCACCGCCGCCGCCGCCGTGCGCGAGGCGCTCTACCGCAGCGGCGCCGCGCCCCGGCCGCACCCCGGCCCCTTCCTCTTCGTCGTCTCGTCCCTCTTCGTCTTCTTCCGCGACTTCAGCGGCACGGCGGGATTCCGCGTCTGGAGCTCACTGTGAGAGCCGCTGGCGCTCCTCTCCCACCCCCTCCTTCCCTCTTCACTCGCTCTCACTCCTCTCCAGGCGCGATCCGACGCGGGCCTTCTCGGTCGGGCACGGCGCCGTCGGGAAGCTGGTGCGCATGTCGCAGCGCGTCGAGGATTCGGCGCTGTACGCGCCCGAGTCTCACCGCGACGCGGCGCAGCGCAGCCTCGAGCGCGGCAGCAAGGTGCTGGTCGCCGCCGGCGTCCTCGTCCCCGACGGCGCGCTGCGGCGGGCAGGTGCACTTGTGGGTTCACTACATTGACTCGTCCAGGTTGTGTGCAGGCGACGTCTGTCGCCTCGCGACGGAGGACGACCGCGGCCCGCTCACGCTGCTGCTCGCCGCCACGCGCAGACGCTTCGCCAGCCTCAATTGGGACGCCGAGCAGGCGTCCCGCTCGTCGCTGCTCACTCTGCGCGGGGACCTGCTGAGCCTCTCCCTTCTTCTCTCTAGGTCTATACTCGGTGGAGCCTCCGTCCGCTCAAAGTCACTCGCTCTCTCAAAGTCCCTCGCTGCTCCCTAGGTGATGACGCACGTCGTCCACGCCGCAGTCGCCTACGGCGTCACGTCCGGGCTCATCCCGTGGCGGCTCCTCACGGCCGGCTGCTCGCTCGGTGACGCCGCCTCGCCCTCTCACACTCCCTCTCTGCCCCCACGCTTGAGGAGAGGGGTTGCTCCGTAGGTGGGTCGCACGCTGCTGTCGGCGGGTGCGGCCGCGCGCTTAATTGAATCCGAGCGTCTCCTTGCGTAGGCAAGGCCGCCGGGAAGGGGCGCGCGGACGCCGGGGCGCCAAGCAAGGTGCTGTCGGAGCACGGCGAGCAGATCGCCGCGCACCCTCAGCGAGCCGAGAGCGCCGCCGTGCGAGCGCCTCTGTCGGCGGCGCTTGCATGCGCGCAGGCGTACCCGACAAAGCGCTGGAGGCGCGCGTAGTAGAGGATAGACCTTCACTCTCAGAGCTTCTCGCTTCTTCAGCCGCAGCCCGCGCTGCACTGGCTTGGCGCTCTCCACCCGTGCGTTTGCGTTCTTAGCGTGCGCCTCGTCGTGGACGCGCGGTCGGCCAACGGCACGATCATCGCCAAGACTTTCCTCGCCGTCTCGTGGGAGGAGAAGGGCGAGATCCTCCGCTTCCTCGAGTGGATCGTCGAGGAGGTCCTCTGGCGGGGCCAGCGGTTTCCGCTTGAGCAGCGAAAGAAGAAGGTGGCGGAGATTGCGAAGCACGTCCTCTCGAACCTGGCGGAGGGGAGCACGGTGCGGCGTCCCCTCCCTCCCCCTCCCCCCCTCCCCCCTCAAATCACGACTCACTCCCTCCGCCTGCCGCCGCAGCCGCTCATCGACGGGCTCGAGTGCTGCTTCCTCTTCCTCGACGGCTTCCAGGAGCTCCGCTCCACCCTCGCCGAGCTCGGCTTCCCCATCGGCGGCTCGCGCGCGCTTGGCTTCTTTGACTGCGCGGACGCCCCGATCCACGCCGCCCTCGCCGCTCCGCTGCCGACGCTGCCTGAGCTGGAGCACGGCCCGGCGACGGCGGAGCCCCTGGCGGCTGCGGCCGTGCGCGCGGAGAAGCGAGTCTCGAAGCTGACCGAGGAGCTCGCGGCGGCGGGCGCCGACTCGGTGGAGGGGGGTGATCACACGCCTCGCTCCACGTGCTGAGCCCGCCTCACACTCACCCTCACCGCTCCCCACCCCGTCTCTAGGTGCGCACAAACGCACGCAGCAGATCCTGCTCAACGGGGTGATGCTCACGCTGCAGACCTGCTGTGACGCCCTTCGCCGTTTCCCGGCGCGGGAGCTCTCGTTCGAGATGCAGTCGCTGCTGCGGCGCTGCGTGATGCTGCGGCCCGAGCGGCGCGTCCACCCCGCCGCCCCTCGCGGGCTGTGGCTATGTCGGAGGGGCGGCCGTGTTTTGCTCGTGTAGGCTCACCGCAAACCTACAGCACCAGGCGGCGCTCGGCGGCAAGCGCGGCGAGGTGGAGCAGTCCCACGCGCTGGCGCTGGAGGCGGTGCGCATGCGGGCGGCGCCAGCGGTGGCCGCGGCAGCGGCGGAGCGCGAGGCGGAGGCGCGGGCGCAGGCGCAGGCGGTGCAGGCAGAGGTGAGCGCTCTCGGCGCGTCCGCCGCCGCTGTGGCGGGGGCGGCCGAGGAGGTGCTCATCGCGAGGATGCTGCGCGACGCCTCGTCGGCGGAGGCGGCGCGGGCGGGCGCGGCTCGCGCTGCGCGACTCGAGTGGGTCGCGGGGGCGGACGAGATGGAGGTGGCGGCGGTCGACGAGGCGGAGGCGTGGACGGCCAGGATGGCAGAGGGGGCGGCTGAGTCTGTCGCGGGTTGGCTGCGGCGCGAGCACCTCCGCAGTGAGCCTGCGAAGCTGGCTGCAGTGGAGGCGGCGCGGGCGTGGGCGGTCACGGCGATTGGCGGACCGGACGTTTCGACGCTGGTCGCGCTCAGCCTGGCGGCGGTGCGGGCGGTCATGGGCGGTGCCGCTGCGTGGTACGTCGAACAGATCGCCGCGGCGGAGGCTCAGCGAGCAGCGGCGGCGGCGCAGCTGGCTGCTGCCAAGGCCCAGAGGGCGCGCGGGGAGGCGGTCCTTGCCGAGCGCACGGCGGCGGCGACAGCGGCTGCTCGCTCCGCGTCCCTCGCCGGCGCGGCGCAGGAGCACGTCGAGGAGGCGGCCGAGTTGGCGGCGGATGGCATGGAGGAGGCGGCGGCGGAGGCGGCGTCGGCGCGCGAGGATGCGCAGCGACGCATGCTCACGCGTTGCAGCCGAGGCGATCCCCGAGCGAGCTACGGGGCCGCGGCGAGGGCGGGCGAGCAGGCGCTTCCATCTCGGCTGCATCTCGGTCGCTTCTCGGTCGCACCTCGGCTGCACCTTGGCAGATCTCGGCATAATCTCGAATGATCTCGGATAATACCGGCTGCATCTCGGCTTAATCTCGGCGGCACATTGGCCAGATAGTCCATCGCGAACAGGTGCTGGACCGCCACCTCAAGAAGGAGTCCGCGCTGGCGGCGAAGCATGCGCGCTCTGCGGCAGCGGTCGTGGTGGAGGCGGCGGAGCGCGGCGAGGCTGCGCGGACCAAGGTCGCCCTGCTTGCGGCGCAGCAGCGCTGCGCGCTTCAGTCGCTGGACCGCGCGGCTCCCGCCCCGGGCAGCTTCCGCGTCAGCCTGCTGACCAACGTGCGCCCGCGCTCGGAGCCGACCGCCGCCCGGGCCACGCCGCTCCTCTTGACGGTGCTCGCTCCGCCTGAGGCGGGCGCCGCTGCGGCGGTGGCGGCGAGCCCGCTCAACCCCGACCCGCCGCAGACCCTCGCTCAGCAGCTGGCTGCGGCGGAAGCGGCGGCGGAGGCGGCGGAGACGGTGGAGGCGGCGGCGAGGGCTGAGGCCGACGCCGCGGCGCGAGAGGCGTCGGAGGCGGAGGCGCGGGTGCGGGCGGTGGCCGAGATGCGGGCGGGGCAAGAAGAGCGAGCGATGCAGGCGGAGGCGGAGGTGGAGGCCGCGTTGGAGGTGGCGGTAGAGGAGGTAGAGGAGCTGCGCCAACACGCGGCGGCGCCTGCGTGGGAGGACCGCGGCACCGCGGCGACCCTGCCGAGGGGCCGCCGGCTGACACTCCTCGCCTGCAAGAACTGCCAAAAGGCGAAGACGGCCTGCACGGACCAGCGGCCGTGCCAGCGATGCACGCGGCTCGGGCTGCAGTGCGAGGGGGAGGCGAAGCCGGTGCGCCGCGCCTGCGACCAGTGCAAGCGGGCCAAGACCAAGTGCGACCTCAACGACGCGATGCCCTGCGCGCGCTGCGTCCGGCTCAAGCTCGAGTGCACTGCGGGCGGCAGCTGCAAGAGGCCGCCCGGCCTCGAGGAGCCGCACGGACCGCCGCAGTGGCCCGGCGCATGCGCGACCGCCGCCGCCGCCGCCGCCGTCCAAGCCGCGGCGACGACGGGCCCTGCGATGACTGCGACAGCTCCGACCCTGGCCATGGTGGCGGCTCCCGCGCTGGCGGTGGCGGCTCCCGCGCTGGCGGTTGCGGCTCCCGCGCTGGCGGTGGCGGCTCCCGCGCTGGCGGTGGCGGCTCCCACGCTGGCGGTTGCGGCTCCCGCGCTGGCGGTTGCGGCTCCCGCGCTGGCGGTGGCGGCTCCCGCGCTGGCGGTGGCGGGTCCGGTGGCAGGCCCGGCGGTGAGGACGGTCGACCTTCCGGCGGCGGCGTGCCGCGACAACCTCACCGCCGGCGAGGCGGCCGCCGCTCTGGACAGGCTCTCCCTGCCCGCCCTCACCGAGCTCGCGGAGGTGGCAGAGGAGGGCCTCACCCTCGACGCGCTGCTCAAGCGTTCCTTGGCCGCCTCCGCCTGCACCCCCGCCTCCGCCTCCGCTCCCGCCTCCGCCGCCTCCGCCTCCATCGCCGAGTCCCCCGCCGAGTCCGCCGCCGCCGAGCCGGCAGCCGAGCCGGCAGCCGAGGCTCCAGCCGAGCCTCCTGAGGCGGTCCGAGCAGCGGGCGCCGGCGGCGAGGCGGCGGGCTGCGGCGGCGGCGAGGCCGGCGGCGGCCAGGCGGACGCTTGCGAGGTGCTGTGGGTGACCGACGAGATGCTGGCGTATCGCGGCGCCACAGCAAGCAGGACGCGCACCCCACTCCTCACGTGCCCTGGCGTCAGCGCGCAGCCGATTGCTGCTGTAGGCTCGACCAAAGCGGCAGCTCGAAAGCGAAAGCGAGCGAAGCCCGTTGCTACCCGCTCTTCCGCCGTACGCGACCGGGTGAGGCGTTGCCCATGGGCTGGCGCTCCGCTAACGCGTCCACCCGAGCATTTGTCTCTAGGTTGAGATCGTGCCGCCAAAGGTGGACGGAGCCGGCCGGGCAATGCGGGCACGCAAGCAGGTCGACTATGCTGCGGAGGAGGCCAAGTACGACAACGAGAGCATGGGCGCGAGCAGCGAGGAGGAGGAGGGGGGCGGGAGGGCGGCGCGCACGCGGCGGCAGAAGCAGCCGGCCTGGGAGGACGAGGACGAGGTTGCCCGCTCTTTCGCCGTCGGCGACCGGGTGAGGCGTTGCCCCTACGTTGGCGCTCTGCTACCGTGTCCACACTCGAGCATTTGCACTCTAGGTTGAGATCGTGGGGCACGCGGAGGGATTCTTCGGATCGCGATACGCTGGGGCGGTCGTCGACTCATGCCCGTCTCGCGGCTTGCTCGTCGACTACGATGCGTTCCCCGGCGACGAGCCGGTGTGGGAGCCACTCAAATTCGCGCGGCCGAGCGTCGAGCGCGAGACGTGCGCCGCTGGTTCCGTGCCGCTGCTGCCTGGGGCTGCTTACACCGGACTCTTCGGTGCTCTGGCGATGCATCTCCTCGTCTCACGGCTGTCCGATCTCGCATAGGCGGCCGTCGAGGTGGCCCACGAGGGCGGCTGGTGGGAGGTGATCCCGCACGGTCGGCCACTATCCCACTCTCTTGCTCATCGCTAGCACGTGATCACCCCGCACAGGCCGTCTACGAGGGGGTGGCGCCGTCCATCTTCGGGGGCGTCTGGCCTCTGCACTCGGTCTACTCCATGCGGTACAAGGTGTCGCCCTCCTCCGTGCCAAATCTCCCTGTGCCGCATTTACTCACCGCGGGCGCGCGCTCCCTCCCGCAGCTCCGCCGCGAGGTCACCTCCTCGGCCTTGCACGTGCCACTCACGAGCGCCTAAGTGCTCCGCCACGGCTACCACGGCGACCTCCGGAGCTTGGAGCACGGAAGGGCCGCGAGTACAGGTGTGGCCGACTGCACGCTAAAGGCTACACGTTCGCACACGACTTGCTGAGTGGCTCTCCCTGCACGGAGCGGTGGTTCCGTGATCGCCGTGAACGGCCAAAACAATCGAGCAGCGCTCTCCCCGGTTCCAAGTCACCACACCCTATCCCTGTGAGCTGTGTGTCCTGTGTGGTGGCGGCGTGCCGCGTCCTCCCATCCCTCCCTTGGGTTGTCTGTTCTGGATCTTTTTCTTTCTTCACCACACCCTGCAGTCGAGCGCGCCGTGGCGAGGGGAGCTAGGCCGGCCGGCGCTGGGTGGGGCTTTCGTTCGCGCCGCCTATATACACCTAATCTTACCTACGGTGTACGGACTTGGCCGCTACACTAAAAAAATGAAATGCGATCGTTGTCCCTAGTTCGACCAATCACGGGTCACCACGTTTGATTCCGGGGAGCACGAGGGCTCCCACTTGCGCCCGGCGGCGCGCGGAGGAGGCCGAGAGTATAGGCCAAGTGCAAAAACAGAACAGAAAGAGAGCTGGAAGCCGCCGACGAACAACTAAACGAGCCGCATCGGCGTGCGTGACACGATGAGTCACACTGGACAGTGTGGAGGCACAAGTGTCACGCAAGACAAACAGAGAGTACGAAAGTGCGAGGTACTAGTGGAGCGAGACATCGCTCCAACCCCTAGAGAGTGCGAAGAGCTCCGCATTCCAACGACAAGCATCAGATCACCCATTTGGGGACGTTTGACATCGTGATTTCCCCGGAAATTTTCTTTTTATGCTGTGAAAATTCCAGCGTGAAGAGAGGGAAAACCCCGACGGGAGGGCCCTGAGATCGTGCCCGGGAAGAGAGGTGTTCGGGTACTTAGTAACAGACCTACCCTACATACCCCGTATGTATGTATGTAGAAAGATGAATAACAGTCAGGCTTGGACTGGACACCAACGCGGTATTGGTGGACGGATGAGGGCCGCTAAGCAAAAAAAGAATAGACATTTCACGGCGATCACGGAACCACCGCTCCGTGCAAGGCACGCTATAGCCGACCCTAGCGCGCTGCCGCACAGCGGCCCTTCCCGCCTCGCCACTCTGCGGTGGGCCGCGCCGTCGGCGCCTACCACGGCGGCGCGGCGCCGCGGACCTGTTGTCTCGCCGCGCCGGCCAGCCTGCGGCGCTGGCACAGCGATGCCGCACGCAGAACACAGAGATTCTGATAGCGGGCCTCTCTCCTTCCGGCCGCCAGCACACACCGTTCACACTCGCAGCCTGCTGCCTCTCCCGCAGAAGCACTCCGACACACACCAGAGACGACCGACACCGCTCACGCGCCGCGCGCCGCGCCCGCAGACACCATGGCCTCGTGCGCTGACGCCAACCTGAAGGACTGGGACCCTGAGGTCTACCGCTTCCTGCTCGAGGAGAAGAAGCGGCAGGTCAATGGCATCGAGCTCATCGCGTCCGAGAACTTCACCTCCAAGGCGGTGATGGAGTGCCTCGGCTCGTGCATGACCAACAAGTACTCTGAGGGCATGCCTGGCGCGCGCTACTATGGCGGCAACCAGATCATTGACCAGGTGGAGAACCTGTGCCGCTCGCGCGCGCTCGCCGCGTTCAACTGCGATCCGGCCAAGTGGGGCGTCAACGTGCAGCCCTACTCCGGCTCGCCCGCCAACTTCGCCGTCTACACTGCGCTGCTCACGCCGCACGACCGCGTCATGGGGCTCGACTTGCCGTCGGGCGGCCATCTCACGCACGGCTACTACACCGCCAAGAAGAAGATCTCGGCCACGTCCATCTACTTCGAGTCCCTCCCCTACCACGTCGACAGCCAGACCGGCCTCATCGATTACGACCACGTGCGCTGCGCGCCGCCTGCAGCCCCCACCACCTACCCACCGCCGCCTGCCCGCCGCCGCCTGCCCGCCGCTAGTGCGCCGTGCGCCCGACGCGAGCACTCGCCTGCCCCTCGACAGCTCGAGAAGACGGCGATGGTCTTCCGGCCCAAGATGATCATCGCGGGCGCCTCCGCCTACCCGCGCGATTGGGACTACGCACGCATGCGCGACATTTGCGACAAGACGGGCGCCTTCCTCCTTGTCGACATGGCGTGCACGCACGCCCGCACGCCCGCACCGCCGTCGCCATCGCACCGCCCTGGGCCCGGCGCCTGCTCTCGCCGGCGGCTACGTCGCGGCGCCGGCGCAGCGCAGCCGCCCTCGTTCCGCCGCCGTCGCACTCTCGCCGCCTCGTTGCCCTGACTCCTGCCGCGGCGCTGTCGCAGGCGCACATCTCCGGCCTTGTGGCCACGGGCGAGCAGAAGTCGCCCTTTGACTATGCGGACGTGGTCACCACCACGACGCACAAGTCGCTGCGCGGCCCGCGCGCGGGCATGATCTTCTTCCGCCGCGGCCCCAAGTCGGACGCGGAGAATGCGCCGCACTACGAGTACGAGGACGCCATCAACTTTGCCGTCTTCCCGGCGCTGCAGGGCGGGCCGCACAACCACCAGATCGCGGCGCTGGCGACGCAGCTCAAGGAGGTTGCGACGCCCGAGTTCAAGCTGTACGCGAAGCAGGTGCGCGCCAACGCAAAGGCGCTGGCCGACTACCTCGTCGCTCAGGGCTACAAGCTCGCGACCAACGGCACCGAGAACCACCTGATGCTGCTCGACCTGCGGCCGCTCGGCCTGACGGGCAACAAGATGGAGAAGGTGCTCGAGCACATGCACATCACGCTCAACAAGAACGCGGTGCACGGCGACGTGAGCGCGATGGCGCCCGGCGGCATCCGGATCGGCACGCCTGCGATGACGACGCGCGGCCTCAAGGAGGCGGACTTTGTCAAGGTTGGCGAGTTCCTGCACCGCGGCATCCAGTTCGCGCTCGAGGTGCAGAAGGCGTCGGGCAAGAAGCTCGCCGACTTCCTCAAGGCCATCGACGAGAAGGCCAACGCCGACAAGCTCGCCGGCATGTGCTCCGAGGTTGAGGCCTTTGCCGGAGCCTTCCCCATGCCGGGCCACTAGAGGCTGTCGAGCAGATACGCATAGTTGGATTGGCCGCGCCAGCGGTGTGGGGCGTGGGCCGCGGGCTCGCACGCCACCAAGTACGAGGGGTTCTGACGGCATCAGCATGTTCAATCGGTTGGTTTTTCCTTTTTGAGAGGTTCGTTGCTGTGGAGGGCTGTGGAGGGCGCAGCGCAGCGAGTGTGAGCTCTGGAAAGAGAGACGGTTGTACTACGGTGCGTCAGAGCCAGGATGCGTGCGCGGCCATTTTGTAAAGGTTATTTATGAAATTTATGGAGCTCAGCTGGGCACGCGCCACGGCGCACCCGGCCGCCCTGTGCGCACGTTTGCAGCTGTGCCCCACCCGGCGGTGCGCCCGTCCCCGCTCTCCGCTGCGCGGTGCGCGCTGCGCGAGACCGGACTCCGGAGTCGGCTTCCGAGCGCGCTGCAGAGAGCTGCGAACGGTGCCGCCCATTGACGGCGTCAGCGAGCGACACCGAGGTCCGAGCGTCGAGCTCGAGCGGTCGACCGTCGAGCCCAACGCGCAGCCGAGCCAGGAGCCACAAATGCAACACTAGAGAGCTTTCCACAGCCCCCAGCCCCCTGCCAGCCGGGCAGGGGCGCGTGGGCGTCGACGTGCGTTCGTCGTGCAGAGCTCCTTAGCCCACCGTCCTCCGTTGCCCACGAAAGAGCTGCATGGTCTCACCGCTCGACAGAGGCACCGGAGGCTCAGCTCTCAGCCCAGCCCCCACCAGTCAACAGGCTGAGCGCCTCGGCTGCCGATGCGAGCGGCGCCTGCTGCCCCGCTGCGTCAGAATGCTGCTGTGGCGGCGCCTGCTGCGGCGGCAGCGCCACTTGATGTAGCCCCTGCTGCTGCGCCGCCCCCTGCGGCGCGAGTCCCTGCGGCGGCAGACCCTGCTGCACCAGATCCAGCTCATGTGGCGCCAGCTCGCGGGGCCTCTTTTCGCCGACGTGCAATGGTTGCGCGGCGTGAGAGCCCAGCTCCTGCGCCTCCGACGCGTCGGAGCTTTGGCGCGCCTGGACCGAGTTGATGGCTGCAATCCAGGCATCGATGTTGTTGCCAGGCCCGCCAGAGCCAGCGCCAGCCTCGGGCATGGGCAGCGCTGCAGGCGGCGCGCAGTGCGGCGAAGGCGAGGAGTGGGAGGGGGGCTGGATCGCCACCGAGGCCGCCTGCACGATGGCGTCCATCGGGAGCAGCCAAGACGTACTGCCTGGGAGCCTGGAGTCAAACGGGCCGAGGGTCAGGGCCGCACACATATCAGATTTCAGAACACATTTCCGTGCCGCCCTGCAGCTGACTGCGGCTGGCGCGTTGGCAGAAGCCCGGACGGCCCAGCCAGCGGGCTCGATTCTGCTTGCTGTAGAGCCCCGTGCGACGTCGACGGGCACATTGCCTGTTGGGCGTGTATGTGCTGCGGCGCAAGCTGCGGCTGCGATGAAAGGAGCAGTGCGTCCGCCGCCTGCGCCGCCTGGAGCGCGGGCACGCACCACGGTGAGAGGGTGGGGGTGGTTGGGAGCAGGCGCACTCGCGCGCGGGTGCCTCGCTGGAGCACGCCGACTGCGCCACCGCGTGTGGCTGCACGTAGTGAGGCTGTCCTTGCGGTCCTTGGGGGGCTTGCGGCGGGAGTTGCTGCACGGGCTGCTGGAAGTGCAGCTGCTGCGGCGCCTTCGGCACAACGCGAGACGCTGAGAGTGGGGCTCGCAACCCAAGGTGGGTCCACGAAGGCTCCCGCTTCGCCTGGGCCGCGAGCTGCGACGCCCCCATCGAGTCGCAGCTCGGCATGCCAACACCAATGCCCATCCCGTCCACCGGTGGGGCCATAAAATCGCGCCGGATCTTGAACTGCCGCGCCTCCAGCTGCGCGAGGGACTCCAGCGATTCGATGTTTTTGATCCACTTGCGCAACTGCGCCTGCAACAGAAGTGGCGGCGGGTGGACTGGCCAGTGGCGTCCCCTCTTCTTGGCGTGGCGGGACCCACCGGGGCCCGCCCATCCGCTCACTCACTGGGGAAGGCGGAGCGAACGAGAGCGGCGGCATTTTGTGTGAACTGGGCAAGGTGGCAGTGGCTCGCGACGACCCCAGTCGAGGGGACGTGGGGGCAGTGAGAGGCTCTGGAGAATCTGCCCCGCGCCGGCTCAACGCCCGGATGGTCCCGGCAGGTCGGCTTGATTCTGCACGTTTCCGGGCGGGCGAGCGCCTCGCGGACGACGCGGAGCTTGAACTCCGCTGAATACAGCGTCCGCGAGCGGCGCTGCCGCTGTCCCTCGGCAGGCATCATGCGCTTCGCGGCGCAGCCCTCGACGAGCTTTACCTCGTTAGGGGGGTACGGGGCGGGCGATTCGCGGAAGTTTGGTTGGCAGCCGCGCCTCTTGAGGGTCAAAACCGAAGAAAAAAGTCTTTCTTTTTTTGCCTACGTTGGGAAGAAAGACATGCTTTCCTTTCTTTCGGGTCGGGGGCGTGGTGGGGGCGTTGGGGTGGGGCGGCGCGGCGCCGGAGTGGGAGTGGGTGACTGCTCCTGGTGGGGGCTACGGCTTCCAGGAAGCCGTCGCCCGCGCTTGTCGCTTTGTGTTTTGGCCGCCCGTGCTGAATCAGCAGGTCGACGACCACACCGCTCGTGGCCTGTGCTACGTCGCCCCCGAAATGTCCACCGTGGCGGAGCGTGCTGCCCTCCGCTCGCTCGACAATGGCAAGCGGCCATGCGCGTCGGCGGCGCCGCCAGCCAAGGCGGCGCGACATATGGCAGTGGCGCCGGAGGGCGTTGGTGCGGAGCCGCGGCGCCTGCTGAGAAGCCGAGGCGTCCCTCCCGAGCCTGCCGGTGGCAGTTGTGCGCCTGCAGAAGCAGTCACGATCCGCGTCTCTTCCCTCGCCGCCGCAACCGGCTACCACCCGTGGGCAGATGCGCACGCCACCTTCCTCTCCGCGCTGTACGGAGGCCGCGCAGGCAGGCAGACGCTCGAGGACGACGGCGAGCTGCTTGGCCTCTCCCTCGTCGACCCCGAGGAGGAGGCGCTCCGGCGCCTCCTCGCCGCCGCGGACGGCCCTGAGAGGAGCGGCGAGGAGCGTGGCGCCCGCCAGCTCGCGAGCGAGCTGGCCGCCGTCCTGGCAGCGGCCGATCGGCAGCCGCCCTCGGCGGGCGGCGCTGCAGCTGCGGGCGACGCGGCCGCTGCGTGCCTCGCCGCGGCAGCGGCGGAGGGGACGGTAGGGGCAGAGGCGGCGCTCGCTGCCGCGGCCGTCCGCTCACGCCTCAACACCTCGCACGGGTGCCGGAGCGAGGCGTCTGCGCTGCGCAAGTACGAGCAGCGGTTCGGCTGCGCGGTGCGCGACTCGAATGACGCGCTGCTCGTCTGGCCGATTGGTGCGGACGCGGAGGAGCCACGCCGGCCGGTGGAACACGTCGCGTCGTGGCGCGGCCGCCAGCAAGGCAGCGGGAGGGGGGAGGCACGTCCACGACACGTCCCTCGACGCGTCGGTAGGAGGCCCGGCGGAAGGGTTAGAGCAGCTGCCTCCAGCCGGCCCCGCGCCGCCGGCTCTGACGACGGCGGCCGGGCGCGTCGCTGGCTCCGCGCGCTCGACCGCTGCCGCGCGGCGCTCGCCGTCGAGAGGGGAGAGGCGGCTCCTCAACACCGCTCCTCCCTCCCCAACCCCCTTCCGATCACCGCTCTCTGCAGACACCTGCAGCCCTTCGGCCAACTGGAGAGCTTGGCCCGACCCTGGCACACCGCACAACGCCGACTCCGACCCCGCACCGTCCGCCCCAGGTGGAGGCGTGGGCGCGCGCTCTCTTCTCGCTCGACCCGTCCTCCCGGCCGGCGGACTACCGCCTGCCCGCTGGCGGCTGGGACGTGCAGGCTGGCCGCTCCGACCTGCGCCGCTTCCCTGGCCCTTCCCTGGCCCCTTCTCCGACCCTGCTCCGACCCCTCCTGCAGGCCCTCTTCTCCGACCTCCGGGTCGCGCGCGGCCGAGCACTCCTCGCGAGCCTGCGCTGCGCGGAGGCGGCCGCCGCTCCCGAGGCGGCGGGCGAGGGACGGCCGCCGGCTCGCCTCAGCCGCGCCGCCGACTATTGCCACGGCGGTGCCGCGTGGGACATCTCCGCGCTGAGGGCGGACCTCGCAATCACGCGCCGCCGGCTGCGGATCGCCGCGGCGGAGGGGCGGCGCTGCGGGCCGGGGAGGGGCGGGCTGGAGGGCGGCGACTCGGCCTCTCCGCCCCTGCCGCCGCCCCTCGTGCGGCTGGTCGGCGCGGTCGACGGCGTGGCGGACGAGGTTGTGCTCACGCGCGGCGAGGGCGAGGGCGAGGGCGAGGAGAGCTGGGCGCTGCGGACCGTGGTGGTTGAGGTGAAGAGCCGCGTGCGCCGCATCGCGCGACCGCCCGCGCTGCACGACCAGCTGCAGGCCGTCGCCTACTCGCTCATGCTGCGTGCCGAGGCGGCGCACCTCGTCCAGACGCTCGGCGAGGAGATGGACGTTTCCCCCGTCGAGCTGCACGGGCCGCCGATGTGGCACGCGGCCAACTTCGAGGCGCACGTGCTGCCGCGCCTGCGAGCGTTCGCGGCGGCCGTCCAGGCGATGCGGGCCGACGTCGCCGCGCGGGTCTCGTACCTCTGTGGCGACGATCGCTGGCGCGACCGCTTGCTGCGCGAGCGTGGTTGCGGGTTCCTAGTCAAATGACGCGCTCCGGGGCCCCTATATTTTGGTCGCAGTGTTCGGCTCGATGGTGCCACTACGTACTTTAGTGAGTTCGGCCGACAGTCTATCTATAGAGAGTGCATCAGCTCACACGTGATAAGCCGCAGCCCGTTCGAGCTTGGGATGAAGAAGCCACTGCCCACCGCTCCCTTCTCCGTGCCGATAGAGCGACAATCGCGCGCCTTTTTCGCGCGCAACAGCGGCTCCTCAGTGCTCAGAGATGGTGCGCAGCAGCCCCGCAGATGCTCAAGAAGCAAGAGAAGAGGTGAGAGGCAAAGTTCGGCGCCGCCACCGGGACAACCTCGGGCAGGATCTCGGGCGGCGCCGGACGGAGCTTCTTCGCTACAATCCGTGTCACCGTCGCAACCACCTCAATCGAGGCGGGTGAGGGCGAGAAGGTAGAGGCCGAGGCGGCGGACGAGGTCGAGGCGGCAGCTTCACCTTGCTCGTCGTTGTCAGCAACTTCGTCTGCAGCGCGTGGCAGCGCCGGAGCCGCAGCCCAGCCGGCGATGGCCAGCGGAGGTGCCCTCCACAGAATGGTTGGGTAGTAGGGCTAGAGGGTCGCTCTACACTTAGCCTCTGCAGCGAGCAAGCGCTCAACTTAGCCCCCGCACGGAGCCGGGCTCGGACTTAGACGCTGTATGGTCGGGGGCCATGAACTTAGACGGCACAAGGCCAAATCCGGGTAAAACCCGGGTATACCTGCAAAAGTCCAGGTTTACCCGAAAAATACCTGGACGCGTCCCGACCAACGTATGCCGCGCACGACGCCATATCGCCTTGTCCCAGGGCCAGTGCGCTACTTGCGGCGCGCAACTCCTGCTCAAGTACGCGCACCGTACCATGTGCTGCCGCTATGCGTGCCTTAAGGCGGCTGCGGCGAAGCGGCGGGCGCGGCATGCCGATGGCAGTGCGGACGATGCGGTTGCGATGTGTTCTGCTTCAAGATCGTGGCGGTGCTTGGCATGCACTTGTGCGATCCCAATCAGCTCATCGCAACGCGAAGCAGCGCAACAAGCTGGCTGCTGCCAACAAGGCCCTATGCTAGATCTACCTCACGCGCGGATCGTTCAAAGAGGACCAGCATACACAGGCTTCTCTGACATGCGTTTGTTTGAGCTTGAGGCTATTTATGTGAGAAATGTTTGGCTAGAGATTGCGCTCAAGAAGAGCAACGAGAATCGGAAGAGGAGGATGCTGAGGCGGCGATTGCTGAGGCATGAGGAGGATCGATCCGGATTAGAAGGCGCCCGCCGCAGGCGAAGAAAATTTGGGGGCTAGCGCCGTATCGTTGATCACAGTGGGAGCCTCTTGGCCCCAGGCTGTGCCACGGCCGACTTAGCCGATGTAAGAGGCTCTCGCTGATCTTAGACCGCGTAAGCACCCCAGCGTGACTAGTCACACTTAGACCCGCTCAGCCTCGAGGCTCAGAACTTAGACTACTACCCAACCAGTCTCCACAGGAGTGCAAGGCTCGCGCGCTCTGGTGGCAGGCCGTTGTAGGCTGCAAAGTTGGCGAGGGCGATGCCTATGCTGCCTGCTCATCGTACACCTCCTGGAAATATTGGGCTCCCGGTGCGAAGAGCACATCGCAGCTCGGGCGCCGCAGCTCGCTCATGGTGGCGTTGCACGGCAACGGCCGGCGTCTCGGGCTCAGTCCACCTGGTTTGGCTGTGGCAGTGACCGCGTTGGTAAGATCTCTGTGTGATGACATCACGCGGCGGGCGGCGGTTTTACCATTTTGTGAAAGTCGTCAGCGTCTACCACAACAACACACACTCTTGTGCCCCCCCCCCCCCGAGCCCACACACACAACACACTTCTCACGCCCTCCCACTCACACACCAACAACACACTGTGCCTGTGCGGCTCCCCCCCCCCACACACACAGAACCCCCCCACACAAACACACAATCTTCCTTTCTTCGGCTTTCAGGTTCCTCCCACCCACCGAACCACGCCACCAGCACACCTTGCCCGCACGAGCTTCTTCTTTCAAGGGCCGGACACGACAAGCACGCTATTCGTGCGCCACACCTCCCGGCCACTGCGGCCAGGCAGTAGCTCGTAGGGCGCAAGCGAGGAGTGGGTGTCGACGACAGAATGTGGCTGCTTGCTCATCCGGAACTCGTAGGTTAAGGACTGGCTCCGCGAGGCGTCGCGGAAGACCTGCACATTTGCCGCCGCCTGGCTGCCCGAGACCTGCACCCCAGGCGGCAGCACCTCGTACCCAAAGCCAGAGATGAGCGGATTGTATGTCGCTCCTCGGACCATCTGGTCGAAACGGTCGAGGTTGTAGCCAGAGGGCCAAGCAGTCGAGGCGCGATTTCCTGGCGAGGCCAACTGATATGCGACCAGGGTGCTCCCCGCCTGCATGTCGTCCATCTGCGCGCGCAGCACCGCCTCTGCACTCGTCGTGTCGACGCCAGAGGGCGGGGACGGCGGCGGGCACGGCACCTCCGATAGTCTGCGTGACTCCGAGAAGGTGGCGGATGTCGGCGCCGTAGTGAGTTCAGCTTCTCTTTCGGACGCCTCGAAACGAGAGAATGCAAAGTCCGTTGCGTAGGGTGACCGCACCTCGTACATGGCGGCACTTCCTTCAATCGCACCCTCTGCCTGCGCCGAGGTTGTGAACCGGCCCGGCGCGGTGGGGTAGATGTCAACCTTACCCTCCCGGCGAACAGGCGACGAGAAGGACTGGCCGAGGATGCCGTGGGGTAGCGAACGCGCTGCCACGCCACGTGAATCGGCGCTGAGGCTCAGGTCGAGTCGGTGCCGCGCCCCTGCTGTCGAACTGTGAACGGAATTGCCGCGGACCGTGATTGACCAGCCGCGGACGGAGAAGGTGGCAGACGAGTACTTGATCCCTATGGACAGCTCCTCGCATCGCCGTTGGAGGCCAAGCCCCATCCAAAAGAGACGTCCGCCGCAGGAGCCATTTACAAACTGCCAACCCGTGTTGAACGCGTTTAGCTCCGACGCCCAGAAGGATGCATTTGCCCACTTCCGCTTGGCGCCACCGACGCGCGCAACCACATGGGCCTCAGTGATAAAGGAACCGTTCACGGTCAGGTTGCCGAGACCGAATGTTGCCTCCTCCGTCTTGACATTGACAGCCAGCCCAGGCGCAGAGAAGAAGGCGAAGAGGTGGCCGTCGCGGCCCCGAAAGTCGGCGCGGCCGCCTCGAGCAAGGACGAGGTGCGGATCTCTGAAGGCGTGTGCCCCGATTGCGGAGCACGGAGGCATTGTCCGGGCGGTCGTGTGCAGGTCGGTGCAGGCTGGGTGGCGATCCGGATGAGGGACTTGAACTTTCCGCCCGTCCTTTTTGCATGCGTCCTTCATCTTCTGCTTCGGGTCCTGATGCTGATCTCCTGAATTCCTGTTCTCCTTTCGAATGAGTTTCTTCTGGCAAAGGGACGACCCGACCCCGAGATCGTCGGTCTCTCGCACGCATGCCCACATGCCGGTGCACCTCTTCACCCATGGCATATGCAAGTCCTGGCCCGGCTGTGCCTGCCAGTCAGTGCCAAAAGCCTCCCTTTGGTTTCCGAGAAATGAAATGAGAACAAAACGTAGGACCTCTAACTTACCTCCGTCTTACAAATAATTAAGCGACCGAACGGCAACGCAATGTCACAGTGGAGGATGGAGAACGGCACAGCCACGGCGACGGCCCTCACACGTGACTACGTAAAATAATGTGCGGCGCGCACAGACCTGTCTCGTGCGTCTCGCTAGTAGACCTCGACGTGCCACTGGCCCGCCTTTTTCCACTCGCTGAGCTTGTCCTCCCACACGAGCCCCTTCTCCTTGCACACGCCCTCGAGCATCTCGGTGATGCCGGGCATCATGCCCTTGAGGCCGCAAAAGTACATGTGCGCGCCGTTGTCCATCCGCTCAAACACCTCGTCGGCGTGCTGCGCGACCTTGTCCTGGATGTACATCTTGCCGCCTACAGGGCGCGTCGCAGATCGCCGACGCGCGCCGTCTCTCGCCCCGCCCGGCCCGTCTCCGCCGCCGCCTCCGGGCGCGCTCTCCTCCCTGGAGAGGGCGTACGTGAGGCGGAAGGACTCGCGGCCCTGCGCCGCGCTCCTGCCCCTCGCCGTCTCGCGCTGCAGGATCGCCTGCCACTCGTCGTCGTAGAGGAGAGCATCGCGGTTGGCCACGCCCAGGAAGAGCCACGCCAGGCCTACGGCGGGGAAGGGGTGGGGGGACGCCTCGAGGACAAGCCTCCCGCCACTCCGCCGCCGGAGCGGGGTGTGCTCGGGGACCGCGAAATGCGTCGGCGGCGGGCGTCGGCTCCAGGAAGAGGCGGCGGAGGAAGCCGCGGTAGGGCGCGATGCCGGTGCCGGTGGCGAGCATGATGAGGTCGGTGGCCGGCTCGTGCTCGGGCATCAGCATCACCTTGCCCGTAGGGCCGGTGAGGTGCACCTCGTCGCCAGGCGAGGAGTCGCACCTGCGGAGGACGCCGCTGCCGTTAGGGACGTGTCGTGGACGCGTCCGCGTCGAGCCCGACCAGCGCGCGCGCGCAGGAAGTTGGAGCAGACGCCCTTCTTGGCGGGGTCGTGCGCCCCCGTGTCCGCGTCCCAGTACAGCGCGCGCCGCACGCACAGCGAGACGGAGCTTCCCTTGGCGTCGTCGCCGTAGCGCGTGCTCGCGATCGAGTACAGCCGCACCGCGTTCGGCTTGCCTAATAAGTGGTGCAGATCGGATAAGGGCAGAGGAGAGGAGAGGAGAGCCGCAATCGTGCGTCTGGCGCGCCAGTCTTTGCGTTGACGCCGGGCGGAATCACGCCGAGGCTCTGCCCCTCCCAGTACCGAAAGTTGTCGCCGGTGCCGATCCGGATGTGGCACACCTCGCCGGGCGCGGCGGGACCGACGATGCGCTTCGCCGAGATGATCGCGCCCGCGAGCGGCGCCTTGTTCTTGTAGGTGTTGAGCGGCAGATTGGCGGCGATGGCGTGGTAGGGATCGCACTCGAGCGACGCGCCCGGCGCCAGCGCCGCCGCGTCAGCCTCATCGGCGAGCTCCTGCACCACCGCAGAGACCTGGGCGGCGGCCACGGCCACACTGGGCGCCGTGATGCGGCCGAGCCCTTCCTCGATCCCGAGCGCAACGACCGCTGGGAAGAAGCCGGGAAGGAGACCGGCATCGCGCGCAATCCTGAGGCCGTTGAGGTTGCCGATCATCTCGCGATCGCACGTCTCAATAACGCGGTCCACAAACTGAGGCGCAACGCCGGCCTCGGCCATCAGCCAGCTGCGAAGCTCCTCGCTCGGCGCGGAGGCTGCGAGGCGCACATTGGCGGCGCGGTGCGAGGGCGGGTGCGTGAATCGAGGAGCAGCGGTGCCGAGGAAGGAAGCTGCGTCGAGAATGAGGAGGCTGAGCATTGTTGCGATCGGCTCGTATCCGCGCTGATGCAGAGCTAGCGACGCCTGATGACGAGCCGACCGAGCTGCGAGCTCACAGGAGGGACCCCACCCCTCTCCACACTTTTAGTAGTCGGCCCCGGTTGGCGGTGGCGGCGGTGGCAGCGCGGTGAGATCGCTGGTGTCCCTTCCCCCGGGTGGGGGGGGTTCAGGCACGAGAGCCATATTCAGTCCTCAGTCGGAGAGCTGGCGCGACGAGTGCGAACGGGAACGCGACGGGTGCGGACGCGACGAGCAGCGAGCGATGGCGATGCGAGTCGCAATGGCGCGATGAGCTGCGATCGCGCGACGAGTCACGATGGCCTGCTGAGCGATGGCACGACGAGCCATGGCGAGTCGAACGATGGCCGCATCATGATGAGGATGTTAGTCATTACAAGAAACACGCTCGGTCTCGTCTCGTCGGCAATGCGCGAGCACTATCAAACTCGCGCACGGCGTGGCAAAGTGCGGCCTGCAAGCGAGGGTGGTGCGCCCGCTGTACGAGGCGGTGGCGGAGGAGGCGGTGAGCGGCGGGCTGGCGGGCTTCTATCCACAGGCACTGGCCAACACGGTGTGGGCGTATGCGACGGCAGGCATGGCTGCGGATGCGCTGTATGCGGCAGTGGCGGAGGCGGCGGTGTGCGGCGGGCTGGGGAGCTTCAGCCCTCAGAACCTGGCCAACACGGTGTGGGCGTATGCGACGGCAGACCATTTTCACCAGGCACTGCTGGCCGAGTGTTTGCGCACGGTCGACACTCGCGCGGGATCCGTCGAGGTGGAGCGCGGGGGACCGCTCTCAGCTGCACCAGTGGCAGCTCTGGCTCTCTCTTGAACGTGGGGTAGGTGGGCAGCACCTGGAGAGGGTTCGCCTGGAGCACGGGGTCTAAGGGTGGCATCACGCCAGGGTCGGTGCGAGTCGTGACACCCTGGAACACCCGTACGCTCCCATGCCATCTCCTTCGCCTTGTTCGGCTCCGGCCTTAGCCCTTACCCCGGGAGGCGGCCAGGGCATCATCGACTTGGTCGAGAGACCCCATCCCGGGCTGGACAGAGTTCCACCCCGGGCTCTGGACAGGGTGGCCCGCCACACACACGACACACGTAATTAATTAATTAATGCGACTCACTCACTCGCCGCTTTCCTCGGACTGACTGTGAATTTTGTGTGAGCTCCGTGTCCTGATTTGCCAACAACAGAACTAAAAACGCCTAACAAAAGGAAAGATGATTCAGGTCCGCTTTCTCACTCTCCAACTTCCTCTCCCTGGCCTCGCCTAGCATCCCGCCGCACAAGAGATAAAAGGCTCCGCATGGGTACAATGGAGGAAATTTAAGTTTCCCGCTTTACTCAGGGTCGCACTCCTTGCAGGCCCAGACGCACTCTCCTACGTGTGTTAGATCGAACATGTGATCGCACAAGTACTGGTGGTCGTAGGTGCAGTGGAAGCGACATGGCTCTCTCTGCTCCCAGCCAGGGATGAGCGGCGTGAGATCGCGGTGAGATGCGTAGAAGGTGTCCTCGAGCTCGAGACACTGCCCGCAGTCCTCGCAGATGGACTTGACGACGAGCACATGCGCGCTCGCGACAGCCATCTGCGGCGTGGACATGAGCCGCTCCACGTCCGCCGGGGTCAGCTCGGTCCGGCCCACGCTAGAGAGCATCTCGGCGGCGACGGCGGGCGGCGGCTCGCGGAAGCCCCACGCGCCGTCGTCAGGGTCAGCCTCGGGGTGGGGCTCGCGCAGCCTCACCCAAGAGCCCACGCGCACGCGCCCGCCCACCGGCGCCACAACCTCTACGTGGGCGGGCAAGGCGTAGAACGGCCGCGAGAGCACGTAATAGCTGTTGTCCTCGGGATCGTCCACGTCGAAGTCCGGGTCCTGCGTGTTGTGAAAGTACTTGACGGTGGCGATGTCCTGCGGCTCGGACGGCATCCAGCCGACCTCCTGTCCGATGGCCGGCCAGGGCTGGACGTGGTAGGGTGAGAGCATCACCGGCGTGCTGACGTCGTCGAGCTGCACCGTGTGGAAGTGCTGCGGCCCCTCGATTTGCGCAAAGCCAGCACTGCTCAGCTTCAAGCTGCTCACGCTGCCGCCCTTCTCCTGCACGCACAGCTCGGCGCGCCGCAGCACAGTGCCGCACTGCCCAGCCTTCACGGGCACGGCCAAGCACGACGCCCACTCTGGGCCCCAGAAACTCGCGGCGTCATGGATGGGCACCACGCCGCTAGCCGCACCGTCTTGCACGAGGGCCCACGCGACGCCCTCGCACACGCGCACGCGCTGGTCCTCGAAGACGAACGAGTTGCCCAGCAGTCGCTGCTCCTCGCGTTGTCGAATCGAGCCGAAGCTCTCGCCGAGCCTCGGCCGCTTCTTCTCTCGAGCTGCGCGGCGGTGCTGGGAGACGGACTGGCGGCGGCGGTTGGCGTCGGCTCGCTTCGCCTCCGCTTCAGCCTGCTTGCGATGTTGCGCACCACTCAGCTGCTCCCGCTCGCTGCGATCCCGCTTGCCCCTCTTCTGCTCGTTGATCGCCTTCTGGATGCGTCGGCGCTCCTTCATGATGGCTTCGCGCGCCGCCTTCTCCTCCTGGCTCGCGTCGTTGGGCAGCCTGGGCGGCAGCGGTGGCACGACCAGCTCGGCGCCGGTGGCAGCTGGCGCGGCGGCGGCGGTGACGGAGGTCATATGCATGGATTGGTTGGCGGGTCGACTTGCGAAGCCGATTGGACGGGGTTGCCCTGTGCCTCGTCTGGGCAAGTCTACGTACGTCCGAAATTTAATGTTAGGAGTGGGTACCTTACAGAAACAAGTTTCTTCCATTGTACGATAAAGTAGATTTCGGCGGCCCGGACGCCCGATCCATTCCAAATCGCTAGTTTGTGTGCATGCCGTACGCCCCGACCGACAGCGGCCCGGAGCGGCGGGCGCTCGTGCACCGCGAGTCGGAGCACAAGGCCACCCTCCGGCACCGGGTTACCGTAAACGACGTCGTCCAGGATAGCTTGCGCCGTGCGTTGGGCGGCGGGATTGCGGGCGCCGGCGCAATGGCCTTCCAGGTGACCACGCTCATGTGGATCCGTACCACGATCACTTTTCAGTATCGCTACGGGTCGACTACGCGCGAGGCGATGCGGACGCTCTACGCGCAGGGCGGGGTGCGCCGCTTCTACCAGGGCGTCGCCCCCGCCCTCGTGCAGGCGCCCCTGTCGCGTTTTGGTGACACGGCGGCCAACGCCGGGGTCATCTCGCTCCTAAACTCCAACGAATCGTCGGCGTGGCTGCCAACCGGCGTCAAGACGCTCGCGTCCGCATCGGCGGCCGCCGGCTGGCGCGTCATCCTCATGCCGCTCGACACGGTCAAGTCGATGATGCAGGTGGAGGGGCCGGATGGTCTCTCCAAGCTACGCGCCAAGCTCCGGACCGGTGGCCTCGCGGTGCTCTTCCACGGCGGCGGTGGCCTCGTCAGCAGCGCCTTCCTCGGCCACTACCTGTGGTACGGCACCTTCAACCACCTTGATACGGTGGTACCAAAGCAGCAGGGGCTTGCGCCGACGCTGGGCCGCAACGCCGCGGTCGGATTTGTCGCCAGCGCGGTGGCCGACACGGCGACCAACTCGCTGCGCGTAGTCAAAACTTTCCGGCAGACGTCGCTGGAGAGTGTGACCTATGCGGAGGCAGCCCGTCTGGTTGTACAATCCGACGGGTGGAGCGGCCTCTTTGGACGCGGACTTGCCACCCGGCTGCTCGCAAACGGCTTTCAGGCTGCCATCTTCAGCGCCATGTGGAAGTACCTCGAGCAGCGGTTAGTAAGGGGGCGGTGATGTGTTACGATATTCGAGAAGATATTCTCACATCACCTGATACATCATGCAATTAATACAACATCAGAAAAAAGGAAAGAAAAGGCGTCACATGGCGTCCAACCCGGCGGCCACCAAAAGGTCCGGAGAGAAGGCTCGACCCACCTCGAATCGCAGCGCGGCCGAGACTGTCGGCGTCCGGCTCTCCACGTCGTGGAGCCAGCCGTCGGGAATGTACAGCAAGTCGCCCGGCTCCAGAAAGCAGTGCGCCCGCGGCAAAGGCATTCGGTCGTCGCCGGAGGGGCAGCTGCGACCGGCGGCGCCGCCCGCCGCCGGCTCGCCCTCCTCCTCCGCGGCGACGCCGAAGAGGTCCTCGTGCGTGCCGGGCGTGCCGAAGAGCTCGCGGACGAGCGGCTCGTGCTCCGCCGCCACGGCCGGGTCGACGAGGACCACGCTCTTCCTGCCGTGGAGGTGCAGCAGCGCGTTGTCGCCGTGGTCGCGGTGCAACGGCGTGCGCCCTCCCGCCGAGGTGACGAAGAGGGCGGTCTCGCCGTCCGGCTTGACGCTCGCGCCCGGCCACGACCGCAGCAGGGCCGGCAGCGGCACGCAGGGCGGCAGCGAGCCTCCCTTTGCTCCCTCGTCGAGCGCCGGCGCCGCCGCGGGCGCGGGCGGCTGCCCGCTGCTGAGCGCGCCGAGCCGCGTGCGCCACTGCCAAAAGGCGTTCCCGTCGCCGCGAGGCTCAAATATGTGGCGGACGGCGACGGCGACATCGACGGCGACCGCCTCTGCGCTGCCGCGCTGCGAGAGGATGTTGGTCGGGCAGCGGAGGAGGAGGTCTGCCTCGGATCCCGCGCCGGTGGAGCCGGAGGAGGCGATGGAGAGGGTCCAGGCAGCGAACGACCACTGCGAGAGGTCCGAGGCGCGCCGGAGCAGCAGAGGCTGGCCGCCATGGTAGTAGGCCTGGAAGACGTGCCACGGAACGCGGGAGGCGGGCAGTGCGATCACGGGCTTTGTTGACATGCACGCAGCACGCAGCCGCCGCGCTGCCGCCGCCGCGCTTGAGGCGAAAAAAGCAACTGAGAAAACAGCACGGGTGAGACCACTCTCTCACAAGACAAGCGATCCCACGACAGCGAGTGTGGGGACTACATGATCCGTACGTGAAGGGTGGAGGGGCCCGTCCGCAGAGCTAGGCGGCGCGGGCACCGACTGGGGCCGAGGGTAAGAGGACATCTGCCGCTTGCTTGTTCTTGCTTGATCCAGTCGGTGCGCATCTTGCGCGCCTGCTTCTTAATGTTTTCGGCGTCGCCCGCCACCGCCGCATGGAGATCTGCTGCGTGTGGTGGACGACAAAGGAGGAGGCTGCGCTCGCCGACGCCGCCCCATACACCGTCCGGTCGGTGTTGGTGCCCGAGGGCCCAACTTCGAATCCTGCTGACCAAACCGCGAGGAACGATCAACTGCGGACTGCCGGAGGCCTCGGTCTCCCCTCTGCCCGTGCGACTTTCGCTAACTCCCTCGAGCGTAGATCGTCTCTCTTCGGCGCGCTCGAGCACGTTTGGCACCAAGAGGCTTTGATTCTTACGACCCTCACCCGCCAAGGCAGGTGTGCACTCTGCTAGTACTTGTGTACTCACACCACTACACTGTGGGGTGTGCCCGAGCATGATGTATGTGCGCGTCTGTGTGTGTGTGGGACAGACGTTGTTGTCCTATGCGCGGGGCTTCCCGCGGGGACCGAAGACGTAACGCAAACCGCGAGGGAGCAAAAAGAAAATCCGTGGACTCTCCCTCTCTCGGCCGACGGAAGCGACGACCGCCACCGACTCCCACCACCACCACACGCTCTTCATGCAGCGCGCTATCTCGTCCAGTCGCGCGCTGTTACCGAAAAGCAGTCGTGGCCTCTCGAGCGTCGCCGCAGACTGGGCCTTCCCAGTGCCGGTAACGTTTGGCGCCGGCCGAGCGGCAGAGCTGCCTGCTAAGCTGCGAGAGCGCGGCTCAAACCGGCCGCTCCTCGTCGCCGACAAGGGCTTGAGCGGTGCGCCTCGGCCTCGCGCATCCGGGACCGCTTTACTTCCTCGCTCCGCCATTCCCGTCCCTTCTTCCTTGCCGGCACCCGCAGGCACGCCCGTCGTCGGCGGGCTCTTTGACTCGCTCGCCGCCGCCGGCCTACAGCCTCGCCTCTTTGGCGAGGTGGACGCCAACCCGACCGACCTCAACATCGTCGCCGGGGCGGCGGCGTACCGCGAGCACGCGGCCGACGGCTTGGTCGCGGTGGGTGGCGGCAGTGGCCTCGACGCGGGCAAGTCAATTGCGATGGTCGCCGGGTCTGGCAGGAGCCTGGACGAGCTCGAATGGACGCGGCCGCCCGTGGAGGAGATGAGCTGCCCGCCGCTCGTCCTCATCCCGACCACGGCCGGCGCCCGGCGCAGGGCGGCGAAACGCGCCAGCCACGCACGCGTCCGCATCACCCCTTGTCCTCTCGGTGCACAGGGACCGGCGCAGAGATGGACTCGGCAGCAATGTACACCGACACGAGCCGCAGAGTCAAGTTCTGCGTCGCGCACCCCGGCTGCACGGCGCAGGAGCGCCGCCCCTCCCTCCTCCTGCCAGGCGCTGGCTCTCCCTGCCTCCCACCTCCACTTCTCCCCGCGCCGGTGCAGATCCACGTGATCGCCGACCCGCTCCTCACGCTCTCCCTGCCGCCGACGCTCACGGCGTGGACCGGCATGGACGCGGTCTGCCCGAGATGAGCCGAGATGAGCCGAGATGAGCCGAGCTGAGCCAAGCTGATGAAATCAGCCGAGACTGTTTGCCGAGGAGCGGGCCCGTCCTGGCGCGTCTCGCACACCCCGCAGCCACTTCCTGAGACACCTCCGCGACGCGTCTTGCCCGCGAGACGTCGCCAGGTGAGCCACACGCCTTCAAGAGTGGACAGCGCAGTGACTCCACTCAGGTGACGCACGCCATCGAGGCGCTGTCCGTCGACTCGTACCACCCGATGTGCGACGGCATCGCCCTCGAGTCTCTCCGGCTCATGCACACCTGGCTGCCGGCGGCGGTGGCCGACGGGTCAGACGTCGCCGCGCGCAGCCACATGCTCGCCGCGTCGGCGATGGCGGCGGTCGCCTTCCAAAAGGGGCTCGGCGCGGTCCACGGCCTGAGCGAGCCCGTCGGGGCGGTGCACAACTCGCAGCACGGCCTCACCAACGCCATCCTCCTCCCGCACGTCCTGCGCGCCAACCGCGCCGCCATTGAGCCAAAGATGGACCTCGCCGCGACCTACCTCGGCCTGCCGCCGCCGCCGCCGGGCTACGCGACCACGGACGGAGGCTTCGAGCGCGTGGCGGCGTGGCTGGATACGCTCGCCGAGCAGCTTCAGATCCCGGCGACGCTGGCCGAGATTGGCATCTCGGACGAGACGGCCGAGGAGTGCGCCGCCAAGGCGGTGGCCAACCCGACCGGCTTCACCAACCCGCTCCCGTTCGATGCAGAGATGTACTCGGGCGTCTTCCGCGCAGCGGTCGAGGGACGCGACCGGGGGCGACTACAGTAGGGGAGGGGGCAGGTCATGCAAAACGGGCCCTGAGTGTGACCGAAACGTGTACATCGGCATAAAAATGACCCTTCTGCTACCCGCACGCCGCCTCGCCGGCCACCCAGGCCGGGTCATAACACGTGGGGAGGAGGGAGGAAGGGTCACAAGGCGACACACCGACGTACTGACCGACACACTACGCCTCCGGGTCGCCGGCCGGACGCACGCGTGCCACCACAATCCGCACCATCGCGGCAATAACCGAGTCCTTCTCGGGACTATAGTCCTCTCCCAGATGCTCCAGCTTGATCCCGCGGCGCACCAGCTTGGAGCGTCCCGGCCCGTCGCCAAACAGCCGCTCCGCGCGCCGCTCGGTCGGAATGGAGGCCACGCCATCGCCGCGCCGCAACGCGTTGGTGATGAGGAGGTGGTACGCGACGGACAGAGCCATCGTCGTCGCCCGCTCCGCCACGCCGCACAACCGCGACGGCCCCTGCGCGCCCGCCTTCGTCGGCCCGCGCTGCGCCTGCCCCGCCCCGATGGTCTCCAAGTTGGTCGCGCCGTTGCTCTTCGCCTTCCTCTTGGCCTCCGCGTTCAGCAGCTCGAGCGGGCCGGTGTCGAAGGCCTCGACATCGCCGACCTCGAGGATGGACTCGGTGATCTTGAAGATGGCGCCGTGCGGCATGTAGGAGCCGTGGTTGTACAGCGAGACCCGCTCGTAGATCTCGTGCAGGTCCACGGCCAGCTGCATGTTCTCGAGCGCGCGCGCCTCCTTGACCGCCTTGTCCGCGTTGATCGGCACGCGACGCTTCCAAGCGTAGTACCACGCGAAGTAGGCGTCGAAAGCGAGGGCGGCGCGGATGGCGGTCTCGGCACGCGAGCCGTACATCTCGCGCAGCAGCTCCAGGTGCGCCGCGTCGGCCTCGCGCTCGACGCGGGAGGGCTGGCGGGTCAGCTCGGCGTCGGCTGGCTCGGGCGGGGCGGGGGCGGGAGCAGCCGCAGCCGTCTTGGCCTTGCGCGCCGACTTACCCTTCGTCGCCTTACCCTTCGTCGCCTTGGCCGCAGCGGCGGCGGGGGCGGGCGTCGCAGCGGCCGTCTCGCTCCCCGCGTTTACTCCGCGGTCCTGCAGGTCGTCGAGCATGATGACGAGGAAGGTCGCGATCGCCACCGGCCCGCCCGGCGACTTGCCATCCCCCGCGATCAACCGGCCCCACGCCTCGCCGGTGAACCACTTTTTCGACCCGTCGCGCCCGGCGTCCTTGCGCCGCAGGTCGAGGTGGTGGCCAAACTCCGCCAGCTTCTCCTGGACCTGCTGCCGCGCGTCGTCGCTGCAGTTGTTGAGCAGCCCCCACTTCCAAGGTGTCTTGGGAAGGTTGAGCTTCGCGACGTGCAGATGACAAAGGTGCTTGCGGCGGCGCGCCACGCGGAAGAGCGAGACGGCCGAGGGGCCGCACTTGACCATGCGGTGCTCCTTGGCGCGGTCGAGCTGCCACTTCGCGTACTTTGCACGGCCGGCCTTGGACGTGTCCGCCTGAAGGGCCTCGCGCAGCTTGATCTCGGCGACGCGCTCGGCGGCGGCAGTCATCGGGTTGTGGGCAAAGCTGCACCTGGTGCACGGGCGCGGGATCGCCTCGCCCTCGTGCAGCTCGTGCGCGAGCGTGATCTCCTCGTCCACCTCAGGCCCCGTGCACGCCTGGAGCAGCGAGTACATCTGCTCGACCGACTCGGGCCGGCTCGGCGTGACTCGCAGAGCCGTGTGGCGGTCGCACTCGCACCACCCAGAGCCGGCCTTCATGTCCACGTGCCGCAGCGCCCCCGTGTCGAGCGTCTGGTGGAGGGCGAGGCGGACGTCGGCCGTCGCGCTGTCGTCGAGGAGGATCGTCTGTGTGCGCCCCTGCCGGTCCCGCTCGGCCGTCCGGTGGATCGCGGGGAGGTTGTCGCCCATCAGCTTCTCCGCGCCGCCGCGGTCGTCTTTGACGGAGCCCTGCGCGAGCAGCCGCAGGTGCGCGGTCGAGCCGGGCTTGTAGGGGTTGCGCAGCACCGCGGTGGTGAGCTGGCCGCCCTGGAAGCCGGTCGCATCGAGCGAGAGGATGATCGGGAGGTCGACCTTGCCGCCGAGGAAGAAGGGGAGGGGAGGCATGCCGTGCGTGCCCGGGTCCTCCTTCACGACCATGGCCACCACATCGTCAAACTTGCGGAAGCCGACCCGCCCGTTCTCCGCCGACTTGAGCTGCTGCTGCTCCTTGAGGAGGTTAATGACGGGCTCGAGCTTGCTGCGGGGCGCTCCCACGCGCGGCACCCTGACGACGCGCGCCTTGTTGACCGGGTCAACGTAGACGATCTTGCGCACGAACGCGCCGGTCGTCTTGTCGAGCTTGTGGCTGCCGGCGTGCGTCAGGCGCAGGATCTTGTCCATCGTCAAGCCGAGCTCGAAGTGGCAGAAGAGGCCGAAGCTCACGCCGTAGTGCTCCTGCTCGATCTTCGTGACGAACTCGGCCAGGCCGGTGAGGTGCAGCGTCTGGACCTTGGCGAGCTTGAACAGCTCGCCCAGCCGGCCCTGGCCGTCGAGGACGTCGATCAGCGGCTCGAGCCTCCGGCCCTCGGGGAGGAACTCGCGCCACAGATCGCGGTCGCGCTGGTTCTCCTTGCGCTGCGCCACGCGCGAGAGCTGCGCGAACTCCTCCGCGCTGCACTTGCGCACGGCCCGCGTGTCCGCATTGTCGAGCCGGTCGCGCGCGCGCTGCAGCTTGCGGTCCGAGAGCATCTTCTGGTACTTCACCGCTCGAGCCTCCGCTGCCGCCGCCTCCGCCGCTCCCTGCGCCTCCTCGAGCTCCGCCTTCGCCTCCGCGAGCTGTTCGTCTCGCTCCTCGAGCTCCTCCGCCAGCCGCTCCGCCTCTCGCTCCACCGCGGCGATGGCCATCTGCTCCGCCGCCGCCTTGCGCTCGCGTGCCCTCCCAGCCCTACTCGCTGCCTTCTCGCGCTCGAGCTCGCGCTGCTCGTACTTGCCGACGACGCTGCTGAGCTCGTGGTTCTCGCGCCGGAGAGCGCCGTTCTCCGCCTCCAGCTCGGCGATGAGCTCCTGTGCCTTTGCGAGGAGCGAGCGTTCGCTCTGGCGCTGCCGCCGCGCATTGTCTCTATCGCGTCGCGCCGACTCGAGCTCTCCCTCCAGCCGCGCCAAGTCGGGCGCCGGGAGGAGCGGCGACGATCCCGAGGCCGCTCGAGTTCCGGACTTACATCCGGAGCGCCGCGAAGCCGATGAGCTCGCGACGGGCGAGTCAGCTCCAGGCCGGTCGGGCGGCGTGGAGGCAGAGCGCGGCGGCCGCCCCGAGCCGGGCCGCCGACCGCCTCGCCCGCTCGGCGGCGCCGGGCTCACTGCTGCTCCTCCCACGCCTTGTACGCGTCCGTCTTGGTCAGCCCGCTCGCCGGCTCCCACGTCGAGACCGCGTCGCCCGCCTCCCCGTCCCCCGGGAGCCGGAACTTCTCCCATGAAGGGTGGTAGCCGCTCCACCGGACCTTGAGCTGCCGCACGCCCGCCTCCACCCTCTCCTCCGTGATCGCCTCCACCTCGAACAGGGTCGCCTTGGTCCAGAGGAGTTTCCGCCGCGGGACCGCCGGCGCCTTCTCGGCCTTGCGCTTGCCCGGCCGCGGCGCCCCCCTCGCGTCCCCGCCGCTGTCGACCTGCGCGGCCATCTTGTGGTTGCCCATCTGGCGCCAGTAGCCCGCAGCCAAGGCTCTCCCCTTCTCCGCGTGCGCCTTGATGTCGGAGAGGATCATGCGCCGCCAGGTCGCCTCCGTCGCCGGGTCCAGCGCCAACTCGCGCCGGTCCGCGTCCTTCGGCGGATGGATCTCCCCGTGCTCCGTCGACAGCGCGAACTGCATGTCCACCGTGAGCGTCGGCCGGCTGTGCCGCGCCTTCGGCTTCTCCCATGTCAGCGTCAGCGCCGTCACCGTCGCCGCCTGCTGCGCCGCGGGAGAGGAGGGCTTGACGATCAGCTTCGTCGACCCGCACACCGAAGGCACCAGCGCGAAGAAGGGGCGCGCGAGCTCCGCCGCGTCCGTCATGGTGTCTGCATTGAACTGGAGCTGGAGCGGCTGGTCGATCGCCTTGAGAGGAGGCGGCAAGTCCTTGAGCACCTCCCGCGGGCAGTCGCGGAAAGTGAAGCTCGCCGTCTGCCACAGGAACTGGCCGCCCAGGGTCCGCAGGCTCGCTGCCATCCGCAGCCCGATCTCCTCCCGGAACGAGTCCTGGTGCTTGAGGAAGAAGCCCAGCCGGCTCGCCTCGGCCAGAATGCGCGCCACGTTGGCATCCGACTGGTGGGCTGGCGCTGAAGTGAAGGCGTCTCGGGGAACGAATCCCTGCGTCCAGGACCTCGGGCCGCGGCTCCGGGGGGCCCTGCTCGATGCTTGCGCGTGCGCGCCCTCCGGCGGCCGCGAGGTCTGCTCCCCTGTGGCAGGGGGGGGGAGGGTCGGAGGGGCGGCTGGCTTTGATAAAGTGACACTTTATCAAACCTCGGCCCAGGATCTAGGAGTCGCGTGTCCCTTTTGCGCGTTTCGCAATCTCCACCCACTTCCCCATCGGGCCCGCGCCATCGGCAGGGTGTGCCGCGCCGCGCTACTGTGTGGCAGCTAGCCAAACCTGTCGGCGGCGGATTCGGCGTCGTCGTGGCCGCCGCCAGCCGGCCCGAGCGGCGGGGCTGGTCCGGTCCGGGCTCCCCCGCCGGAGGGACGCTTGGTCTTGTCGGGCGTGAGGCCGGATTTGCCATTCCGCTCCCGCTTGTCGCGCTCTCCGGCCCCGGACATGCGCCTGAAATCGTTGCCATAGAAGGGCGTCCTCGCTCCCGCTTTGCTAAGGCGGGCTCTCAAGCAAAAACGGCTGTACACCGCCGAATATTTCTCGGATTTATTTTGCATGACCTGGGCGCGTAGTGTAAAAAAGGATGCGCTTTGGCGAGGCGGTAAAGGCGTCGCTCAACCCGCTCTCGATAGAGCTGTCAAACGTTAAGAGCTGAACAGTGTTGCTAGTGTTAACAGTAACAACAGAACAACAGTGGGGCTCCCCAACAACAGTAGCTAACGTTAGGCCAGCTGAACAACAATAAGGAAGGCCTGGCAGTGACCCACGACGATCTCCAGCGTCCAGTGCGGGTAATACCCGAAAATACCTGGAAAACCCCAGGTGTATTTTCGGGTTTTACCCGGGTTTTTTGGCATTTTCTGCTTGCTGACCACTGAACAACAGTAACAACAGTAACAAACAGTAACAGCTTGGGCTGGGGAGAACACTTGAACAACGTTGAGGATTTCAGCCAACAATAGTGCAACTGTTAGGCCCAAAGTTAACGTTTGACAGCTCTAGCTCTCGAGAACGAGATGCAGAGGTCTCGAAAGCGCTCGAGTGCTTCTCGCCCGAGTACAACCTCTCGCACTGCCCGTGGCGGGAGGCGTTGGGCGCGCCAGTCGGCATGGTGCTGGTGCCGGAGGAGGATGGTGGGTCGCGCGCGTACCGAGGCGTGATGGTCGCGGGCTGCCCAATGGGGGAGGCAGGGTTTGTGGATGTGCGTGGTTACACCGCGCCCAGGTGAGCAGTATCGTGAGCTACATCGAGAAGACGGTTCTCTTCGCTACGTGCTGCGAGCCCCCACACGCTGTGGGCCGCCATCTACTACTCCTGCTCTGCCAAGTTCGACTTCATCCTCCGGCACCTCCCTCCCGACCAGACGGCTCTCTCCGGCGGAGGCGGAGGCCGAGCAGGGGCCAGAGGTTGTGCGTTGTGGAGGCGTCCGTCGTTGTGGCTTGCGGCGGGCTGCTCGGCGACGCGCTCGAGGCGCTGCACCGGCGGCCGCCCTTCGCGATTAAGCCGCGGCGAGGCGACTTTTTGCTCTTTGACGGGTCGGCCCGCGCGCTCGTCGGCGCCACGCCCGTCGGTCAGCCGCCGGGCGACGTCTCGCGCGGCGCGTCACGTCCTGGCGCTCCGAGACCGCGACGACGCGAGATGACGCGAGGTGACGCGAGGTGACGCGAGGTTAGGCGTGTACGTCTGGCGGTCGGCGCTCGGCGTTGTGGCGTGCGGCCCGACCGCGGAGCCCGTGAGGGAGGTGGAGATGCCGCCGCGGGAGGAGGCGCGGCCAGGAGGTGCGCGCGGCGCTGCTCGACGCGGCGTGCGCCGCCGTGCCGCAGCTCCGCGAGGCTGGCGTGGCGGGATCCTACTCTGGCCTCCGGCCGGGCTGTGACCTCTCCGCCGACTACCAGATCGGGCGCGCCGAGGGGTCGAGCTGGGTCACCGTGGGCGCCATCCGCTCCACCGGCCTCACCGGGGCGCTCGGCATCGCCCGCCGCGCAGCCGCACTCTGCGACGAGGCGTGGCGCGAGAGCGGGGGCGCAGCCGAGCCGCCGCCGCCGCCGAGCGGCGCCGTGCGGACGACGCCGCTGCCGCCGCTGCACGAGATTGCGGCCTCGTACCGCGCGCGCGCCGACGGGAGCGTCGTCTTTGGCGCCGACGAGGCGGGCTTCGGCCCGCACCTCGTGACGCACCCGCTGACGGCGGCAGGGCTGGACGCGCAGCTCGCGGGGATGCTGCGCGGGACGGCGATATGACAGCCGTTTATCTTTTAAGAAAGAAAGAAAACAGACACGCCAAACGAGGGATGGGGCGAGGACAGGGTCCCCACCTGCACGAGCAGGATTTTGGAAGGGCGATTTTTTGACCTAAATAAATAAATAGAGCAGACATCTCCAGGATTTGACCTGCAAGAAGTTTATTTCGCGCGATTTCTCTAAACTCGGTGGTCCTGTCCAAGACTCGGAGCTCTGGATTGGGCTGCGGGAGGCTCATCACGAGTTGCACCCCTGTGCAGCGCGTGCCGCCGCCTCGACCGTCGCCGCGTCGCCATGGCGCCGATGGCTGCGCCGCGCCGCCTGCACGTGCACTTCTACGACGCGGACGAGCCGACTGAGGTGACCGTTAAATCGGGCCAGGACATCCTGTGCACGGTGTCGCAAAAGATCGGCGTCCCCGCTCACGAGATCGCACTGGAGCTGTTCGGGGGGGAGGAGTCATACGACTTGACGCTCCACGCCATGTGCAATCACATCCAGGCGGTGCGGCGCCGCGGCGGCGCGGGGCACCGTGGCGAGGCCTCCGCCGGCTCGCAGCAGCAGTCGGAGCCGCACGTCCTCTTCAACTTCCCGTCGGCCAAGATCTTGATCACTACCGAGGGCATCTTCTCGCAGGAGACGGCGGTGTACGAGCTGATCGACAACGCGCTCGAGTCGGTGTACCTCCTCGCGAGCGGGACCCCTTCATCGTACATTCCTCAAGTCGTCCTGCTCCTCGACCTCGAGCGCAACATTCTGCGGGTTGTGGACAACGGGCGCAGCTTGACGCACGATGAGCTGGTGATGTGGGGGCAGCTTGGGACCTCGGACCACCAGAAGCACGGCGGCTCGGCCTCCGGCTTCTTCCCCGTGCGCTACTCGCGGTTCGGCGTCGGGTCCAAGGGAGCCGGAAAGGCGCTGCTGGGAGAGGGCGGCGAGCTCTCAATGGCGAGGGTGGAGGGCGGCCCCCGTGGCAGTGGGACGAAGCTGACGATGCCGATCGCGAAGGTGGCCGCCCCACCACTGCCGTGCCCGCGCCACGCCTCCTCACTCCTCTCCACTGCCACCCTCCCCAGCACCCTCCCACCAATTTCCACCCCCTTCCACCGCCTCTCTCCCCACCGCAGCCTTACCTCCACCGCCCTCCCCTTTCTACCCGATCCACCCTTTTACCCTTTACTGCGCGCACACCCTCGCAGATGATGAAGGCGGCTGAGGAGGGCGACCGCAAGGGCGAGTGGAAGCAGCCCGTCACGTCGTGGCAGCCGGACGCGCAGGTGCGCGCGCTGATGGACCGCGAGGGGTGGGGCGACAAGGCGACGTGCTTCGAGGTGCGCGGCGTCAAGGCGAACACCCTGCGCGAGTTCGCGGCGGGGTTGAAGGAGGCGGGCGGCCTCGCCGACAAGCTGTGCGACAAGTACCTCCCGTGCCTCGTGACGACCGACCCCAGCTCGGCGGCGCGCGCTCTTGCGGCGCGCGCTCTGCCGGAGATGGAGGGCTTTCCCCGGCAGCTGATTCGGATGAGCGTCGAGCTCGGCGAGGACCGCATCACGCTCAACGACGAGATCTTTGGCCACGGCGATGTCGACAACCTGCGCTGCTCGCAGCTCATTCAGCAGCGCCAGATCCGCTACCAGCACCTCGAGGAGAAGTTCCCGCAGGCGGCAGGCGGCCACGGCGCTGCGACGCGCTCCGCCGACCTCGCGTGCCCGTCGATGACCAAGGTCTTCGACGGCACTTGCGAGACGGGCGATATGCAGGGCTCGTGGCGGCTCGTCCTCGAGTACTGGCCGTCGACCAACGGCAGCACCTCCATGCCGCCGGTCGTCGAGCCCGGCTGCTTCGAGGTTCGGTGGAACGGGCGGCTGCTCTCCGAGGAGCGCACGAAGTCGTTCCAGTTCACCGAGCTCGCGGGCGCGAAGGAGTTGCTCGGGCGCGGCCCCCTGAAGGACCTGCCGGAGGCCGTGTGGCAGCGCTTCACCGGGACCCTCTACCTCGACGGCAACTTCGCCGTCGATCCGAACAAGAACGCGCTGCTGCACGATTCGTCGGTGGACAGCCTCGTGCAGAACCTCTTCCGCAAGTGGGACTCGAGGGCAGAGAAGCAGCGCGGCCGCGGCTCGCCCCGCGCGTCGCCTCTCTCGTCCCCAGGCTTTGGCTCGCCAGGCTACGGGCCTGGGGGAGGCAACTCGCCCCGGGAGGTCGCCAGCATGCGGCAGCAGCAGCAGCTCGACGCGGCGCAGAAGAAGAAGCAGGAGATGGTGCCCCTCGCAAGAGAGATGTGCGCCTGGCTGCACGACTGGAAGGAGGTCGACGAGGACGTCATCTTCGTGGCCGAGAGCACCGACCCCCCCCGCGCAGCCGATTGCGACGTCGACACCGCGCGGGGCACCTTCAAGGCGACGACGAACCACGTGCGGATCGGTGGCGAGAACTTTGTCGCGCCGGTTCGCCACAAGGTGAGCCTCGAGGCCAAGGACCTCGACCCGAAGAAGCGCCTGCTCGTCAAGATCGCCGTCAGAAAGCAGGAGGAGTTCGCCGAGGTGTGCGACTTCCAGTTCGACGGCTCGTACGACCCCGCCTCCGCGCTGCGCGACTCCGACGTGAACGAGGCCTGCCGCCAGGCGACGAGCGGCTTTGTGCGCTTGTGGCGGTGGACGCACGCCCGCGTGACCGAGCGGCCCGAGTCGTTTCCCCTCACGAGCCTTCGCAAGAAGGTCGCGGAGGGGGATTGGAAGCGGCACGTCACGGCGGCGAAGAAGCACTTGCCGTCCGAGCTGCGCGTCAAGAGCGACGCCGTCTCCACGAGCTCGCACCCCGTCATCGACGTCGGCAAGCCCATTGCGTTTGAGGACGCAGCCAGCGCCAGGGGCCCGGGCCACTTCGTTGTGCAGGTTTTCAATGGCCAGCAGCCCAAGGAGGCAATGCTGGGCGGCCTGCCAAACCGAGGCAAGCTCACCTTCGAGGTGAACGGGCAGAAGGTTGTTGAGGTCAGGCAGCCTTATGCCGGCGGCGAGTACTGGTTCGCGTGCCCGCACGCGCACAACCGCGGCGGCGCCTCTCTCAAGGCTGGCCGCAACACTTGCACCTTTCGCGGCGCGCGCGACGGCGAGCGCGACCTCGTGCTCAAGTTCGACGTCACCGTGCTGCCGGCCGAGCGGCCGGAGCGGCTCTTCCTGCACCATGGGTCGCTCGACGAGAACAGCGATGTGCGGCTGGGCGACACGCTGCCGCAGCTGTGCCTCGAGGCCCTCGACGCGACCGACCAACGGTTCGATCTCGACCCGCGCCACGTCAGCGTGCACTTGAAGGTGGGCGGCGGCGCTGAGCTGGAGCTGCACTCGAAGGACCGCAAGACCCCGCTGCGCGCCGGGCGCGAGCCGAGGCGCGTGGCGTTCGACCAGTTGCAGCTCCGCGGCAAGCTCAACCTCTCCTCCTCGGCGCGCAGCAACGTCCGGCCTGCCACGCTCGTCTTCCGCTACGAGCAGCCGCAGTCGCAGCCGCAGCAGCAGCTTGAAGATCTCGAGATGCACGTGCAGGTCTCGAGCGGGCCGGTTGCACGGCTCGACCTCGACGCCGAGCAGACGCCGCTGGAGCCGGGCAAGCCGCTGCCGGCTCTCGAGCTGCGTGCGTTCGACGCGTGGGACAACCCGGCGACGGAGGAGACGGTTCGCTTGTCGGTGGCGCCCGAGGGAAGCCTCCAGCTCAAGGACTCGGAGGTGGTGACGGACTCGAAGGGCAAGCACAAGCTCAAGGCGCGCTGGGCGGCGGTGAGCTCCGCGCCGGCCGTCGGCAACGCGACCGTCACCTTCTCGAGCGCGGGAGTGAGCAAGGCCCTCGCCGTGCCGATCGTTCAGCCGCCGGCCGCGCGCGTCGAGCTCGTCTGCCCCGACTCGGTGGGCAGCGGCGAGTCGTTCGAGTTGAAGCTCGTCGCATACTCGGAGGGAGACGCTGAGGTCGCGGTGCCCGAGATTGATCTCGGTGCGCTTCAGCTGGCTGTGGCCGGCAGCGACATCGAGCCCCCGGATTACACATGGCAACAGGATGGCCTGCGGCTGCGCTCGACCTGCAGCGTCATCGGCAAGGTAGGGACGATCACCCTCACCCTGCCGCCCGTCGCGCACAACATCCTCTCGACCGCCGACGCCAAGCAGCTCCAGCTGTGCGCCGGCGCTGCCGCGGGCATCCATGTGTCGGAGCAGGAGGTGCGCAACGGCTCGGAGTTTACGATCAATGCGAGCGTGGTCGACAGCGCGGGCAACAAGCTCGAGATGGGCCAGTACACGTGGCAAGTCGAGGCCTCGGCGCCCGACGAGCTCTACGTCAAGGCCGCCACGCGTCGCTGCCAGCCGAGCCCGTCGCTCCGCGCGTGCGTGTGCACGAAGCGGGTGCTCTCGCAGAGCACGCCGCACGCCGTCGCGATCCGCGCGACACCGACCGACGGCGGGCCAACGCTCGAGGAGGAGGTGCAGCTGCAGCTCCTGCCGGCGGAGCTGCCTTCGCAGATTGCTCTGTACCGGCGGTCTGACGAAGATGTCTTGCCGGTCATGGGACGGATCCAGGCCGTCGCGGGCGAGATGCTTCCGGAGCTCCTCGTCTCTCTCTTGCTCGAGACCGGGGAGGAGCACAGACGCGTGCAGCAGTGCCAGCTCGAGGTGAGCTGGCAGGGCGAGTCCCACAAGCGGCACGACACCTTCCCCAGCGACAGCCGCTCCGCCTTCCTCGTCAGCGGCCTGCCCGCAAGCACGACGGCGGGCACGCAAAAGCTCAAGCTCACGCTCCACAACTTCAAGGCGGCGCACGCGACGGCCGACGAGCAGCGGAAGCTGGGCGCGACGCTCGAGGCCTCTGGCCGCAGCAAGACGGTCGCGGAGATCGATGTCACCGTGCTCCCGGCTGCCCCGCTCGGCTTGCAGCTTGTTGGCGATGAGGTCCTCTCGCTGCAGGACGACACTATTGTCACGGACGTCGACCTCCGCCTCGTGGACGCGCACGGCAACGTCATCGACGAGACGTTCGATGTGACCGTCACGCTCACGCCGCCCGCCACGCCGCCCGCCGACACGGAGTCGACCACCGCCGTCCTCCAACAGCCGCTGCCCAACAGTACGCTGAAGGTCAAGCGCGGTAAGCTGAAGCTCTCGACGCTGCGGCTGTCCAACTACGGGCGGAGCGGCGAGTACTCGCTCGACTTCACCAAGGCGGACGGCAGTCTGGCTGGCTCCGTCCCTATCGCGTACACCGACCCGGCGGAGGAGAAGGCGGACGCGGAGCGGCTGCGGAGGGAGATCGCACAGCGCCAGGCCGACCTCGACGAGAAGAAGCGCCTCTGCGGCGAGGCGACAACGCGGCACGACGCCGCGAAGCGTGCTCTCGCCGACGCGCAAGGCGAGCTCCGCGAGACCAAGGCGCAGGAGAACGCGCGGAAGAAGCAGCAGGTTTTGATGAGCTTCGACGAGGCGCAGGCGAAGCTGGCCGAGACGCAGCCGCCGGACGAGGCACAGATCTCCGAGGGCGCGCAGCAACTCGGCACGCTGCTCGGCGCCACGGAGGAGGAGCCGACGGTGCAGCTCCTTCTTGACGACGAGGAGGGAGTGCGGCGGTACACGCGCTCTGAGGTCGACGGCCACGTGTTCCAGGACGAGGGCGGCGCAGTGCTGCGCACGATCGAGCTCGAGCCCGGCAAGTGGGGCATCTTCAAGGTGGCGCGGACCCGCCACGGCGGCGAGACGCGCGAGCGGCGCGGCGACCTCGTCTTCGACTACACGACGGACGCGTACAAGATGAAGCGGGCGGTCGTGGCGGGCGCGTCACTTTGCGCCGCCGCAACCACGCGCGACGCTCGCGTCGCTGCCGCGCTTCTCGCGCTCATCGGCGGCGACGCCGTCGCGCTGCACCCGGACGTGGCCTTCGGCGCGATGATGCCGCTGCTCGGCGGCTATGGCGTCCGCCCGCGCCGCACGCCAGCCAACTTCGTCGAGGAGAAGAACTACAAGGTGTCCGTTGACGGCTCGACGGGCCTTCTCGAGTTCGACGGCGAGGTGCTGCCGCCCGGCGCGAAGGAGTACGGCGCCGCGTACCTCGTCAACCTCGTGGTCCTCCCTGACGGGAACCAGGGCGCAGCGCTGCGCCGCGCGCTGTGGCGCGCCGTCGGCCGCACCGTCGTCGTCGACGGCGACGCTAGCCGAATGATCGAGTACGCCGACGAGAATCCGCACTTGCACGACGTGGTCGCCCTCGGCGCTCACGGCGAGACTGCGCCCTTCGATGCGATCCGCTCCTCCGGCGTGCAGCCTCTCGCCCGCACGGCCGGCGTGATGCTGGGCCCGCCGAGCGATCCGCTGGCTGCGCAGGCCCTATGCGGCACCGCGGCCGGCGCGGTGGTGTACGAGACGACGCTGGTGACGGCCTTCCAGGAACGGGTCGATGAGCTGCAGCGCGAGGTCGAGGAGAAGCAAGAGGGGCACGACGACGCAGAGGCGGCGAGGCTCGAGCAGGAGCAAGCCGTTGGGGCGGCCACTGCTGCGCTCAAGCGCGCAAAGAACAAGCGGAAGGCTCCGGGCGGCGAGCCGTCGGGCCTCGACCCCGCAACTGCCCAGGAGCGTCCGCGCCAAAGGCGCAGGACGGGAGGCACCGCCCAGGCGCCCAACTAATGCAGGCGCGAGCTACGTGTGCTCGGCGCCAGCAAAGTGCGCGTTCCCAACGCCGGGGTGGAACGTGTGCCGCCCGGTGCGTCGCGGGCCCCCTTGCGGCGGGGACGACCCCCGTCGCCCCCAGCATGTACGTTTTGTAATTATTCGCGCCGCAGGTGGCAGGAGAGTCACTAACGGCAAACCAAGCACAACTAGAGAACTATTTTGTGCCAGCGCGCAGCGGCGGCCCAAGTGAGACGGTGAGAAGGCCACCAGGGCGGTTAAATCAATTCGATACATATCAAGACGTAATCTCCTCAAAATACGAACGGAAACGCACCATCGCATACGACTTTGTTTAAAATAGCGGCTCGGCATGGGCCAGCGCCCCCTTTATTGTACACTGTGTGTAATCGAACAGAATCCAGCAACAGCGCAGCGCGGGCCAAGCAACGCAGCGCTGCGCGCCACGGTCAGGCCCTCCGCCCGACGCCAGCGAATGCGCCGGGCGCCGGGCCGACTCCGGCGACGATGGCGGCCTGGATGAGCTCGTCGTAGGTGCGCCCTCCGCCACGCCCTCCGCCCCCTTGCGTCTGCCGCCACGCGCTGTCGTGCGCGCCGCCCCTGCTGAGGAGGTGCGCCGCCTCGTGAGCGAGGGTGAGGAGCAGCTGCCCGCCTCGTTCCAGCGGCGCAGCAGCGGCGCGAGGTTCACCACGATGGCGCGCTCGGAGCAGAAGCCGAGGTAGGCACCGCCCACGTCGAAGCCCGCCTTGACCGTCCCTTCGAGGAGCGAGCCGAGCGACGGGAGCGCAGCGGCGAGCGTGCGCTTGGCCTGCTCGAGGTGCGCGCGGAGCGCCTTTAGCTGCGCCGCCTTGGGAAGCGTGCCGGCGGCCAGGTGCGCGGCGGAGGCCACGTCGGAGTACACCTCGCCGCCGCCGACGGAGTCGTGCGCCGCCACCGCCTTGAGGGCGTCGTGGCCGCGCAGGCACTTCTCCTCCGACTCGTTCGCCTCGTCTGCAAAGGCGGCGGCCGGAAGGATGTGCCCCGCCCGGAGGGTCTGCCGCTGCCTCGCCGCCGCCGCGATCTGCCTCTCGAGGGCGCGGCGCGACTCCTCTCCGCCCGCCGTCCCGCCGCCGCCGCGCCTGTCCGCCGCGCCGCCCGCCGCGCCGTCGTCGTCGAGCGAGATGACGGGAGGAGGCTGCCCGCCGCCCCGGCTCGGCCCTGCGGCCACGGGCGCCGCCGCCACGGGCGCCGCCGCCGCGGGCGCCGCCGCCGCGCCTCCTCCGCCGCCCACCTCGAGGCGCCTCTCGAAGGCGCGGCTCTCGACGCCAACCTGCTTCGCCCGGCTGAGCGCGGCGTCGAGCTGCGGGAGGGAGAGGCCGCCGTGCGCGGGCAGCGTCTCGAAGAAGGCCTGCGTGGCGTGCACGCACTTGTCGTCGAAGCGGCCGAGCCGCTTCTGCAGCGTCGCGAGCAGGCGGAGCAGGAGCCCGCGGTCGAGCGCCGTGGCGGGCATGAAGACGTGCGCGCCGTGCGCAAACGGGACGGCGACGAGGGCGGAGAAGTGGAGGCGCAGCGACCGCGACTCGGCGCCGACAAAGGCGAGCAGCTTGGCGGCGGCCTGCTGCGCGTCCGTCCTTGCGGCGGGCGCCTTCTTGAGCTCGGCGAGCAGCTCCTTGACGCACCCGCGCCGCGTCGCGCAGCACTGCGAGCGTCGCTGTCCCCGCTGCGCTCACTCGTGCCGCTGAGGCGTGCGGCTACGAGGGCGTGCTCGGCGACGCCATCACCGCGCGGCGGGCTCGCCTGCCTGCGCGGATGCGCGGCCTCGGCCTGCGCTCGCTCGAGGAGGTGGCGCCGGCTGCGTTCTGCGCCTGCTTTGTCGAGGCGGCCGAGAGGTTCCTCGACAGGTCGACGCCCGGCGGCGGCAGCGAGCGCGGCTTCTTCCAGATGCTCGCTCCGCTCTTCGGCCACGGCGCCTTCGAGTTGCCGTACCCGAACAGCCCTCGCCTCTTGCGCTTCCTCTCGGGCTGCACCACCTACGTCAACCCGCTCGGCGCGCAGCTGGGGCAGCTGACGCCGACGGGCGAGTCCTTCAAGAGGGCGTGGGAGGGCATGCAGCGCGAGGTCCGCAGCGAGGGCGTCGCGGGGCCTCTCGATCTCCGGGCTCCCGAGGCTGGCAACGGGCGGGCCGGCAGCGCTGGGCTACAGCGGCAGCTGACGCAGCAGCGGGAGCAGGTCAAGCGCAACCAGCTCAGCCGCAGCATCCTCGGGCTGCCGCACGGCGACACGCGGCGGGAGGCGTGGCTGGCCGTCGACTCGTTCTCGTCCGCGTGGGTGAGCTCATGGCCCTCGGCTCAGAACCGGTGCGAGGCGCGCGAGTTCCGCGAGATCTTCTGCACCTACCTCGGCCGGGAGAGCCCAGCCGTGCGCGCGCTCGTGGGCAAGAGCATCGCCTGCTCCGGCCGCGGCCCTCCTCGAGTCTGCGATGCCTTTGGCGTCCAGCTGGGCTTGGCGACGCTCAACGACCGCGCCCACGGCAACTGCCACGACGACATCTTCTCACGCGTGATCGGTGATGCGCTGCACGCGGGGCTGCGCGGCAAGGAGGAGCCGCGCGAGATCTTCAGCGCCGTCATCCCGCCTGTCACACTCAACGGCACCGCTGGCACGCGCGGCAAGAACGGCATCGTGCCGGATGGGCGGCTGCACTGCAAGCTGCGCGAGTCCCGCACGGCGCGCGCTGCACTGGCACACGAGGCCAGGCGCACCCGTCTGTACGGTGGCGCGGCACGACAGTGCAGCGCGGGCCCGAGCAGCCGCCGGCGGAGCACCTCCTCGAGGGCAAGACCATCCACCGCGGCGGGCCTCACTACATGAGCGCTCGGGCGCGCGACGATGGCCAGGGCGGCGCGGAGGCGTCGGACGACCTGCACCAGGTGTTCGACTGTGTGGTGGAGTCGGCATCCAAGCAGCACTGGAGGCGGATCGGCGCGCGTAGGGATCCCTAGCGCGAAGGAGGCGCGGTCCTACTTCGCTACGACGCTGCGGCGGGCGTGGGGCGTGCACTTTGCGCGCGAGTTCGCGCGGCACCGCATCCGACGCGTGGTGTTCGCGGGGGCCCCGCGGCGACAGCCGGGCAGGCCTCTCGCGACGGCCGATGGAGACTGGCCAGCGCTGTCGGCGGGCGAGTTTGCGGCGCACGCGCTGCGCGTAGGCGGCGCGTGGGCGGGCGGCCCGCCCGGCCGTCGGTGAGCACCGGACGCGAGGGTCGGTCGGCTCCTAACTAGCTGTATATAGTCGCGATCTGCCGGCGTGCGTTTGAGCTCACTAGCTAGAGCTCACACTAGAGGCCGTCATCGCATTCGCCTTCCTGGGACCCAGCGCTGACTTCTGACTGTCGTTGCTGTCTCTCTCCCTTCTCGACTGTCTGTGCTTGTGCGTCTTGGGTCCGGGGTTGTGTTTTTAGGAGGAGGCTGTGAACAGCGCCCCAAGCGCGGCGTTCGGCCGCCTTCTGCGGAACCTGCTTTGGACTTGGTCGTGTGTCGCGATGGCGTCCATATCTGACACCGAGCCGGCGGGCCTGTCGTCGATATCCGGCCTCAGACCCGCAGGCGGCGGCCGGAGCCAGCAGTCAGACGCAGACGTGAGTGATGGCTCGTCTGCGGGATCCGCAGCGGCCGCGGATCCGTCCCTCGTCCACCAGCGCCGCCGCTCCTTCTTTGGCAGGCAGCGAAGGAAGCAGAAGAAGGAGAAGAAGGAGCGGCTTCAGCGATGGCTGGAGGCGGACAACGCGGACGCCGAAGTGGAGGAGGAGGAGGAGGAGGATGAGGAGGTGAAGGAACCGAAACGGGGGTCCGCCATGTCAGCTATGTCCGCGAGGGTGTCCGTGAGCGGCCACTGGGCGGTCAAGGCCTTCGTCGCCCCGCTCAAGAAGCTCAAGGGCGGCCTCAAATGGTTTGTCATCTACATCACCCTCTTTGCCCTCCTCTGCATGCTCCTCTCCCTGGCGTGGCACGCGGTCAACGCGCACCTGCTCTGGAAGCTGACGGGCCTCGACCACTCGTGGGTGCTGCTGATGCCGCCGGGCGTCCTCTCCCTCCTCCTCCTCCTCGGCCTGCTCGCCCTCCTCTACCAGGTGCGCGTGGACCGCGCCCTAATTCGCACCCCGGCCCCGTCCTGCCCTTTCGTTTGTGTGCGCTTCTCACATCCTCCGGCTGCAGGTGTCCTCCATGTCCGAGGAGGCGCTGCTCGGCGCGGTGCACAAGGCGCTCGGCGTCGACACCGCCGCCGACGGCAGAGAGGGTCTGATCGGCCGCCTTGACAAGCTCGACACGCAGATCGAGCAGGCGCCGGGCGGACGCACCTTATCGCTACAAGCTGTAGCTAGTGTGTGAGTGGTGTGGGTGTGTGGATGTGGATGGGGGGGGGGGATGTCTCACATACCGTGACCCGACTCGCCCCGCGGCTCTGGTGTGCTCTGCAGGTGCTCGTGGCGTACCACGCGGCGCAGAAGGGCGCCACGGGGCTGGTCCAGGTGGGGAGGAAGCTCTCCGAGAACCTGGCCGCCTCGTCCGGCTCCTTTGGCAAGGATAAGAAGGCGCCGAGCTTCCAAGTCTCAAAGGTACGCGCCGCCATCGAACCCGCGCCCTCGAACCCCAAACCCCAACCCTGACCCCCCCCCCCCCGGGCCTTACACCGGGCCTTACACCGGGCCTTACCCCCCCCCCCCCCCCCGGCCCTACACCCTGCCCTACATACACCCGCAGGTGGTGTACGAGCTCCTCGCGACGCTGCGCGCCGCAGACGAGCGTGACGCCGCCAAGCAGGCGAGCGGCCAGGCCGGCGGCAAGCCGGGCGCTGCTTCTGGCAAGCGCAAGGCTGGCGGCAAGGCTGGAGGGCCGATCCAGCGGGCGTCGAGCAGGCTGTCCCACGGGGGAGAGGCGGGCTCGGCAGAGGCAGGCCGGAGGAGCGCGAGGAGCGGCGGGCCCTCCCACTCGCGGTCCTCCTCGCTCGGCTCCTCCCTCGCGGGCAGTGCGCCGAGCAGCCTCGCTGCCAGCGCGAACGGCTCGCCAAGCGCCTCTCGTGTCCCCTCCTCCGCGAGCCTCTCCTCGTGGGCGCAGCAGCAGACCCGCGAGCCGCCGCCCGAGCGAGAGCAGCTCTTCGTGCGCGAGCTGACGAGGCGGCCCCTCACACCCTCCGGCGGCCCCACTGTCCCCAACACAGCCCTTCGCACCCCGCCGCTCTGCCCACGCCACTCTGCTGTCCACCTCCCCCACTCTTGCCCCCCACTGTGCACTGACTCTCCGCCTCACACTCTCGCTCCTTCCGTGCTACGACCTGACCGTACCCCGCCGCCCCCTCCCCCCGCCGCCGCACCCCCACCCACCCACCCACCCACCCACCCACCCCAGGCTCGTCAAGGAGCTCAAGAAGTGGTCCGAGGAGGAGGCGGCCGCGGCGCCCGACTTCGACGAGCAGTGGGTCGAGGCGCGCGACCTGGAGAGCGGCCGCCCGTACTACTACCACACCCAGACCAAGGCTGTGAGGTGGGAGCGGCCCACGCAGCCGCGGCTCCCGCCGCCGCCGCCAACCCCCCCGGGAGACCCGGCTGGCGGCGGGTTTAACGGGTTGGTGGCGTTGCGCTCTGGCGATGACGCGTGCCTGCACGTGTGAGTCAATAGTCCTCGTTGGCCATTTCCCCCACAAAGGGGAAGGACCGTGAGTTGAGGAAATCGGGGGACGCGACCCACTTCGCCACAGACGGTCCCGCGCCTCGCCGTGTGACGGGGACACACCCCGCACCGTCCGCTGTGACCTGTGAGCTGTGTCCGTGTGTCCCCCGTGTGCCGTGAGGCCGTGTTTGTCCGTGGAAGTGAAATCTGAAAAAAGTCCGACGCGCTCGTCGGTGACGGTGTTCCCCAATCTGTGTCGCGCTCGGCGAACCTCGACAGCGCCTTCGGTGGCATGCAGCTCTTTGCGCCGGAAGCCTGGAGTGAAGCCCCTCTGCTGCTCACACGCTGAGGCAGAGCCAGAGGCACAGACCACAGTTGGCATACAGCCCCCCCACTGAAAGCACTGTGCGGCTGCCACAGCTCTTGAGCACTTGAGCACTTGATAGGGTCGATTCCGCATGGTACGGGACCCCTCGATCGTCTCGCCCTCCCTCACTGGTGTGTTCATTGGGGGGGGGGGGGCACATAACAAACACGGTACAGGATCGGAGGTGCACGCGGCCGAAGCAGCCCAGCTGTGACAGCGATGGGCTCGCCCTCACTGGCCCTCAGTCACTTGTGCTGCGGCTTGTGTGAGCGACACTGCTCGGCGACTGCCGGCACACTGTGAGACCATGGGTGTGAGGTAAAACCACGCTACCAGCGCTTGGTTACATCGGCCCTGAGGTCAGTTCCTTCTCTACTCTGTTAGTGACAAGACTTGTCTACTTGTCGCCGCTCCTGACGAGCACGCGCACGCTCCTCGTGTGCTACGCCGAGGCGGACCACCATGGCGTAGCACGACGTCTCTCGTGTTCCGTGCGCATGACACGCATGACCTGAAGCGTAGGCGGACCACGTCCTCCGCCGGCGCGACCCCGAGCTCGTCGAGCAGATCGAGGGTGCGCGCGACCTCGGCCGCCGCAGGGGGCGCGAAGCGCCGCCGGTGCGCCAGTCGGCTGACGTCGACGCCCAGGCTCTCGTCTGTGTCTGAGGCATCCGCGACCTCGCGCGATACGAGAAGGCGCCGCTCTGTTGCGTGTTGGAGAGAGCGCGTTCGAAACGCAAACGGACGACCAGGCCGAGCGCGGTTTGTGTTTCTTTTTCTGCGCCGCTTATCGCGGGGGCAGGAGAACTCGATTTACACACTCCAACGAACGAATTGCCCCAGGCCCAGCAAGAGGCTCTCTAATGCACCAAAGCGCTCGCGCTCGGGCCCCCACATGGACATATCGGCAGGCACAGCATGTGTGTGTGTCGCGAGAGAGAGGCCCACACACCGCACGCGCGCGGTGGCTGCGGTGCAGCGGCGCGGAGCACTCCCCTTTATTATGTACACACACCCGCCGGCGGTCTTGGTTCTCACGCCGCAAACGATCCCGCTAGCAGCACTCCCGCCAGCGCGCCATCTGACCCCATCAACGGCGAGACGAACGAGCGCATGCGCTCCTCTGGGAAGACCGGGTCGGCGTACACGATCCACCCAGTTCCGTGCCGCGCCGCGTGCTGGTACCACGGCCGCCGTGTCGCATCGTAGCTGCCGCGCCACGTGTAGAGCGGGCCGTCTCCTCCGCCCGCTGGCCACGCCCGCCACTCGCACTCTCCACTGGCCTTTGAGAGCGCGGGCACGACAGCAGCCGGCAGCGGCACGGGGCCGTAGGAGTACTCGCCGCGTCGCAGCGCCGCCTCGTCCATCCTATAGACGGCAAAGTAGTCGCCCGAGCGCGCCGCGAAACCGAGGAGCTTGGAGTGGCACAGCTCGGCGACCTCAGACGCGGCACGGCCGTCAACCTCTCCCCCGCAGCTGGCTTCCCACGCGCGCCACACCTCGCCAAGCACGGCCTTCGCGGCAGCCTCCGACTGCACCGGCGCCGCAGCGCACGCCGCAGCCGCGCCTCGCAGCGCCGCGGTGGCCTGCTCGGCCCACGCCTGCGCCGCTGCAGGCAGCCTCTCGCGAGCGAGTTGCTGCTCCCAGGCGCGGAGCTGCTGCTCGAAGCCGAGGTTTGGCTCCACAAAGCGCACCTCCCGCACGCGCGACAGCGCCTCGTCATACGCCAGCCGCTGCTCGCGCATCAACCAGCTGAGCACCACCGCAGCCGAGCGGCTGCCTCCGGCGGCGCAGTGGCAGAGGACTCTGCCACCGGCGTCCCGGGCGGCGTCGATGAAGGCGAGGGCCGCTTCGAGTGGCAGCTTCGCGCTCGGGCTGTCTGCGAGGCGCAGCGAGAGGTACGAGAGGCGCTCGTCCGCCGCGAGGGACTGCGGCAGCTCCTGCGGAAGGTGGAGAGCTTTACCTTACACCTTACCTTACCGCCCACCTCCAGCTTGGGACTGCGGCAGCTCCTGCGCCGCCACGAGGATGTGGGTGATGCCGGCCGCCGCAACCTTGGGACGGCTCTTGGAGGCAAAGTAGTTTGCCAAGTGGACGTGCTCCGCGATGTGGTCGATGCCCGACCGCTCTCGCAGCGAGGAGAGGTCGTCGCAGTGCACGACCACCCGCCTCTCTCCCGCAACGCCGCCACCAGGCGCGTCCGCGTTGGCGCTGCCTTGCGGCCCCTCGCCCCGCAGCAGCCCCTCGGGATCCAGCAGCCGGCGCACCTCCTCGTGCGCCGCCCGCCCGCCGCGCCTCGCTTCGTCAACCGGCGTCGTCCCCGCCCGCGTCGGCGCGTCGGCCCGCGCGCCCGCGTCGAGCAACAGCCGGCACACCTCCGGCTGGCCCTCCCGCGCAGCAAAGTGGAGAGGCGTCTCGCCGACGCGCGTCGCCGCGCCGGGGCTGGCGCGGCGGTCGAGCAGCAGCGCGGCGGCGGCGAGGTTGCCGCCTTCGGCCGCCGCGTGGAGCGCAGTCGAGCCGTCGTGGTCCCTGGCGTCGACGTCGCCGGAGAGCCAGTCGAGCAGCGCGGAGAGGGTGGCCTGGCCGCCGTCCCCGGCCGAGACGGCGTCCTGGCGAGGGGAAGGGGTGGGGGGGAGGGCACTAGTGGGTGAGTGAGCGAGGAGGGAGGGAAGGGAGTGGGCCGAGGAGGAAGCTGGGAAGGGAGTGGGCCGAGGAGGAAGCTGGGAAGGGAGTGGGCCGAGGAGGAAGCTCTCCTGCAGCAGCTCCGCGGCACGGAGGCCCCAGCTGCGCCTGGCAAAGGCGAGCCGCTCGTCGGGAGGCATCGGCATCACCTGCGAGGCGGCGCTCTCACCCGAGACGCAGCGCAGGCGGGGAGAGGCTCGCCCGGGCGGAGGTGCGGCTTGCGGGGGCGGCCGGACTCACCTTGGCGAGGAATGCGGCGCTCTTTGACCACTGCTGCGCAGGCGTCTCCACCGCGCAGCATCGGTCGAGGGTGCGGTACCTCGCGTCCTCGAGTGGCGTGATCCCGTCCCGGTCCGTCGCATGCACATCTGCGCCGTGCACCACCAGAAGCTTGCACACGTCGAGCCTCCCGTTGAACGAGGCCACGTGCAGCGCTGTCGCACCGATCTTTGTGCGAGCGGCCAAATCCGCGCCGTGCGCGAGCAGCGCGCACGTCACCGCAGCGCTCCCGGAGAAGGCGGCGTTGTGCAGCGCCGTCCAGCCAAGAGGACAGGCCTCGTCGATGCCGCCGCCGCCGCCGGCTCGCAGCAGCAGCGCCACGCACGCAGCGTCGCCTGCCTTCGACGCCTCGCGCAGCGCCGTGGATTCGTCTTCCATGGCGGTTTGTGAATTGTTAGGCTTGCACGTGGAGAGAGAGAGAGAGAGAGAGAGAGAGATCTTCTGTTCAGTCGACGCTCGTTCGTCTACTGAGAACTCAGTGGTTGTCACCACTTTGTATTCTTTAATATGAACCTTGCGAACTCGTCCCCCCCGGCAGGGCTATGCAACTGTGACCAGTGTGTGCTGTCTACGCCTGATCCAGGCGTGAAATCTGCCGATGCGTGATCTGTGTGTGGGCCGCTCTGTGAGGGGTCCAGGCATTGTCCGACGGGTAGGGGGTCTGTGCCCGGGCGGTGTCCGGTGCGGAGTCTCTCTCTGATCCCGCCTGTGGTGTTGGGTGCGAGGTCGTGGAAGCTTCGATCCCAAGGGGGGGAGCTGAGCCCACTCGATAACCAACTCTCAGGGGCAGTAGGTGGGCGAGCTTCAAGCGCGCTCATCTCGATCGTCAAGGCGTCGCTACGCGCGGTCTTCCGCGGGGGGAGCGTCGCCGACGGGTGCGGGACCGCGGCGCAGCCAGTGCCGTGGCGATGCCTCCGGCTGCTGCGGCGAGTGGCTTGCTGCTCGCTGCGATGGCGAAAAACTCGTCTCGTGGCACACCAAGGGCTTATGCTCTGTCGAGACGTGAGGCGTATGCGCCCAGGAGGGGAGGGTGCATGCGTAACGACGCTGCTAGAGATGCCTTTCGGGGCCCAGAGATAAAACTTCTGATGCCATGCGTGACCTAGTAGTGTCCCCAGCTATGGGCGTGTCCACGTTGGAGCCAGGTGTGGTGTGGACGCGAGAATAGCTCCGCCGTTCATGGAGGCAACCGATGCGAGTCGACTGGTGTGTGTCGTCGTGGTTTCGTATCAAGAATTCTCTCTCTCTCTTGCACGTGGGGACCCGTCCTCGTCCCATCCCTCGTTTGGTTGTGTCTGTGTGTCGCTCGTGCGTGTCGTCATCATCTGTCCAGCGTCCACCCATACCGCGTTGGTGTCCAGTCCGAGCCTGACTGTTCTTCACCTTCCTACATACACACATACATTTGTTGTGTTTCTTTCTTTCTTTTACACTGGCACGGGACTGCGCGCACACTGCCACTGGCACTAACACAAATCTCTCTCTAACACACGGGAAAAGATTTGTAGCCCACTCGCTCGCTGGGCACGGGACAAAGACATCGGTCACCGACTTTCTCTTTCTTTCCTCATGCGAGGGAGTTTTGTTGTAAGATTCTTTCCTCATCCACCTCACCGCACGGCATGCGCTGCCTCGATGGCTGCCTCCGCCTCCGCCACCACCTCGGCGAGGCCGCGCATGCCGCGCAGCCGCTCCGAGGCTGCCAGCACGCTGGCCCGCGCACCCTCGCTCTCCACCGCGGTGCGGACGGCAGAGCAGACGGCCTCCGCAGTGAAGCTGTGCTTGGGCAGCTGTGCTACCCCAAACCCGGAGGCCACTGCCGAGGCGGCGTTGAAGAACTGGTCGTCGAAGAAGGGGACGCAGATGACTGGCACCGCGTGCAGCACCGCCTCGTTTACGGATGTCGCTCCGCAATGCGAGACGAAGGCCTGGACCGCGGGGTGGGCCAGGACCGCCGACTGCGGCACCCACGCCTCTGCGCGGGCGCGTCCTGGCGGCAATGAATCGATGCAGCCCTCAACGAGCTCCGGTGCGACGGCCATCAGGACCCGCCATGGCCCCTCCGCGATCGCCTGGAGCAAGCGCTTGGCGATGTTGGCCGCCAAAGGTCCGCTCCGGATCATGGACCCCAGGCTGACGTAGACGATGGGAGAGACCTCGGCGTCGCACCAAGCCTGCAGCCCGCCTGCCACAAAACGCTCCGCCTGCGCCTCGGTCACGCCAAAGTCACTAGGCAGCACAGGACCGACGTTTCGCCGGCCTTCAGGGATCTCGCAGCCCTCGAGGAGGTCTGGCAGGAGAGTGTAGAGGACGGGGTGCGGGACCGCCGCCAGGTCCTCGCGTACCGGGCTGTACTCCGGCTCGTCTGTCAAGTTGCTCGGCAAAAACGTCCCCTGCGCCTCTGGATTCCGAACATAAATCTGCGACGGGCAGAGAGCCAGCGACGGAACGCCGTGGTCGGCACAAAACCCGCCCATCCAAGAGTATACGTGGACGCCGTCGTAGACGCACAGCGCCACATCCTTCTGGAGCACGCGCTGCTTCATTCCGATCAGGGCCTCTCGTGTTCCTTGCAGTCCATGCAGGGCTGCCGCAGGATCCTCGAACGTAGCAGCGAGGTTCTCCTCCAGCCGCTCACGGCTGTTTCCCTGCGACTCCTCATAGGTGTCTCCGCTAGCCGCACTCGCTGTGCAGTAGGCTCTCGTGAAGCGGTCGAAGCGGTCGTCGCCCGCCTCGTGCAAGGGGTGAAACGAGGCGAAGGCGGGTACGTTTGGCCCTGCTGTGCTCGGCGACCAGTATTCGACGGCGTACCCGCGCCCGTGGAGCCGCTCCGCGATGAAGACCGTGTAGTCAAAGTGCCCGCGGTCGGGAGGTATCACGAAAATCACGGTCTCGTTTGCGGCTGGGGCCGCGGCCGGGTCTCCTTGCGCGGCGTTGCACATCGGCGCCGGGCTTGGTGAGGAAGCTGCTGAGCACAGCAGGGCGAACCGGGATCGGTGCAGATCGCAACCGCGCGACCGGCCAAGGAACGAGGCATTGGCCAGGGACTCCAGGAGGGACTCCAGGAGGAACGTACGTCCGAAGAACGAGACTCTCGGGAGAAGAATTTGAGGATGAATACTCTCGCACGACACTAGGCACGGGACTGGCGCGCACTGGCACTAACACAGGTACACCACGGGAGCCTCATGAGAAGAAAGAACATCCCGGCCAAGGCGTCGTCGCGCTGGAGGGCGCAGACGTGTCTCTGATGCGCATCACCTAGGTGAATACTCCGATTGGTTGCGGTCTCGCGGAGGAAGAGGTGTGTAGCAGATGGTGGAAACTGTGTGTGTGTGTGTGTGTGTGTGTGTGTGTGTGTGTGTGTGTGTGTGTGTGTGTGTGTGTGTGTGTGTGTGTGTGTGTGTGTGTGTGTGTGTGTGTGTGTGTGTGTGTGTGTGTGTGTGTGTGTGTGTGTGTGTGTGTGTGTGTGTGTGTGTGTGTGTGTGTGTGTGTGTGTGTGTGTGTGTGTGTGTGTGTGTGTGTGTGTGTGATTTTTGAAGACCAACAAGAAATCACGACTCTCACAGTGATTTGGGCTCGGCAGCTTTTCTTGTGTGTGTGTGAGAGAGAGATTTTGTTTGTGTTTGTTTTATTGTTTGTGTGTGTGTGAGAGAGAGAGATCTCTTTCTTGTGTGTGTGTGTGTGTGTGATTTTTGAAAACCAACAAGAAATCTCTCTTCTTGTGTGTGTGTGTGTGTGACTCGAGTCACACACGTGGTGGAAAGCAGCGGGCTGGAGAGCTCGTCATAAATAAATAAGGAGAGCGAGACGCGCCCGCGGCGAGCCCCACCGCATACAGCCTGCCGTCCAGCACCGCCACGGCGAGCTTATACCGCGCCTCTGCCATCGGCGCCACCGCTTCCCACGCATCCAGCGCCGGATCGTACCGCTCCACCGAGCCGAGGTGGCCGTTGCCCGCGCTGCCACCCACCGCGTACAGCTTGCCGTCGAGCACCGCCACGGCAAAATTACACCGAGCCGCCGTCAGCGGCGCCACCGCCTCCCATGCGTTCGTCGCGGGATCGTACCGCTCCACCGAGGTGAGGTAGATGATGCATCCTCGTCGTCGTTGTGACCTCCCGCAGCGTACAGCCTGCCGTCGAGAACCGCCATGGCGTGAGAAACCCGTGCGGTCGCCATCGGCGCCACCGCCCCCCACGCGTTCGTAGCCAAGTCGTACCGCTCCACCAGGTTGAAAGTTGCGCCGTCAGCCTCATTCTCGCCGCCCGCCGCATAGAGCTTGCCATCGAGCGTCGCCATGCCTGCACTTTCACGTGCCGACGGCATCGGCGCCAATCGCTGTCGCGGCCGCGCTTCGGCAGCGTCTCCGTCCACACCAGCCGCGGCGCCACGCGCGGCACGTCCCCTTGGCGGCATGCGCCTTGGTCGGCAGCTGGGCGAGGATGTGCGGGGCGAGGTCCGGCGAGAGGAGGACCTCGGAGAGCACCCACTCGGGCTGCTCCACGAGCCGTGTGGTGTGCTCCTCCGCCACGCGCATTGCGGCGTCGCTCGCGCCCGCCTGCGCCTCGATGATGGCGCACCGCTGCGCTGGCGAGAGGCCCGCGACGCGCGCGCCGATGCGGTGGGAGGCCATGATGGGTGGCGGCTGAGAGCTTGATAAAACGGACATTTTGCCCGAAAGAAAGAAAAACAGTGGCACGGAGGACGGCATGTTGCGACGGACTTTTCTTCTCGCACACTGGAACATTCTGCTGGTCGCCGAAGCGCTCGCCGCTCGGCTGCTCCTCCTCCTGTGCCGCAGCTCGTCGCTCGTTCCCGATGCTGCTCCAGGCGGCCCGCGTCGCGCGCGCGAGGGCACTGCCCGCGCTGCCGCGGCTGCTCGCCGGCGCGAGCGCGTCTACCAGCGCGCTTCCTCGGCTGCTCAGCGCGAGTGTATCGTCTAGCCAGCCACTGCTCTCGCTCGCTCGACGCGGCCGCTCGACATTGTCAATGCCCGGCGTTGGCGCGGGCAGCGTGGCGGAGGCCGTCGCGTCGGCGGTGGCGGCTCCTGCGGCCCAGACCGTGGACCGCGCCGTCGGGTGGTGGCTGCTCGTGAGCAGCGGCTCCGTGTTTTGCATGGTCGTCGTTGGCGGCATCACGCGGCTGACGAGGTCGGGCCTGTCGATGACGGACTGGCGGCCGCAGGGCAAGCGGTGGCCGCGCAACGACGCCGAGTGGGAGGCCGAGTTTGACCGGTGGAAGCAGTTTCCCGAGTACCAGCGGCTGTACAAGGGCTCGTCGATTCCCTTCTCGATGGAGGACTTCAAGGGCATCTTCTTCTGGGAGTGGTTCCACCGGATGATGGGACGGTGCGCTCCCTCGCCCAGCCTCTCTCGCCCGCCGCACAGGCCGCGCCCCTCCCTCCTTCCACACTCCACCGCACAGCACCGGCCCCGCACCGTCCCAAGCCCTCGCCCCTCCCACGGCTCGCTGCCACCCCCTTCCCACGGCTCGCTGCCACCGCCCGGCACGCAGGTCCATCGGCGTCATCTACGGCGTGCCCCTCGCCTACTTTTGGGCGCGAGGCCGCATCCCGCGCAGCCTCGCCCCCACCCTCGGCGGCCTTCTCCTCGCGGGCGGATCGCAAGGCCCTCGCCGGCGGGCGGAGGCGGTCGAGGCACGGCCAGAGGCGGTGCGGTGACGCGTCCCCGCGGCTTGGCCCCGTAGGCCTCGTGGGGTGGTGGATGGTGCGGTCGGGCCTCGACTCGAAGCAGGTCGAGGCGATCGACGGCGGCATCCCCACCGTCTCGCCCTACCGCCTCGCCGCCCACCTGACTTGCGCGTTTGGGATCTTTTCGGTCCTGCTCCACACCTCGCTCGGGATCCTGCAGCCGCGCGTGGCGGAGGCGGTGGCGCTGCCCTCGCTCCGGCCGCTGCAGCAGCGCGTGCGCGGCCTCGCCCTCCTCGTCGGCGTCACCGCTATCTCTGGCGCCTTTGTCGCCGGGAGGCAGGTGCCGCCGGCCCCGGCCTTCCGACCCCTCCCCGGTGGACACGTCCGCGACACGTCCGCGACACGTCCACGACGCGTCCGCGACACGTTGTCCGCGACGCGTCCCACAGGCGGGCTTCGCCTTCAACACCTTCCCGCTGATGGAGGGGCGGCTGGTGCCCGAGGGCTACATGGAGCTGCGGCCCCTCTACCGCAACTTCTTCGAGTCGGTGCCGTCGGTGCAGCTGCACCACCGCGCCCTCGCCCTCACCACCCTCGCCTCGGTGTCGGGCGTGTGGGTGTGGGTGCAGGCGATGCCGCTGCCGCCGCAGCTGCGCCTCGCCACCGACCTGCTCCTCCTCGCGGCGTGGGGCCAGGTCGGGCTCGGCGTCGCGACGCTGGTCAACTGCGTGCCGGTCCACCTCGGCTCCGCGCACCAGGCGGGCGCGCTGAGCCTCTTCTCGGTGGCGGCGGACCGCGATGCGCCGGCTGCCGCGACGCCCCTTCACAGGATCGGTCTCTGAACAGGTGGTCCTCTTCACCCTGCACTCGTGCCGCGCGCCGGCGCAGGCTGGCAAGCTCGCCGCGCGGATCGGGCAGCGAGTTGCGGTGGCCTAGGCGGTTGCTAGGGTGGCGGGGTGGGCTGGGAGGGGGAGAGGGGCCTCGTTCGTTGCTTCGGGGCCGTACTAAGGGCCACCGGGCCGCTTTCGGGGACACGCAAAGAAGGCGCGGGGGGGCCGCAAGTCGCAAGTGGGGAGAGTGAGGTGCGGAGAGAGGTGGAGACTGGAGTGGAATGTCGGGCTGATTGGGGGGTCTGTCAGAGAGAGGAGACCTCAGGGTTCCACAGTTTCTCAAGCGCCGTGTCGGGATTCCTACGCGTGTCTTTTTGTCTGTTCTCTGTTGCACTTGCAGTGTGATATGATGCTTATGGACTTTGCAATTTTCACTCTTCACACACTTCAGCGGCGATTCGCTTAAATTCATTATTGTTTTTATTGGACTCAGGAGCTCAGGAGTTGTCTGGAGACTGGACGCTTCCTCCCGGCTCCGCGGTGAGATCTGAGAACCGTGTGAACGCGGTGAACATGCTGACTCGTGACTGATGGCGCGTTGGGGCGGGAAAATGCGGGGATGATGTTATGTCGCCGGTTTCGTCGATCGTTCTTTTTGACTTTGTGACTTCCGGCAACAACTTGATTCCCGGATCGGCGTCTCACGGCCGGGCCGCGGGACGGGGAGGGAGCTGAGCCCTGGCTGTCAGGCTGTCAGGTGCTGTCAGGTGATCTGTCAGGCTGTCAGGCACTGTCAGGCACTGTCAGGTGCCTCTGTCAGACCAGCTGTCAGGTGCTGTCAGTGCTGTCGGGTGCTGTCGGGTGCTTGTCTGACATCAGAGGGGCTCCGTAGCTGTCGGGTGCTGTCGGAGCTGTCGGGTGTTGCTGTCAGACGCTGTCGGAGCTGTCAGAGCTGTCGGGCTGCTGCTGCTGTCAGAGACGCCGGTGCTGTCAGGTGCTGTCGGTTGGTGCTGTCGGGGTGCTGTCAGGCTCTGACACACTATCCACACTTATGACATTATCAAGAGGAGACCAGCAGGACTCTACTACACATACTCTAGTCTCTACTCTGCCTAGAAGGGGTCCGCCTGGGGAGCGCAGATGGCGGCGCAGGCGCAGGCGGCGGCGGTGGCAGCGCGGCACAGACGGCGGCGGCCACCCCCACCCAGACGCCGTAGGCATATGACTGTAGGGCCCCAGAAGGCTAGCTGGTAGCTTCATTTGTAGTAGCACAGCCGCCGGTGCTAGAGAGGGGTACGCAGAGGTGGGGCGGGAGGGACGGAGGGTTGAGAGAGAGACCCATGACCAGCCCATGACTACATGGACATGGACCACACTCACATGTCTTTGCATGTTTTGTTATACCCTCATGGGGCGCAAGAAAGAGGCTGCACGGCTGTGTACGGTCTGTGCTGCTGTCGGGCTGGTCGGGCTGTCGGGCTGTCAGCGCTGCTGTCAGGCCACTGTGTGCTGTCGGGCTGTCAGGCAGCTGTCAGGCTGTCACGTTAGGGCCTGACAGCGACGGAGCCCCTCTGATGTCAGACTCTGCTGTCAGGCTGTCAGATACGTGCTGTCAGGCTGTCAGAGAAAGTGCTGTCAGCGCTGTCAGGCTGTCGGGCACTGTCAGGCGCTGTCCGGGTTTGCTGTCAGTCTGTCAGACCAGGGCTCAGGGAGGGAGGGGGGTGGATCCGTAAATCCGCAAATCCGTAAATTTGTAACCAAAAGCCACCAGGGAGTCCCCCACCGCACCCAGCTACCAGGTAGGCAGAGACACAGCACTCGCGACATGCTGAGAAGCCGGGGGCTGGCCTCTCCAGTGCTCGCGCAACGCTGTCTGCACGCGCAACAGCTCTCTCCGGGGTCCGCACGGGCGGCCCAAACAGTGGGAGGGTCGACGACCGTACGACTGTAACGCTACGTATATCTCTTAACAATCACTATGTTCGCGCTTGCGCTGCACCTCTGCGAGTGCGTCTATTAACCCCTCACGCGTGCGCATAATCCCCTCCATCTTGTTGTGCAGCCTTGACCTCTCCGCCTCTGCGGCATCAGCGCGCCTCGCCTCTGCCTCCATCGAAATCTGCAGCGCGTCGAGCTGCTCGCGCAGCTCGGCCTGCATCTTGGCCCGCATCTCGCCGATACGCCACTCACACTCAGCTCGAGCTGCATGATTTGCCTGGTCGGCCATCCGCTCGGCCGCTTTGATGTCGCGTTTAGCAGCCTGCTGCGCTCTCCTCAGGTTGTCGCAGTCGGAGCGCCTCAGCTCTTGTGCCGCAGCAAGCTCATCCCGCGCCGACGCGAGCGCGCCTTCTTCATAGCGCTCGCAGAGCGCTGCTCAGAAGCGAGATCCTTGGTCTGTGACCGCAACTTCTCTTATAACTCCTGCCGGAGCAGCATCTCAGCAGTCGCACTACTCGCGGCTGCATGGACGTCCGAGCCCTTTAGCGTGGTTTGCGCGTCTGTGCTGACGAGAGTGCGGGAGATGCTGCCCTTGTGCTGAACAGAGATTGCGCCAGCGGTAGCAGTGCTGCTTGGGCACACAACAACATTGCTCGTGGCCGAGCTGGCATAAGCCGCCGCACCAGCCTCTGCGGCTGCAGCGGTGCTTCGGATCGCGTCGAGCACCGCGCCTGTATCGTGCATGAGCACAGCCTCGAACTTACTGAGGTCGGCTATCCCGAGTTCGTTTAGCATGCGCTCCAGCACAATGCTGAGCTGCGTCGGGGCCATGTGTCGACGTGTCCAAGGGAACGGACGTCGCCGAAAGTCCTTCTTCACCGAAACCTCATGCAGCGGCGGATGACCGAGCACAACAACGAGGAGCAGGGTTCGGACTTTTTGCGGGGTATGGTATGGTAGCGTCGCGCAACCCACCTCGAGACCATACCCCCCCGCCTGCTGACAGACCCAGCCTCCCGGAGACCGGGGATGGGCGGTCAGGACCATACCCCCCCACCCTTTGGGCCGCGACCCTACCATACCATACCCCGCAAAAAGTTGGAACCCAGGCGGGGCCGTCTCAGAAAAAAACCCCGGGGTTGATATCAATTGGCCGCGTTGGGAACCAATCCGCTCCCAACGCGCTGCTGCACTGGCTTTCTTTCTTTATTTCTGCCTGGCTGGGTTAACGATTACGTACGGGCGCCGGGCGGCCCGCCCAAGCCCCCGAGAGAGAAGTGTGACGGACAAAAAAAATCATGTTCAGGGAAGCCGCCGACACGATTGAGTCACGCGAGGATCAAAGTCGATCAGACGGCGTCGCTCTACGTCGCTCCTTCCGATCGCGATATGGTGCGCGGCTCACACTCCCCAGCGTGCGCTCGCTCCTCTCCACACCCAAAGCACTCGCTCTCTGTCGCGGCAGCTGCGTGGCGGCAGCAGCGGTGTCAGCGGCGACTGCAGCGGCGATGGGCAGTTTGGCATACGAAGCAACCACCCCGCGCCCTTGGCCACGCAACCGCGGGCAGAGCACCGCTCCACCGCCGCAGGTGTCATCCGCCAAGATGCTGATGCTCTCTCTGGTCGTGCCATGCGAGGCGATGACCACCCCACGCCGACTGACTGCACTAGCCGCCGCGTCGCCTCCGCCGCCACCGGCGCCGCCGCTTTGCAATTGCAGCTGCTACGAGGGCGAAGGTGCATACTACGGAGGCTATGTGCCTGACGAAAGGGAGTCTCCGCCCACACAATGCTGGATCAAAGACATTGGATACGACAAGCCATGCTGCACGCCCTCAATCTCGGCGGGCGAGTACCACACCTGCATCATCCGGGAGGACAACTCGCTCGCAGAGTGCTGGGGTTGGAACGAGTACGGCCAGACCACCGTCTCGCCAAACGTGCAGTACACGCAGATCTCGGCGAGCATATACCACACTTGCGGCATCCGGGCGGACAACTCGCGCGCAGAGTGCTGGGGTGACAACACTTTCGGCCAGAGCACCCCATCGCCAGACGTGCCGTACACGCAGATCTCAGCGGGCGGCGCGGTGTGGGGCACGCACACCTGCGGCATCCGGGCGGACAACTCGCTCGCAGAGTGCTGGGGCCTCAACGACGACGGTCAGGCCACCCCATCGCCAAACGTGGAGTACACGCAGATCGCGGCGGGCGGCTTGCACACTTGCGCCATCCGGGCGGACAACTCGTTCGTAGAGTGCTGGGGCTACAGCTACAACGGCCAGGGCACCGTCTTGCCAAACGTGCCGTACACGCAGATCTCGGCGGGCAAGTACCTGACTTGCGCCATCCGGGCGGACAACTCGCTCGCAGAGTGCAGCGGCCAGACCGTCGCCACGCCAAACGTGGAGTACACGCAGATCTCGGTGGGCATTTACCACACCTGCGCCATCCGGGCGGACAACTCGCTCGCAGAGTGCTGGGGCTGGGGTGACAATCGCCCGCGCGACATCATGCCAAACGTGCCGTACTCGCATATCTCGGCGGGCGGGCGCCACACCTGCGCCATCCGGGCGGACAACTCGCTCGTAGAGTGCTGGGGTGACAACTGGTACGGCCAGACCACCGTCTTATCCCCGCCGCCGCCCCCCTGCGAGGACCAACTACGGTGGGTGGTGACATGGCATGTGCGCAGTCAGGGGGCTTTCGGCGACGTTTTCACAAGCGAGGCAAGCGCACGCAGCGCCTTCAACTCCAAGGACGGCGGCCCATGGGCGACGCGCCTTTACAGCCCCGCGTTCAATGTCCTGGAGCAGCACGGCTCGATGAGCGACGCAAATTGGCAGATGCTGGAGACCTGGGCGCGCAATGCACTGCAGGGGATGTGCTCGCCCCCGTCGCCACCTTCCTCTCCCCCCTTTCCGCCACTGCTGCCGTCGCCGCCGGGTACTGGGAAGGAGGACGTGCTGACCACGTTGGTTGTGATTCTCGCCGCCGCGTTGCTTGTGCTCATTGTCCTCGGACTGGCCTTCCTCCTCGTCTATTTCAAGGTGGTCTGCAAGAAGACACCCGAGGCTCCGGTCAAGCCGCATTCAGCAGCCACGTCGATGCGGGTTGCCTAGGCATCGCGTCCCAGCGTCCCACAGACTCTCTGGGAGTCCCAAGAACGTCCAGAAGAGATCCGGAAGATCCAGAAGAGGTCCAGAAGAGATGTGTTCAGAAGATGTCCAGAAGAGGTCCAGAAGACAATAGGCTGAGATGTCCAGAAGATCCAGGAGTCCAGAAGTGAGATGTTCAGAAGATGTCCAGAAGATGTCCAGAAGACAGCCTAGGTATCCCGTGTGCCGCACCCGCTCCGACATGCGGGCCAGCTCCAGTTTCCCGACTCTCGCGAACTGCGATACATTGCGCGTTTCCGGTCCACGTGAATGCCCATCTCGTTTCCTATTCGACGTCTTGCTCATATATGCGTTTCCGGGTTCCGATTCGATTCCGAGTCGTTTCACGGACATTCCAGTTCCCCGTGTGCGCTGTGGCCTCTGTGCCTGACGAACTCGTCTTTGCGCCGTCTCCTTTCGACATACATAGATTCCTATCTGGGAGGGGCCAGCCAGTGGGAACAGACCCCCTATCCGGGTAGGAGCCGGAACCCAGGCCTTTCTCAGAAAAAAATCGGCCCGGGCCAGGTAAGGGTAAGTTAAGTTTCTCCGGGCCAGCCTCGTCTCACCCCTCATTCCCCGCCTGGTTGTAGTGGCACAGCGGCGCACCCCACGGCTCGGGCTCCGCCGGGGTCATCAAGATCCGCTGCAGCTCGTACACCCGCTCTGGCGAGAAGCGGCAGCGCCACTCCTCGCCAGCCCTCAAGCGGAAGAGCTCCTCGCCATTCTCGCAGATCTGGAGGTTGAAGAGCACGTCTCCAGGAAAAAGATGTCGTCGTTCGCATAGCCCGCGTTCGGGTATGTCCCGCTGTTGGCGCCGTTCGGAGTCCAGCCGGAGCAGCGGTTGAAGGGGTGGCCGTAAGCGCCGCCCGTGTTTAGGGACCCGGGCGCGACGGCAAATTTGATGCGGTTCTCGTCCTGGTCTGGCAGGCTGCCCTGCGCAGCGCACGCCTGCCACTCAAAGTTGCGGCACAAGTTGTAGTCAGAGGGCCAGACGGCGAGCAGCTGCAGGTTGGCGCGGACGCAGCGCTGCCTGATGGTGCTGCCCCACCCCCCGTGGCGCCCGCAGAAGCCGTCAATTGAGCCGCCGCCCGAGTCGAAGCCCAGGATTGCCGGCGCCGGCCGCGTAAAGTCAGGCGTGCCGTCGCGCCGCGAAACCTCGTCGCCCTCGTTGCCATAGAAGCGCATCCAGCGAGTGCGAGAGCAGTGGCGGCCGCTCACGATGTCGTCAAAGTAGGTCCGCGCATCCTGCGGCGCGCGCCCGAACCGCTGCACCAGGACGTGTAACGCCTCCCGCTAGCTAGGTCCTCGCCGTGGGCGGGCGCGCGGCCAGCGTCGCATCGGGCGGCGCGGACGCGGAGGAGAGGACCGGGCACGGACATGTCAACCTCGCCGATGTGGACGGCATCACGCTGACCACGGCCGAAGGTGCGGAGGCTCAGCTCGACGCGGAGACACTCTGCAACGAATCGGACCGACCCTTCGGGAGCACGGAGGGGTCATCGACATCGACCCCCCCGCCCTCCCCCCAGAGCCAGCAAGGGGCGCCGTGGGCCGCGAGGGCGGAGCACATCTGCCACGCGAGGGGATGCACCCGATGTGGCCTCGGCAGGACCACCCCCCTACCGACGGGGTTTGCGCCCGACCGACTCGCTGACGCGGACTGCCCCCGGTGCTCCTTCCCGTTCCGAGAGGTATGGGATGGTGCGGAAGCCCGCTCTCTCGGAGCGGGTCGGGTCTGCTGCGGATTGCCTCAAACCAACGTCGATACCTCGGATGTCTCGCGAGGCGAAGGGGGTGCTCCACCAACAGGTGAGGGCCCAGGACCCGGTCTCCCCGGTGTACTGGGAAGGGGTCGTGCGGTGGAGGAGCTTGCCCTCGAATATTCGGGGCGACCTGATTGCCCCGTTGGTCCCGCGGCCGAGCGACCGTGTGACGCCTTCTCTAACAGGGGGCCCGGCGAACTACCGGACCGCGACAAGACCTGTGGACGGGGGGGTAAATTGAATTCTTCTTCTCGTCGCCCAAGTGGGCAAAGCAGCCGGATGGCGGCACTCCCGTTCATCACCCGGCTGACGGGCTTGCCGCCTCGCCGCGCCGCGTTTCTCGTCTGCTCCAGCGCGGCGTTGGGCGCGGCGATGGAGTTCTTCATGATCAAGGTCTGGATCAAGGACACCAACTTCTACAGCGTCGTGGTGCGCAAAGAGGCGGAGCGGAGAGCGGCGGAGCCGGACGGCCCTGCGGGCATAGGCGAGCTTGTAAGGAGGCAGTGGGAGGAGCGTCAGTCAAAGGACGCGGGTTAGAAGCCCAAGGTTCGCTGCGCTGCTTGCGGCGCACCCTGTCTCTGAGCGAATAAAACAAGACCTGCGAACCAAAGAGGAATGGTCGACCCCAGTGCTCTCATTTGATTACTGGAGAGACTCCTCGCGGTGTCGTGTGTGGCGGCGGCGATTAGAGACTCTCCGCGGTGCCGGTGTCGTGTGTTGCACGACTTATACGTCCTCGGCCGCGGTCAGGCCCGCCTCAGCCACGGCGGCGCGCGGCCGGCATCTCTAGCCCCCAGCCCAAGCGGCGCTCCTCGGGCGGCGCGTGGGTCGGCTCGTGCGTCGCCTGAATCGCAAAGACCAGCGCGAGGACCGAGGAGGCGATCCCGATCAGGGCGAGCGGGTGTGCGAGCCGGGCGTAGGAGGCCATCAGCCGGAGGTGAAGCACGCAGAAGCGGAGGGCCATCCCGGCGTAGCCACCGTATGTGATGGTGCGCGCGTTGGAGTACGTGAGCAGCGAAGCGGCCGAAGAGCAGACGGCGAACATGGCTGCACGCGCGAGGGCTGGCTGGTAGCGGAGTGCCTGGCAGGGTTCGGTGCGGGTTGTTGCGGGTTGTTTCTTCATGTCGGGTTGGGGTTAACGCGCGAGGGCTGGCAGCGGTAGCGCCTGCCGCGCGCGCAGCGCCTGCGCAAACATCAACGAGAGCACGCCTGGAAGGGAACGTGTGTTGGACGCGTCATGGGACAGGTCTGACACCGCCGGGAGGGGGAGGCGACTCGCCGGTGATGAAGTGGTGCCGCACCGAGACGTACTCGTACTCGAGCTCTCGCACCTGGCGGAGAGGGAGGGCTAGTGTGTGTGAGGCAGGTCGTGTGTGTGTGTGTGTGTGTGTGTGTGTGCGTGTGTGTGTGTGTGTGTGTGTGTGTGTGTGTGTGTGTGTGTGTGTGTGTGTGTGTGTGTGTGTCATGGAAATCTCATCACCCACCAGCATGCTACTTCTGTATCACTCTCACGCGCCAGCAATGCGACGAGCGACGGGGCTTTGGTGTCGAGCGTGCCACTCTGCAGCAGCATCATCGCTCCCGTGGAGATGAAGACACAGGACAGCTCCTCGCTGAAGGAGAAGAGCATCAGCAGCGTGTAGCACCGCCGCAGGATGCGCCATCCTTGCGAGGCCGCCAGGTCGCGTGGGACACTCACAAGCACGAACGCCTCCTTGATTGCGGTCGCAGCCACCAGTGTGGCCGGCACGCGCACGTTGGAGAAGAAGGTCACAGCGGCCGTGGTGTAGTCTGTGCAAACCACCGCTGCATGGCGCCTCGCCATGGCCGGGCGACGTTGGGACGGGAGGGTCATCACGGCACTGTTTGTCCGGTGCCGGAGGCGTGAGTGCACCAGCGATTGCGAAGGCGGAGCCACCACCTGCGAAGGCGGAGCCACCACCACCAGCACGCCTCCGGCCAGCCTCGAGCACGACCACGAGCATGTCGTCGAGCAGCACACAGGAAATTTAGCAAGATTGCGTGCGAAGGCAGCAGTGCCCACCACGAGCGCTGCGGCCACTGCGGCCATCGCTCTCAAAGGCCGCGGCGAAAAGAAAGAAAAACCACCTCAGGGATGGGAGGCCGCGGCGATGGCACTAATGTCAGCTTCCCTTCTCTTTTATTTGTGTGCCAGTCCGCGCCAGTCTGCGCCCTTGTCGTGCCAGTGTGCTGTGAGAGTATTTTATTATTTTTTGGAAGGCTCCTCTCTCGTGCTGCCAACAACATACATCAACAACGACCCCAGGAATTGCGACTCGCCGCTTTCCTCCCGCTGTGATTCTGTCTGTGTGAGCTCTGTGTCTTGTTTTGCCGACAACATACCTAATACACATCAACTACGTTAGATATTTCAGGGCCTCGGTACCTCACCTTCGAGACGAGCCAGGCTTCAATCCAATCCCTATGGACCTAGTGTGGCGTCGAGGCCCGCACTGTCTGGACATGCGGGCCGCGGCTGACGGCGGGCTAGGCATTGAGAGCCCAGGAGTTTTAATAGGGAAAACAACAAACCTTGCTTTGTTTCCTAACATCGAAGGCTAAGCTCAAAAACAACAAAGCGTTTGTTTTCATAACATCGAAGGCTAAGCTCAAAACAACAAAAAGGAAGCGCGAGGGAAAAATTCCGCCGCTGAGGGCGCTCGTGCGGCAATAGCCGGGTGGAGGGGGGAGCGTGCCGGACGGGGCGTCGTCGCGCCGTCCGATGGTCTGCTGCCCCGCGCAGCAACCGTCGGGCGACGACCCGGGGGCCAAAAACCCGGCGACGACGGCGCTCTGGATGGGGCGTGACCTCCTGCCTCCAACCTCCACCACGAGCGCTGCGGCCATCGCTCTCAAAGGCCGCGGCGAAAAGAAAGAAAAAACCCGCGGGAGGGTGGCACTAATGTCAGCTTCCCTTCTTTTTTTGTGTGCCAGTCCGCGCCAGTCTGCGCCCTTGTCGTGCCAGTGTGCTGTGAACACCCGAGAATTATTATTATCGACAAAAAATAATAAAATACAAGTCATGTGTGTGTGTCCGTGTTGCGACAGCTCAAAAGAATTGCGAGCTTCGCCCCCCCCCCCCCCCTGAAGACCGTTGTCCTAACACGCTTCTTCGCACCAGCATGTCGACCGACGCCCTCCCGCCCGCCACCGAGAACGAGGCCCCCGGCACCGCCGTCAAGGCTCCGCCGCCCAAGCCGGACGCCGATCCTCCCAGCGAGAAGGCGCTCGCCGCCGCCGCCGCCGGCGCACAACTTGATTGGACTGAGCCGCCGGCGGCATTGCCTCGCCTCACGGACGAAAACGGGCCAAACCCAGCAAAGGTGGGGATGAAAGTCGCTCTTAAGATCGGTGGCATGTGGCGCGTGGACAAAGTCGTAGGCATCCGCAAAGGCGCCCGTGCCATTGACCTCGAGCACCACCGCGACAATCGAGGCAGGAACGGCTTTGTCGTTCAGTATCCGTGCAAAGCTGGGAGGAAGATCCTCATTATCTCCAAGTCGGAGTCCAAGACGGCGCAGCTCGAGGCGCTGGAGCGCCGCGAGGAGCGGGTCCGCAAGGAGGAGGGCCACGCTGTGCTGCCGCCCGAGACCAAGGCGCGCGTGCAGCGCGAGTCCATCGTCAGGGACATGCTCTCGATCGAGGACGAGACCGAGGTCGAACTGCCAGGTGGCTGGATTGCTGACGCCGTCAACAAGACGTCTGGCTGGTTCACCGAATACAAGAAGCTCGACAAGCACCTCTCCCTCACCGCGCGCGGCCAGATTGAGACCTACCGCGCCAGGCTCAAGCAGATGTTTCGCCGCTCTTTCCGCTCGCGCATCGTCTTCTTCTCCGAGGAGAACGAGGTAGATGCCCGCAAGCTCTTCGAGGAGATCCTCGATGACTACAAGCTGGAGCCGTTTGGTCTCACTCAGGCTGTGCTGGTGCACATGTCCAACATCGAAGTCGCCGCACACAAGGCGGCCCTCAAGGAGCTCGAGCGCACCACCATGACCATGTAGCAAGGCAGAGGTACTAACGGGCTGTGGCTCGTGAGGCAGCGGTGCTAGCTCCACGGCGAAGTAGTAGCAAGAGTAGCAATGAGATGCTTGCGTGCAATGCCCGTCTGTGGCCCATACAGGGGGTCGGAGGGGTGTTTGGTGTGCATGCACATGACATGGACATGGACATGGGTTGTTGTATGGTTGGTCGAATGGAGCTGTCGTGTACTTTGTCTTATAACAAAGCACTGCGAGGTATTGTGGTGCGAAACGTCAATCGTCGGCCCGTTGGCCGGCGGCGCCCCCTTCTAGCTAGGGCGAAACGCTCGGAGCGACACCTCCCCATTGCGCGCGCAGCGCCGGCCCGTCCATCGATGGCGGCCCCGAATCTGGTGACCCTCGCCCCTCCCCATCTGATGCACGAGAGCGAGTTGCCGCTGGAGTGGGAGAGGGCCTTCGCAAAGGAGGACGTTGCGATGCCGCACATCGCCAAGCTCCGCATCATCCTGCCGCGCGACTTCTCGCCCGGCTCTAGCATCAAGTTCCCGGTGCCGTGTGTGTGCGGTCACCACTCGTCCAGGTTCACAAAGACGCTGCCGGGCCGGACGGTGATTGTCAAGTGGGACCTCAACATCTGCCAGCTCATCGACAACAGCGACACCAACCTGGTGACTGCCGTGCGGCTGGGGGATAGGCCCAGGGTGGAGGCGCTGCTCGCGTCCGGCCAAGCGGTGGACCAGGCGACCAACAATGGCTTCACGCCTCTTATTTTCGCCTGTCATTTTGGCTACACGCAGATCGCCTCCGCCCTCATCGTTGCGGGCGCGGCCGTCGACCGGAGGACAAACACGGGCGTCACACCGTTGTACGCCGCCTGCAAGGAGGGCCGGGCGTGCATCGCCAAGTTGCTGCTCGACCACAAGCCCACCTCTAGGCCGTCAGTCGTAGCGGTGGACCAGCCGACCAATAGCGGCTCGACGCCGCTGCTCATCGCCTGCGAGAGGGGACACGCCGACGTCGTCTCTGCCCTCCTCGCCGGGGGAGCAAACGTCAACCAGGTTAGGTCAAACGGCGCCACTCCGCTGCTCGTCGCTTGCGTGAGCGGCCACGCGGAGGTTGCCGCTGTGCTGCTCGCCGCGGGCGCGACGGTGAATCGGGCGAGGGACGGCCTCACGCCGCTGCTCGTCGCCTGCTGCTGGGGCCACTTGCGCTGCGTTCAGGTCGCCTCCAGCTACGGCGCTGCTCGCGCCATCACGTGGAACGGCCTCCGCGGGGATGCGGAGGGGATGGCGCGCAACCAGAACCACATGGAGGTGGTCGCTTGGCTGTCGCTCAGCAGCCGCTGGACGACGCCGCTGCACCACCTCGCCATCATCGGCGCCGAGCGGGCGAGGGCCGAGCTGCGCGCCGGCGCGGACGTGCTCGCCGCGGCGCGCGTCCCGTCGCCCGCAAGACTGACCGTGCGCAAGCTGCGCGAAGCGCTCGCAGAGCGGAGCCTGCCCACCGATGGCCTCAAGCCGGTGCTCGTTGCGCGGCTGGCGGCGGCGATCGCCGCAGATCCGCCCCCGCCCACGCCCCTCTCGATCGCGCGCGAGATGCGAGCAGCCGACCCGCCCGCGGCCGACGGCTCGCCGGCGCACCTCGTGCTGCGAGCGGCGGAGCCGTGGTCGCCGCACAACCACGAGCTTTTCCCGGAGGCTTGCCGGAAGCGCGCGGTGCAGCTGCTGCTGCTGGGGGAGCTGCTCGCGAGAGAGCCGCTCTTTGACGATCGGCGGGGGTCGGCGGTGAGTCTGAAGGACTGCTGGATGGACTTTGTGATGCCGCAGGCTGTGAGGCGGTTTGGTTGAATATCTCGTGTCTATGGTAACTGCGTTGGCCGTGGCGCGGTTGTTTATCTTCGTCTGAGATTGGGAGATGAGAGAAGTTTATTGGTTGAGATTGGCCAGGTGAGCGGGGAGCGCGCGACAGAGATTTTCGATCGATGATGTAGACCTGGTCCGGTGAACACAGAGTCAAGTTCTGGGCTCGCGGCTCGCGCCGTCCGTCGTGCGTCCCCGAAGTCTCTACTGAAATGATGCCCGGTCCGCGCGTGGAGCTGCCCGAGCCGCCTGTGGAGCTGACCGGTCCGCCTGTGGAGCTTCCTGACCTGCCGGTGGAGCTGCTTCGCCATGTCATGTCTTTCATGTGCCACTGCTCCGGCGTGACAGACACGGGGACTCTTGGCCGCGCGTCGCAAGTCTCCACATGGATGCGCCACGCCGCCCAAGAGCGCGCCGAGCGCGCCACACGAGCCCTGCTTCAAGACCGCATCGGTGAGTACTCCCCTCATGGCGGGGCACCAGTCAGCATACTCCTGCACCCCACCTGGGCACAGCGCCTCGACAGCTTGCTGCACAACAACATCGCTGGCGTGTGCCTTCTCTATCTTCAACTTGCGGATGACGAAAGCAGTGGCACAATCGGCGGAATCATTCGAAAGATAAAACGAATACTCCGAAAGGTTGACCCTCAAGGGTCTCTTCTCTACCTGAGTGATATCGACCACCTCCCCCTTGGACATGACGGAGAGAAAATCTGTGGTGCGGGAATCGGTGGCTGCCATAGCGACGCGACGATGTTGGAGCTGCCAGCGACGATGCCGAGGGCAGTCAAGCTCTGGCTCTGTCAGTGCCTCGGCCTGCATTCTTTGGCGCCTGTTTGCGGGTTCGAGCTTCCGACGCGAGACCTGAGTGACGAGTGGCTGGTGGCGCTTTCACAACCCCTGCCAGTCAATGTGTGGGAGACGCTCGCGACTCGGACCAGGTCACAACCGCGACTCGGACAAGGCCACCAAGTCGACACCCAAGAGGCTCCGACCCAAGGTCACACTCGCGACTCGTGGCGCTTGCCATGCCTTGCACCGCACGCGGACATTGTGGTCTTCCAGACTCAGATCGTCGAGAGGTGCTGCTGGTGCAGCGAAACTATCGAACCGGAGGCTGGTGTGTGTGAGGGGTGCGTCTTCCCAGATGGCAGACCGTTGACAGAAGACCCTAAAGCTGCACGAGCTCTGATGGAAAGCGAGGGCGAAATGAACGATCGCGAACCCCGTGCGATCTTTGAGCTGCGGCGGGGGCCGATGGGCGACGTCAAGGGACGCTCTGTCCTGGGCTACTGTAATTGTGACTACGAGCACTACGAGCGTGTCGGGCCGACCATCGAAAGCATCGACAGCTCCGACCTCGATGACGTCTTGGTTACTGAACAACTGCTGCGCTCCATCACGGAATGGGTTTTCGTCCACTTTCCCAAGCCGGCGCGTCTGCAAGCCGACTCGACGACCGTGACTCTGTCAAGCGGCCGACGAAGGCTATTCCGAAATTGCGGCTGGCGTGAGACTCAGGACGGCGACTGGAGCATTCTGCTCCACGATGCCGCGTCTGCTCCTCCTTACGGTGGGATCGACCCGGAGTTCGAGGGTGCCTCGAGCGATGAGAGCGAAGAGGGCGAATAGAGTGAGTACCCTTCCCAGAGCGCCGCCCGATTACCTGTTGCGAACTTCGCGTCAGTTTGCTGCGTCTCTCTTCCTCGGGGCGATCCCTGTTCACGGGGATGCTGGTCCTGGCCTCCCTGGGCTAGCTTGGCCGCTGCATGACTCGACACAGACGTCGAGACGCGCGTAGCCGTGTAGGTACGCACAAAAAGCAGTCTAGCGGGCAGGGAATGGTTTTCTGAGTTTTTGGAGCACTTGGAGTGCAGTCGGTAACCTCACACTTAGAAGTACAGCGATCGCCAACTCGCTGGCCTCTCCGCAGGCCCCCCCGACCGCGTCGAACTCATCGGCGCGGGCTCTCTCGGCTACGGGACCGGCCCCAGCTTCGGCTGAGGGCTAACAAGCTGCCGAGCCCAAATTACTGTGAGAGTCGTGATTTCTTGTTGGTTAATAAAAATCTCTCTCTCTCTCACTTAGGGGGGCCGGGGAGCAATGAAGCGCACCTAGCCCGCAGCCGGCGGGCCGGATAATCGACGGCACAGTCGATCGTGCGAATCGGGCTACGATTCCGTGGTTTCTCTATCGTACTTGGTTCGCCCCCCGCCTCCAGACTGCGAAGAAGAGGATTTTTTTCGTCCGAGCCTCGGCTCTCCAGCCTCAACAATGTGGCTGGTCGCAATCGCCTCGGCGCTTGCGTTCGCCCCGGCACTGGCGCCGCGCGACGCGCGAGGCTCATGGGCGCTCAGCAGAGGCGGGCATGCGGCTGGCGGCTCGGATGCTTCCTGCGCTGGGCCGATGCACAGGGAGGGGCATCGCTCGCGGCCAGTCGTGCTGCTCGCAAAGAAGAATAAGGGCGGCAAGAAGAAGGGACCCCGAGCGCCGGCAGCAGCGTCCCGCGGGCGTTCGCCGTCACCGGCAGCAGCACCAGCACCGGCGGTGGCGACAGCGGCGGCGGCAGCCCCTGCGCCAGTGCCTGTGGCGCCGGTGCCTGCCGCGCCCGTGGCGTCCGTGACGGCGACGCCCGTGACGGTGACGGCGGCGCCCGTGACGGTGACGGCCACGCCCGTGGCACTCTCTCCTGTGGCGGCGGCAGCAGTGACGGCAACGCCCGTGGCAACGCCTGTTCCGGTGACACTTGTACCTGTGCCAGTGGCACCTGCGTCTGTGCCTGCACCTGTGCCGGTGACACCTGCACCAGTGGCTTCGGCTGCGCCTGTGCCGGTGACACCCGTGCCCGTGATGCCCGTGGCAGCGGCTCCGGTGGTGGCGATGCCAGTGACGGCGACGCCGGCAGCGCCAGTGGCGGCAGCGCCGGTGGCGGCGGCTCCCGTGGCGGCGGCGCCGGTGGCGGCTCCGGTGGCTACGGTGGCGGCGGCGGCGGCAGCGCCTGTGGCGGCGGCGGCTGTGGTGGTGGCGGCTACCCCGGTGGCGGCGACGCCTGCAGTGACGGCGACGCCTGTGCCGCCGGTGGTGACTCCGAGCGAGGCTGCTGCTGCGGCGGAGGTGGCGGCGGCCATGGGTGCAGAGGAGGAGGGGGAGGAGGAGGGGGAGGAGGAGGGGGAGGGGGGAGAGGAGGACCTCGTGCTGGAGCTGCTCGAGCTGCTCGACGAGGTGTGCCACTGCCGAGACATCTCCCCCAGCCCCCTTCTTGCGCGCTCCTCCCCCTCTCCGATCTCCCTCACCCTAGGGCCCCTGCGCCGCGCCTCCCTCACCGCCACCCCCTAGCCGCTCGTCCCCATCCCGCCCTCCCTCGCAGGTGCCCGAGCGGGGCGCGCGCGTGTCGGCGGAGGACGCTGCCGACGTGTCCCAGATCGTGTCCGAGCTCGAGGAGGAGGGGAGCCCCGCCGGCCCCGACTGGCACCCTCTCTCGCTGGAGCCCGCCCCAGCGCGACGACTCCTCCAGAGGCGACCGCCCCTTGAGACTAGGCACCTCTCCGACGACCTGCCCGGCGCGTGGCAGCTGCGCTACACCACGTCAAAGGCCTTCCACCGCAACGGCGGCCTCACCGGCTACGCCGCGGACTTCGCCGCCGTCGAGACGCCGCAGCTCACGATGAAGATCGAGCGGCGGGCGGAGGCGATCTCCTAGACACTCTCCTAGGCACTCTCCTAGACACTCTCCGAGACACTCTCCGAGACACTTCCTAGACACGCCCTAGACACTTCCTAGACACTCTCCTAGACACTTCCTAGACACTTCCTAGACACCTCCTAGACACTTCCTAGACACCTCCTAGACACTTCCTAGACACTTCCTAGACACCTCCTAGACACTTCGTAGACACCTCCTAGACAGCTCACAGACGACTCACGATGAAAACCGAGAGCGGCGAGGTGGAGCCCCCCCCCCCCCCCCTCCCTCCGCCCCGCCGGCCCCCCTGCACGTGCCTTTCCAGCGGAGACCCCGCACCCGGCCTGCGGACACACAGGCTGGCTACCGGCTCCTCTCCTTCGTCGAGCCCGTCTCGCTGCGGGAGGGCTCGATCTTCTCGCTCCTCGGCGGCCTCGCCGGCGTCGACGCGGTCACCGCAGACTGCTCGTGGAGCGTCGGCTCCGCCGGCCAGCTGCTGGTACGCGCAGACCGCCTCAGCGCGGGCGGGCGCAATTGGGAGCCCGCCGACAAGCAGGCCAAGGCCTTGCGCGTGCTGAGCGCCTGCACGCCCGTCTTCCTCGACGACTCGCTGCTCGTGCTGCGCGCGCAGCTAGAGGGGGTCCTCTTTGTCTTCGAGAAGCTCTGAGCGCGCCCGCTGGGCCTCTCGCCATCTTTACAGGTTGTGACACCACGAGCCAGAGTGAGCCCAGACCGCGACTATTGCAATAGGACCGCGCGACCGCGTGGTAAATAAATAAATAAATAAAAACGGTCAAACTCTGAGACGAGATGGGATTTAGGGACATGTGTCCCCGCCCTGCACGATCTTGGTGTGAGGGATCTTCAATCTCTTGTGTCTGTCCCCTTTTTTTTCTCGTCGCCCACAAAATGATGATTGCTGCATGAACACACACAAAACAAAAACTAGAATAAAATCCGCGCTGCTACATCGAGATCGAATTCGATCAGCCAGAGACACCCAGAGAGCTCTGGCGTCTGGCCTCTGCCGCACGCGGACTTTAGATAGATGAAAGTTTCACTTGCCCACCGGGACATAACGGCGCATGGTTCACCACTTGTCCCAGCCATCCTCGAGGCGGCGCGTGATGTCGGCTGTGTCCCCGAGCGGGTTGCCCGAGACGGTGTCGCCGTCGGAGCAGCGGGTCGACACGAAGCGCGCATGGGCGCGGTCGAAGCGCAGCATGTGCATTTGCTGCGCAAAGTCGACGAAGATGACGTCGTCGCGCGACGGCACAAAGCCCCACCGGCCCTGCCCCCACGGCGAGCGGAAGAGCGCCTCCCCCTTCTCGACCACGAAACGCACCCCCTCGCGGTTGAAGCCCCACGACCACGCCGCCGCCATGGCGACGCGGCCGAGGCCCGACGACCGCACCGCCGCCTCGGTCGGCGGCGAAGTGCGGTCGGAGCAGCTCGAGAAGCAGCGGCGCGCCGGCGCCTTCCACACAAAATCGGCCGCCGCCAGCCGCGTCTCTCTCTGCCTCAGCCTCCAGCAGGACGCCTAGGCGGCGCGGCGCGCAGTCGTGAGAGCCTGGGAGGGGACGCATCACCTCTGCCGCCAGCCCCGACGCCTCGAGGGAGAGTGGGGCCGCCCCGCCAATCGCCAGCCGCACCTGCTCTCAATCGACACGACTCCCGCCCGTGCCGTGAGCGGCGGTGAGACGCAACGCCCGCCGCGGGCGTCGCCTCGGCCAGCGCGCCGCCGGCGGGCGGCGGAAGCACGCTCCAGTTGCCTCGCCGCCGCCCGCGCCCATCGAACGCGACTCCACCCGCGAGGAAGAAGAGCTGCCTGCCGGCGAGCGGCCCGTGCTCCCACGGCCCAGTGCCGAGGAGGCGCCGCCGCACTGCCGCCGGGTCGGCGTCGGCGTCCGCGCGCGTGTCGTCCGCCGCGGCGATCGCGGACGCCGCATCCTCCGCCTCGTCCGCGGTGGGAGTCAGTAGAGGGCCCTGCAGCACCGCGCGGCTCTGCTCGCTCCGCGCGGCGCCCGCCTCCTCGCCCGCGCCGCCGCCTCCCCGCGCGTCGCCGGCGGCGGGGGGCGGGGGGCGGCCCTCGAGGACGAGAGTGGTGGTGCCCCCCTCCTCCTCGAGCCTCGCCGAGTGGGTCCAGCGCTGGTAGCCGCACAGGTAGAGGACGACCTATGGGGACATGTCCCGGACGTGTCCCGGACGTGTCGTGGTCATGTCCACCGCTGGTAGCCGCACAAGTAGAGAGCGACCTGCGCGCCGGCCGGCGCCGCGTCCCCAGCAACTTCGTGCCAGTTCTGTGCGGCGCCCCAGCGCGCGCTCCCCCACGGCGTCATCGCCCAGCCGCCCCGCAGCAAGTACAGGTCGCCGTCGCCTCCCCACCTCCACGGCCCGCTCCCCACGAGCCGCGCGGCGACGCCGAGCGAAGAGAGCGCGCGCGTGCGTGCCGCCAGTACCGCGGTCGGGCTGGCCGGCAGCGGCGCGTCCTCCCAGTGGTTCGGGCCGGGCGCCGCCGCCTCCATCGTCTCGTGCAGCTTGCGCCACAGCACCCACGCCGCCTCGAGGGCGCAGCGAGGCGGCGGCGGCAGGTCGCGGGGCACGCCGCGCTGGAAGGCGCGCTTGTCGAGCTTCCACTCGCCGTCGCGGTTGTCCACCATCGGGACCTGCGCGGCGGGAGTCCCGCCCTCTCGAGGCCTCACTCCGCTCCGATCACGGCGGGTTGCAATCTCCCCCCCCCCCTCGAGGGGGCAACGAGGCGGCGGCGCCAGGTCGCGGGCCCCCCCCCCCTGGAAGGCGCCCTTTTGGAGCTTCCCCTCGCCGTGGGGGTTGTCCCCCATGGGGACCTGCGCGGGGGGAGTCCCGCCCTTTGGGGGCCCCACTCCGCTCGGATCACGGGGGGGGCAATTTCCCCCCCCCCCCCCCCCTCCCTTCCCCCCCCCCCCTCTCTTGTGTGTGTGTGTGTGCGTGTGTGCGTGTGCCCTCTCCGCCCCCTCCCTCTCCGCCCCCTCCCTCTCCGCCCCCTCCCTCGCACCCCGTCGCGCGAGAACTCGTGCGAGAAAGTGTAGTGCAGCACGTGGTGCGTCGGCTCGCCCCCGGCCTCGTACCAGCGCGGCCCCGCCGCCTCGGGCGTGATCCGGACGCCAAACTGCTGCGACGGCTCGATCTGCAGCCGCTCGACCACCAAGTGCTTGAGGGGGGCGCGCGCCGCTGCGACGGAGTAGCCCCACATCTCGAGCATCCAGTTGAACTCGGCGTCCGCCTCGCCGTCCCGCTTCATGTCGAAGGAGATGTTGACCCACCTACTCCGCCACACGGGCCGCGCAATCAGGGCGCCGGCCGCGCCTCTCGTGCCGACGAAGCGCAGCCGGCCGCCCGTCGATGACGCGGCGCAGCGCCTCGAGCGAGATGAGCGCTTACTTAGTAATTAATTAAGCGCTTAATTAACTATTAATAAGCGCAGCGCCTCGAGCGAGATGAGCAGCGGACTCGGCCCGACCTGCTGCACGCGCGCCGCCGCCTCGGCCGACCCCGCGTGCCGCCGCACGATGGGCGCGCACCCCGGCCGCCTCGGGTCCATGTAGTGGAAGGGGTAGGCGGCGGCCTGAGGGGCAGGTCTCGGACATGTGCATGTGACATGTGCAGCACGTGCATGCATGTTGTGCATGTTGTGCATGCAGCATGTGCGTGGGCGTGTCGCGTGTCGCGGAGGCGTGCTCGGGCGGGCCAACGGCGGCCTCTTCGCCCCCAGCTGCGGTGGCGAGCAAGTTTGGGAGCGGCTTGAGGAGGACGTGGTCCGTCTCGACGATGAAGACGTGCCGCTCGTCCGGTGCCAGCCGCGCGGCGAGCTGCCTGCGCCGCAAGGGGCCGGGACACGAGTCGCGCGCGTGTGTGGCGGGGGCCGCGAGAGGGGGCGAGATGCCCCGACGCGAGCACGGCGCGGATCGAGGTTGGCCGGTTGAGCACGACGAAGCCGAGGTCCTCCGTCTCCTACACGCCGCGTTCGTGTGATGAGACCGCCCCATCACACTCCGCGCGCGGCCGCACTGCGACGCGGCCGCGCCGCGCCTTGGTTAGCTCCCTCGCGACGATGGTCGTCATCACGGCGGAGAGGCCGCGGTCCTCCTCCGCCAGCGTGAGGCGGTCGGGGAGGGTGAGCAGCCGCGTGAAGCCGCCCAGGTCCGAGCACGGGTGCGCCGCCTTGATGGCCGTGTAGTGGTGGAAGAAGACGCGGGTCTGCCACCGTTGGTAGTGGCCGGACGAGGCGGTGAGGAGCACGTGGTACGGAGAGCGGCCCGGTCCGCACGCCGTCGAGTTGGCCGCACCGGCTGGAGTGGTGGCCGGGAAGACGAGCTGTGGCGACGGCGACGGCGGAGGCAGAGGCGGTGACGGCGACGGTGGCGGAGGCGGTGGCGGAGGCGGTGGCGGAGGCGGTGGCGGGGGCAGCGGCGGTGGAGGTGGCGGCGAAGGCGGAGGTGGCGAAGGCGAAGGTGGCGGATTCGACGCGGCCTCAGTGGCAGCAGCGGGCATTGCGCCGGCCTCCACACGCGGCGTGTCATCGAAAAGGAGTGGCTCTCTGGCCTCGGCACCGCCTCGGCCCGCAGCGTGTGAGAGCAGCTCATTGTTGAGGAGGAGGAGTGCTAAGCCGGCGCCAATCACAGCAGTGGTCGGAGCGCAGCGCTGAGCGCGGGCCATCGTGTGTGTCTTCCGAGAGACGAGACTGAGAAGGCACCGAGCTGTCGGCGCTGCTGTCGGGCTGCTGTCGTCGGACGTGGCACTTTAGCCACACGCGTGCTTCTCGTGTCAGGACCGTAAGCCGTAACCTTCGACCCCAGCCTGCCGAAGCACAGAGCCGCCAGCCTATGGTGCGAGTCATAGGCAACAGACCCCCTATCTGGCTAGGAGCCGGAACCCAGGCTAGAGCCGAGCCGTACCTCTCCTGTCTGCTGGGCCCCTAGCACACGCTCGGAGGACGGGAGGACAACGATGAAGAATTTCACAACAAAACTCCCCCTTGATGAAACGAAACACGTATTGACGTAGAGCCGTACTGAACTCGGCGCGCGCTGCCGCTGGAGCCTGGAGCCAAAACTAAAGAGAGAAAGAGAGGGACGTGCAGCGCTCTTTTGAGCGTTGACGGGGTTAAGAGGTTGAAGGTGAACTATAGGATGGCTGGCACGCCTAGATCTCAGCCCCGGCCGCATGATGGCTGTCATACAGCCGTCGCAGCCATCGGCCGGGGAGAATGGCTGGTTTGGTTTGTTCGCCCCCCCCCCCCCTCCCCTCCTCTCCTCCTCCTCCTCCTCCTCCTCCTCCTCCTCCTCCTCCTCCTCCTCCTCCTCCTCCCTCCTCGTCCTCCTCGTCCTCCTCGTCCTCCTCCCTACCCCCTCCCTCCCTCCGCCGCCCACAACGCTGGCGCACAATCCGCGCGGCTCAAGCAACCAGCTTTGCGAGTTCGGCGAGCTCCGCCTTTTGCCCTCCAGAGTTGAGCTTGGTCACCAACCACAGAGGAACCGCCCAGTTCCCAAGTTGTTGGAAGTGGACGGTGCGCACTAGTCGCACTCCCTGCGGCGGGCACGCGGCGCGCATCATTCGCACGTCGCTGCGGCCGCGCACAGTCGTCGGCCGGCTCTCGGTCTGCGCGCGTGGCGAGGCCAGCTCTCTCGAGGCGAGTGGTAAGAGGCAGGCGACTAAGCGCGTCAGGCAGGCGCGCCTCATCCGCAGGCTCGAGCACGTTGTGGCACGTGCAGTTGAATGAGATTGGCGTCCCCGGTCCGCCGAGATGCCAGTCCATGGAGTAGTCGAAGCCGCCGTCAAAGAGCTTGAAGCTATGGAAGCGGCCGTATGGCTCACCAACGCCCTTGTTGACCTCGTAAGAACCGTGCACCTTGCTGATTGTGCCAAAGACGGGCTCGTATGCACGCGTCAGCGCGCGGATGTCTCGGATTCGCCGCTGCACGTCAACGACGGTCTGCGCTGTCGTCGGCTGCGTGTAGGGCCCATTGACAAAATTACGGTTCAACAGCGTCAGGCGCGCCGCCAGTGCGAGAACCACAGCGTACCCAATCTTGTCCGTGAGGCCGAGCGCCATGTGAACTCGCCGAATAGATCCCACCCAGAATGCGGCCAGTCCGCGAGGAAAAATAAAGGCTCCGCATGGGTACAATGGAGTACTTTTAGGGTAGACTCACCTACTCACCGCTGTCGTCATCGCTGGCACCCGACTCGCCATCGCTCGAACCGGACACTTCGCACTCTGGGCACGAATACACACACTCGCCGGCGTGACCCATGTGCGCGCATTTGAACATGTGGTCGTGGTTGCAATGTGCGCAGCACGGATCTCGCTCGCTTTCGCTACCGAGCGGCTCTAGAGTATCATGAGATGCCATGGTCACGCACTCCAGCTCGAGGCAATCTCCGCACGCCGTGCATGCACCGCGCACGACATACACATCTCGCAACGGCAGGAACTCGGCGCTTGCTGAGACCCAGCTATGCGGATGCGTGCTCGGTGTGGGCTGTGCAGACATGGCCGGCGCGTGCCAGCCGGGCACTCGGTGATAGTAGGGGAACGTCACGAGCTCGTGCAGCTGCTCCGAGCTGAACTCAGCGACGTCATGCAGGTTGAGCTCGTGAAGCATCCGTTGCGCGTCTTTGATCGACGGCTCGTCGGGCAGCCTGGCTGTCGAGACGTCTAGCTCGGGCGATGACTCTGGATGCGGCGGCAGCAGCCGCACCCACGAGCCGACGCGCACCTGCACGGCTATGTGACTCTTAGCTCGTGACTTATGACTCAAGCTGCTCATGACTCAAGCTGCTCGTGTCCCACGCACCTCGCCACCCGCCATCGCCTCGACGGTCGCCGGCGAGGCGTAGAGGCGGCGAGAGAGGATGTAGCCGCTGCCGTTGTCGTCGCCGCCGTGGAAAGACGTCACCGTGGCGATCGCGTTGGGCTCGCCGGGCAGCCAGCAAACCTGCAGAGATCCAGCCGAGATCCGAGATCCAGCCAGGGTCCAGCCGAGATCAAGCTGAGATCAAGCTGAGATCAAGCTAAGATCAAGCCCGACCTGCTGCCCGACGCGAGGCCACGGCTCCACCTGGTAAGGCGAAATGCGGCGCGGCCCGGCCTCATCTTCATCCTCGTCCAGCAGCACATCATGGTGATGCTCCGGCTCAACGACGGCCGTGACCGCCCTGCCGCACTCCCACAGCACGGCTCGCTCGAGCACGACGCCGCAGCAGCCAGCGTGCAGCCCCTCGATCACGCGCACGCGTTGGCCCTCGTGCACGAAATTGTCGCCCAGAAGCCGCTTCTCCTCCCTAGTGCGCGCCACCTGGCTCGAGTCGAGTGGGATCTTCTTCTTCTTGCGAGCCGCTGTGCGGTACTGGTTGATGACGTTCAGCCGCCGGTTCCTGTCGCGCCGCTCCGCCTCCACCGCGCCCTTCTTGCGCTTCTGCGTGCCGGACGCCTCCGGCCTGCCGCTCCTGTCGCGCTTGTCCTCGCGCTTGCGCTCGCGCTGCTGAGCCATCGAGGCTGCTGATCGCCCGCCCTTGGCCCAGGGCAGCCCGGTGACGTTGTGCAGCCAGGCACCGCTCTCCCCGTAGCTTCCATCCCACGTGTGCTCCTTCGGCGCCCTGCCTTGCGGCCGTGGATGTGGAGCGCCGGGCGCGGCTGCGGTCGAGGACGAGGCCTGGCCACTCATTTGTGGACGGCCAAATCTTTGTGGCTCTTGCCAAATCTTTGTGAGGTGGGAGGCCCGGGCAGCTAGGTTGGGGGTCGCGGAATAAGAGGGCTCCCGCGGCGATCAACACCGCAACTCCTTTTCTAAATTTCACCACGCTTCTTACGCGCGACGACGCTACAGCCTCCACCAAACCTCACACTTTTACTCACCCTCGGACATGCTTCGCCGCCGTGCACACGCGCACCCGTCTTTCGTTAAAGCAAAAAGACACTCCAGGTGCTCCAAAGAACGTAGAAATCCAAACGTTAATCTAATTTGTTCTTACATCCGCTCCGGCCTCCGCCCAGCCTCGCGGGCGCCGGTGAGCGGTGTGTCGGAATACAGAAAAAGCGGCAATGCACAGGAGAGTCACACAGAGACACACAGAGTGTGACACACGAGATGCGCCCGTCACAAGCGAGACGTCATGGGCGCCTCGGAGTACTGCGTGCGCCGGTTGAGCTCGCGGGAAAAGTCGAGCGAAAAGAAGACGACAACGAAGCCGGCGAGGAGGAGCGCGGCGAGGAGGTAGACGTAGCAGCGCGGCAGCCCGTGCAGCCGCAGGTTGAGCGCCTCAAAGAGGCGCAGCCGCGCTGCGAACTTGTCGCTCGTGCTCGAGCGCACCGGCGACCGCGTGGCCGAGGGCGGCCCCACCTTGGTGGCAGCGAGCCCAACCTCCCCCACCCCCCAGGCCGTGGTTGCGGTGCAAAAGGGCGCGATCACGAGCGAGGCGATGGCGGCTGTCGCCGTCAGCCCATAGAGGAGGAGCAGCGGCCGTGCGCCCGTCGTGCCGGCGTTCTCCCAGAGCAGGTAGCCGACCGTCAGCGCGGCGCCCGCCCTGCCAGCGAGCACGGCAGCGCGGCGTGGAGAGGCGGCGGCGGCGCGGACTTGGGACGCGGCCGACGCGAGCAGCCTCCAAGCGACGAGGAGGGCGAGCAAGAGCAGGCAAGCGGCGGTGCCCGCGGCCGGGTTGGACCAGCCGATCCGCAGGACGAGCCCGCAGAGCGCCGATGCGACGAGTGCCACCCGGCACAGCGCACGCGGCGAGTCGTCGACATAGGCGGCGACTGCCATCACGGTGCCGAGGAGGGCCAGAAGCGAGGCGGTGACGAGGAGCACTGCGCCGCACAGCACCGCCGTGGTGGCGAGGTGGACGAAGGGCATGTACTCCCACACCATCTCGTTAACCATGCCCGCCGCGCCCGGAGCCGTCCCGTTGGTGGACGAGGCATTGGCCTGCAGCCGGTTCAGCTCCGATAGAGAGGTCGCCCCCTCGCCAAAGCAAAGGACGTCCTGCACGGGAAACACCTTGCCGACATCGATGCCGTCGAGGATCGCCCCCACGCCCGCGGAGTAGCCGCCCACGTCGAAGTGGGCGCCCTGCATCGTGAGCAGAAAATCACCCTCGCATGAGCGGACCGGCGTCGCCAGGTGCTCCAGGTCGATCTTGTCGAGTGCAACGACGCCGAGGCCCTCGACGGTGGCGGAGCCCGAGGTGATAACGACATCACCGTGGAAGGGGACGTGCTGGATAACTCTCATGTTGAGCGTGGCAGTGAGCCCGATGCGGCGCAGCCGCAGAACGAGCTGGTCGGGCATGGTCTGCCACCACGGCGAGTGCCAGCAGAGGCCGAAGTTCCAGCGGCCGTGATGGACCTCGTCGACCACGAGCGAGTCAAGCTCGAGCCTCAGGCCCGGGCCCAGGGACTGCGGCTCGTTGGGCAGCGCGTCCACCTGGAAAGGCGTCCGTAGCGCCACGTCGAGGATCGCCTCGACGCCGCTGGTCAACCGCTCCGAGTTGGTCTCAAACTCCTGGCAGCCGGAGGGGAGCGGCGCCATCTGCGCAAAGTCGGACGGCCTCTCGAGCAGGTCCTGCCACGCGCCACCTCCGTCGCCGTGCGTCTGGTTGGCGCGCCACGCGGTGATATTGCGGTCGGCCCGCAGCACGTCACTCCAATAGAGGCGGTACGCGGGTGTCCAGACGACAGCAACGGCGACCAGCCCGAGGAGAGCCACGAGGAGGAGGAAGGTGAAGACGATGAGAGGGCGGAAGAACCTCGTGAGCCCGCGCGACGCCTCCACCTCGACCAGGGCCATGCACAGCGGCCGGGCGGGCCCCGAGAGGGCGGCGGCCTGCACCACGAGCGGGTCTGTGCCGGCCCTTGCCTTGAACGCCCTTGGAGCTGCTCTCGCCCCGAGCGCACGGCGCTGCTGCTGCACGTAGATTGAGCTGGGCGGCGCGCGAAACGGACGCGGCACGCTCTTCACCGTCGTCTCCCCAGTCATGGCCGGCTCGACGCGGCCTGTTGGTTGGTGGCTGCGGGTCGCGGCGGGTTGGCGGCTGCGTCCACACCAGCGCGGCGCGTGGACGCACGAGTTTGTGCGTTGCAGCCTTGCGACCTTGGCCACGTGTCCCTGACTGGGTCGGAAAGTGGGCAAGCACCAGAGTCGCGCCAAGGGCACCAAACCATAACCAAAGACTCTCCTTCTTTGTCCTCACACGCTCACGCCCCACAAGCGAGTTGGACCCAAGTGCAAAAGATTTCCCTCGCCCCGATTGGCATATTTGTTGGCGCGCACTGGCACTAATAACACAGGTACGGTCGGCGGGACGAGGCGCGACAGATGTTATTTAGAAAAGCGCGTTTTTGTGAGTGTTGCGCGCTACGACCTGGCCACGAGGCCTTCGAGCCTTCACGAGGCCTTTCACGAGGCTTTCACCCGCGTTCACCGCGTTCGTCTGAGACGCGTCCTCATCCCGACTCCTCTCGCGTCTATTGCCTCTGCCTCTTCTGTCCGTGCGTCAACCGTACAGCAGCTCACCGTTGGGCCTTATGGCTTATCATGACCTCATACGAGCCGCGTGCATTGGCGACGCCGAGTTCACGGCGTTTCTACAAGCTTTGCATCCCAAAGCTCGTCAACGGGTACTTGAGCATCGTGGTCCGGACCGTTGGACAGCCCTGCACTTTGCGAGCCGCAACGGACAGCTAGAAGCCGTTGCACGGCTGCTTAACGCGGGTGCATCGGTGGATGCCAGGGATGTTTATGGCAGAATGCCGGCACACTATGCACAAGTTTACGCACACCACGAAGTGCTTAGGCTTCTTTCCGAGGCGGACGATACTGGGTTTGAAGTGGTTTTGGCGGCGGAGGCGAGGGCGGCGGCGACGAGTGCAGACCGAGGGCTACTCGCCAGTGCAGAGCAACAGACGCAAGTGCCGCCTCACCGCGGCCACACGCGGATTGGTCGTTTCGTTCCGACCGAGGAGCTGGCCATGAACGTTCCGACCGAAGGGGCGGCGACACCGATGGAGACGGCGCGGGCGGCGGCGGCGGCGGCGGCGGTGGCGGCGGTGGCGGTGGCGACGTGGGCGGTGGCGGTGGCGGCGGTGCGGGCGGCGGTGCGGGCGGCGGCGGCGGCGAGGGTGATAGCGGCGATGCAGGAGGTGGCGAGAATGTGCTCGGCCATCAGTCATTTGTTCTCAGCCAAAGAGACGGACCAGTGCTGCGTTTGCTTCAGCGAGACCGCGGTCATCCACTGCAGCAACGCGCACGGCATGTGCGGCGAGTGCTTTCAGGGTTACGCGCACGACCTGCTCGAGCGCGGCCCCTCGGATCTGACGCAGCAGCACGAGGGACGAATTCCGTGCGTCTGCCATCCCGATGCTGCCGGCGGCTGCACAGCGAGTCTAGACAACCAATCCGTGGCAAGGTTCCTGAGTGCAGAGGACTACACGGTCTTTGATGCTCAGCGGAGCGGCGATATTCGCCGTCGGGTGTTCATGGAGATGAACGAGCGGCTGGTGGAGACCGTGCGGGAGATGGCCAACCGCTTGCAACAGAGTTCGCGGGGGATTAATAGGACTCTGCTCGCCCAGCAGCTTCGCGCCTCGATCCCGGGGGCTCGCATGTGTGGCCAATGCCGCTATGGACCGATCGAGCACTATGCGTGCTCAGCACTCACCACTCACCGGCGCGACGCGTACAACGGCAACGCATGCCCACGCTGCGGGTGGTTTGCTGCCGACATCAGTCAATGGCCAGCTTGGGATGGTAACGTGCCTGACGACGCAGTCGACTCGACCAGCTTCGACCTTAGGCCAGCAGGCGGTGGGAGCTCTTCGCTCGAGCCGCGAGACGATGAAGCAATGGCGCAGCGGATGCTCCGCGAGGAGCAGCGCAGGTTGCTACAAATCAACGAGGATCACGAGCTCGCCCGACGCATTCAAGCTGGGCTTAATTGAAAGGATTGCGTTGCCTAACATGCGTTGGGAGGGGTGAGGGGACACGGATTGAAGATCCCTCACACCAAGATCGTGCAGGGCGGGGACACATGTCCCTAAATCCCATCTCGTCTCAGAGTTTGCCCGTTTTATTTATTTATTTAACATGCGTTGGGACCTGCTCCTTTTTAGAGCCGTCCCATCTCCTAGTGTAAATGGTCTCTCTCTATATATATCTCTCTCTCTCTCTCGGAATTTTCTCCTGAGAGAGCGCGAGTTTGTGTTGTCAACGTGATACACATGAGACACATACCGCTAGCGCAGTCTCGCCCACGGGCCCTGCCCGGCAGCGCCGCTTGACTTTGTCCGCCTCCGCCCGTCCCCCGCGCTCCATCTCGAGAGCACATCCAGCACCACGCTCCTTCGCAGGTCGAGGCCTTCGCGGGGCGGCGCGTCGTCGCCGTGTCGGCTGGAGTCTACCACAGCATCGCCCTCACCGCCGACGGCGCCGTCTGGAGCTGGGGCAATGGAGGCAGCGGCCAGTTGGGCCACGGCGACACGCAGGACCAGCTGCTGCCGAAGAAGGTTGAGGCCTTGGCTGGGCAGCGCGTCCTTGCTGTGTCGGCTTCAGCATTCCACAGCATCGCCACCACCGCCGACGGCGCCGTTTGGAGCTGGGGCTGTGGAGGTGATTTCGCCGCCACCGTCGTTGCCGTCGACATGCCTTTGGCTTCCCGGGGACGGCTTAGGCGGAACCGAGAGGTTGGTCGCTGGTCGGCACTTTACGGCTCCTGCGCCGACGCTGTGCCCTGTGCGGCAGAGTGAGCCGCAGGCAGACGGCGCCACCTACATCGGTGCCCTACATCGCGATTCTGTGTGACAGTGTGACTCTAGCAGAAGAGCGAGGAATTCTACAGGGAATTCTTTCGTTATGGGCAGGGGAAAAAAATCGCAAAATTTCGTCGCACCACCCACACTGGGCGCGAGAGAGCATGCTGGCGCGCAATTCTCGCGGCCTGTCGCGCTCGGCGCAAATGCTGCGGACACACGCACGCGGCATCGCCGTCGGCGATAAGTTTCCCAACGTTGAGGTACGATCGGGCGCACACTCTCCCTTCTGCTTGCTGGAGCACACACCGGACAACCGCGCGCATGTGCCGCCACCCTCGCGCCAGGTGGACGCTGCGTCGTGGCCGCCGACTGCGTTGAACCTGAACGACCGCATCAAGGACAAGAAGGTGATCCTTGTGGGCCTGCCCGGTGCGTTCACGCCAACCTGATCCAAGGACCAGGTGCCTCTCTCTCTCGGATGCACTGCCTCGCCTCACCGCAGCGTCCTCCGTGACACACGGCCTTGCCGCTGTGCTTCCGTGACACTGTGCGTGCACACACCAGGTGCCTGGTTACAAGGACCACCGCAACGACGTCCGCGACGCCGGGATCGACGAGGTCCTTGTCTACTGCGTCAACGACGCCGCCGTGATGGAGGCGTGGGCGAAGAACCAGCGCATCGCGGGCACAAACATCACCTTCCTCGCCGACCCGAGCATGGTCCTCACCGAGGCGCTCGACATGGTGCGCACCGCCCGCCCTCCGCTCCACTCCCTCGCCTCCCCCTCACCCCCTCACCCCTCACCCCCCCCACCTCTCCTCCCGCCCCTGCTCAGGTGATGGATGCGCCTGGCCCGAGGCGCGACCTGGGCAACAAGCGGTGCAAGCGCTTCGCGCTCTACGTCGACCAGGGCGTGGTGAAGCACGTGGCCGAGAGCGGCACGCCCGAAGACGCCGCTGCCGACGCGCCCGGCGCCAATGCAAACAGCGCTGTCAAGGGGATGCTCGAGGCGATCGCCAAGCTATGAGCTGGCACGGGCGCCGACAACAGGCGCGCCGCCCACCCCTCGCGCCCTGCAAGCCCTCTCCCCTCGCCGCGAAATGACGCCGCGGGCCGGAAAACCCTCGCCTCCGCAACACAGACGTGCGCGTCTGTGGGAGGATCCGACCGCGAGCCGAGACCGATGGCGGGAGGGGGAGAGTGCGTGGGGCTGTCTGAGGTGGGATATGGAGGAACAGCTAATTCTTTTTCTCGCCTTCTGGACTGCTCGCGTCCTCGAGACTCGAGTACGGCGCCAGTCCCGTGTTGTGCGAGGGAGCTTTGTTGTAAAATTCTGGACTGCTCCGGCGATGTCTGCCACCATCAATCACGAGGGCACAGACCAGCCGCTGCCTGTGGAGGTCCGGGAGCGGCCCACGGCGCACACGTCCATCTACAAGGCAGGCCAGCTCGTCTACGACGGCGCGGCGGCTAGCGACGAGAGCGCAGCTGCAGCACGGGCGGCGGCATCGATGGAGCCGGGCACCTCACTGAACCAGATGCTCGCGTGGGGCATCGCCAACTCCTCGCCGGAGGAGCTCGAGCGGCGCGCCGCCGCTGGCGCCACTGCGCCCTCGCAGCTGGACCAGGAGGTGCTCGACATGCTCCTCGGCCAGCCGGCAGTCGCGTCGATGCGGGCCGCGCTGGGCAAGCTGGACGCGGAGGGCATCGCCGCGGGCGCCGGCGCGACGGAGGCGGCGCTCGCCGCCCTCGAGGAGCTCGAGTACTACTGCGAGGACGTCGACCTCGCCGTCGACTTTGCAAAGATCGGCGGCCTGCGCGCGGCGCTGCTGGTGCTAGGAGCGCCGCCGGCAGCGGCGGAGGGCGGCGCCGACGACTCGACCGCCGCCTCCGCCGACGGCCACCTGCCCGAGATGCGTCCGCCCGACGCAGAGCTCGCCGAGGCGGCGTGCGGCGTCGTGGCGGCGGGCGCGCAGAACAACCCGCCGTTCCAGCAGGCGTGCATCGCGCTGCGGACGCACCGCGCGCTGCTTGCGCTGCTCGTCGCCACGGGCGAGGCGGCGGCGCCGGTACCGCTGCAGCGCAAGGCGCTCCTCGCTCTCTCGGCCATCGCGCGCGGATCCGCCGAGGCGGCGGCCGCCGTGCTGGTGCAGCCTGCGGCGCTGCCCTGCTTCGGCCGGCTCGCCGCGTCGGGCGACGCCAAGCTGCGCCGCCGCGCCCTCCAGTTCCTCCTCGCGCTGCTCCGCGACTACGCCCTCTCCGCCGAGGCCCTCCGCCCGCACGTCACGCCCGCCGCCCTCGTCGCCGCCGCCACGCCGCCCGCCGACGCGGAGACGGCGGCGGCGGCGCTGCATGTCGCGATCGCCCTCTCGGGCGACGCAGCCTTCCGGCGCGCCTTTGCGGGGGCGGGGGGCGGCGCGCTGACCGCCGCGCCCGACGAAGAGGAGGTAGCCGCGCTGCTTCAGCAGCTGCTGCCACGCCTGACGTCCGACTGACACTGAGCCTCGAGGGCGTCTCGCCGCCGCCGAGGCAAGGCCAAGTGGGAGGGGCGAGTCGCTGGCGAGTCGGGGGAGTGGCGAGGCCCGGAGACTCATTTTTTGTTGCGCGCTCGTTGTCTGTCAATGTGTGGTCCCTTGGTGAGTGAACGAAACGAAAAGCCATCGGGCTAGTGCCATTTCACTCTGACACGCTAATCTTGAAAACGTCTCCAACGGAGCTCCGTGTTGCTTCCAGCGCCCTCCCCCGCGCTCCCTGCGTCCATGGCCGATGCTCCTAGAAAGAGAGGTCATCTGGCTACCGCGAGAGCGACCCAACTCGTCGACATCGTCCGATGATGGTGCCGCAAAGTCAGCCTTCGGAGGCTATCGTGGGGTCGAGCCGGCAGTAGCCGTGACATGTGGTTCCACCACCCCTCGTAGGCTTTGCCTCTGACCGCCACCGTTCCCAGGCTGCCTAATTGGATGGAAAGGAAGGCTCGGCGAGCGTATAGAAGCGTGCTCGACCTCGTCGTGGCAACCTGTACGGCAGCGCTGGTAGGCGCGATGAGCGTCGTGCCACCTGACCCGAGACGGGTCGCAGGCGTCGTACCGAGCGCGTCGAGACCGTGTCCTGATGTGATCTGCACGGGTGAGCCACGTCGGCGTCAAAGGAGCGACGTGCGACCTGTCAGAGCTTGATCTCCAATCTCAGCGGCGTCGAGTCGTCTCTGGCGGCGACAATTTTGTCCCTCCCCAGGACGCACAGAGGCACGAGCTGCGACCCCGCCGAGTGGACGGGGGCACTCCGCGCCACCTGCCGAGTGCCCCCGTCCACTTGGCGGGGTCGCAGCTGCCTCTGGAAGGCACCGAGAGGGACATCAGTAAACCAGCCTCCGGCGGGGCCCCCCGCTACCATCCAAACCCGAGTACCGGTCTACTAATCATAGATAGAGGCTCAAGTGTGACATATGAGTCCACACACATACGACATACACATACACAAAGCAACTCTCACGACACACGGGCACCGGGTGGAGCGGCGGCGGCGGCGGCAGCGGCACGCGCGGGCGGACGGATTCGGACGGGGCGGAGCAGCGACCGCCTGGGCGGCCGCTGCTCTGTCTGCGCAGCTCGAGCGCCGTCAGGTGCAGGGAAGCGTGGCGGCGCGGGGACGCGCGGCGGCGGTGGCGAGCAGGCGAGCGGCCCGCGCGCGGCGAGGCGGACAGGTGATCGGCAGGCGGGTGATGGGCCGGAGAGTAAACGCGCCCAGCGATCGGAGACGAGCCGATCGTCGCTCGGCCGCAGCTGACCTCGAAGGCGTGCAGCGCGACTGTTGGTGTCGGGGGGCGGCCGTCATGTGGCGAGGAGGGAGGACGACAAGTGCGCGTCGTACGGGTCGCTCTTCATCGGCCAGTCGAGCGGCACTCAAGTCGAGACCGAGCATGGGCGACGAAAAGCCGGTGGGGCCAGTGGGGCCGGTGGGAGGTAGGACGAGATTCGTTTCGCGCTTTCAAAAGCGGCTTCGCGCGCAGCGCAACTTTGGGTTTGCCACGAAAAGCGTCCCCAGTGGAAATGGGGGCTACTGGGGCGGCCAATTCACACCTCGCGGGACTACTTATGTTTTCGTAAACGTAGTTGTGGCCCCCCGCTACGTCGCACGAGTGCAACCGGGTAGCGGGGGGCTAAAATGGCGCAAATGGTCAAATCAAGGTTTTGTAACGCGAGCTGTGCCACAGTGAAATGGCACTAGCCTCGCAAGGTCGCATATCTTACTCTATATGTATCTCAGCTCTATCCCTCACGCGCTACACGCACACGCTCACGAGCGGAGAGCTCTGCGCTCTCTCGGCTCTCGCCGTCTCGCGCGCCCTCCCTCCCTCCACCCCCCCTCTCTCTCTCCCCCCCCCCCTCTCTCTCCTCTCTCTCCATCCCACCGTCTCTCCCCATGCGAAGCTGGGTCATGGCACTCGAGTTCGTCTATCTGCGTGTGGGTGCGGAGCAGCATCTCGCACAACGCACACACACAACACTCGCTGAGACAACCACACGGCCTCGCAGCCCCACGCCTGGCGCGCGCGCTGCGCGCCTCGCTGCCTGTGCCGCTGCCGCTCCTCCCTCCTGGCCCGACTCTCCTCCCTCCCCTCGACACGCCCCTCCCCTAGTCCTTCTTCTTGACGAGCTCGTCGACGGTGTAGCGGCCGCCGCCCAACTTGACGAGCAACAACAGACCGCCTATAGGAGCGAGCCAAGCGCCGTGGGGGCGGGCGCGCGTCGCGCCGAGAGGCTGCACGCGCGGCCGCGGCGTCGCACCCGCAGTCGCGACGTTGGTCATAAAGTGCTCGCGGTAGTGGATCGCGCGCCTGCGCGGACGTGTCGTGGACGTGTCGGGGGCGTGTCGCGGACATGTCTCGCGGCAGTGGATCGCGCGCCGGTGTTGCGAGAAGGCGTTCGGGTCGCCGCTCATCCTCCACCACGACCAAGCGTAGAAGGCCTGTGTGGAGGTGTCCGTGGACGTGTCAAGGACGTGCCATCGACACGTCGCCGTCCCGACCGCGCGGAAGGCCTCGAGCACGAGCGAGGCGGCGAGCAGCTTGGTCACAGCCTGCGGGGCGGCAGGGAGGCTCGAGGCCCAGCCAACCGCAGCAAACTCCCGGCCGCCTCCCCCAAGGCAGCTGAGGACCATCCTCGCCTCCAGCTCTTGAGGGTGAAGGGAGTGGCTAAGGGGTGCTAGGAAGTGCCCAATCTCCCTCCCCCCCCCGCGCCTCCATCCTGAAGCCAGATCTCCCCATATCTCCCTCCCCCCCCCCGCGCCTCCATCCTGAAGCCAGATCTCCCCATATCTCCCTCCCCCCCCGCGCCTCCATCTTGAAGCCGAGCGTGAACGGGACCGCGAGCAGCAGCTCGACCGCCTTTGGCCAGACGACGTCGTGCCCGTCGCCGGGCAAGTACGGCGTGTAGGGCTGGAAGAGGAGGCGGTGCAGCTCCGAGAGGCCGACGTACAGGAAGAGGACGGACATCATCAGCCGCCCGAAGAGCAGCGCGAGCGAGACGCGCGCCGACCTCTCCTCGGCCTGGTTGAGCAGGCCGGGCGTGCTCTTCCGCCGCTCGCGCGACTGCAGCGTCACGGTGATGAGCATGCCTGATTAAGTAATAATGAAGTAATAATTAAGTAATTGCAGCGTCACGGTGAGGAGCATGCCTGCCCCGACAGCCACGTGCAGTCAAGGGGCGTGCGGCGGCAGGCCCGAGCCATCTGGGGAAGAGAAGGGGGGGGGGGGGAACGCGTGCCGACGCAGCCGAGGAGCGAGAACTTCTTCGCCTAGTGAGTCCTCAAGACGAGTCGGTGGTGACGACTCGCCCAGCCGAGGAGCGGGAGCTTGCTCGCCATCAGCTCGTTGATGTAGAGGCCCCGCCCATACACCCACTGGTAAAAGATGCGCCGCACGATCACGTACGCGTCGACGCCGATGTCGAAGAGCATCAAGCCTACAGACACCAGACACGCGCGCGTCGAGAGGAGGAGGTGCGCGTCTACGCCGAGGTCGAGAGGAAGCATCAGGCCCGCGGCAGGGAGGGTGCCCACGCCAGCCAGCACGCAGCCCGCCGCGGCGCCGCCCGCCAGGTTGGACGCGTCCACCCACCCGACGTGCTGTGCCTGTGGGACATGTCTCGGACATGTCTCGGACATGTCATGGACGCGTCCACCCACCCGACGTGCTGTGCCTGCCAGACCCCGTCCGAGCCGAGGTAGCCTGCGGCGAGGGAGAGGGCGGGGGCGGTGTCAGCAGGCCGGGGGGGGGGGGGGCGGATGGGGCTGGCGGAGGGGCGGCCGCCGTAAAAGAGCGAGGCGATCTGCGGCGAGGTTTGCATGACCGTGAAGGCCTCGTTGATGAAGTAGACGCAGATGAGACCCTTCCCCACTCCGGAGAAGGAGAGAGAGCTCAGCCGCTCTCCCGCCCGCGGGTTGGCGCGCCTGCACTCGGGACGAGCTCGCGGTCAAGAGTGAAGGACGCCGTCGACCGGCTGCTCGCCCGCGGGCTGGCCGCGCCTAACGAGTCCAGCACCTCACGCGTGCCTAGCCCGACCCCCTTGCCGGCGCAGGACCGCCCGCCGCGCGAGCGCGCGTTGTTCGGACCACGAAGCGAGCCCACAGCTCTGCGAGCCGGTCCTGCGCCTCGGAGAGCTGCTTCGCGTACCTGCGCGAGAGAGCAAGTCCGGCGGGGCTCAGGGCAGGGTCCGAACAAGACGCGGCGCCCGTTGGAGCTGGTGTGCGCGCACATGGCGGAGAGCGTGAGCGCCGCGCAGCCGAGCAGCAGCACGAAGAAGAAGATGGGCAGAAAGGTGGCCAGCCGGCTGCTGCCCCCGTCCGCCTCGTCCGCCTGCAGAGGGGCCACGGGAGGGAGCAGAGCCGATCTCAGCCCCCCCCCCC